TTAATTTTTTTTTTTTTTTTTTTTTTTAACTAAGAAGCTTTGAAAGGATTGCCACCCGTGAAAACAATAAAATGATGACCATATAGCTTTTGCTTCAAATATTCTTCCGCTCGAACGACTGCCGAGGTCTCAAGTTCATAAGAATGATACTTTTATTCCGTGTCAGTTTTCCGGCGACTGAAATATGAAATAACGTGAGGAACTCCGTTCTTTCATTTAATTAAAATGGTACCGTATCCGTTGGCGCTGGCATTCGTGTGTAATTCTATAGGAGGCTCGCGATCAAATATAGTTAGAATAGACTCCGTGGTAAGTATTTGAACTATCCATTTACGGATATTACCGTGGACTTCTGACCGTTTAATTAAACCCTTTAACTTAGTGAGTAGACATAAGGATCGTACTAGGCGGAAATAGTTCGGTATAAAATTTCTAAAACAAAAGGCTTACTATAAGAATTGGTGTTAATCTCCCTAGAGTCAACATACATTATGTCAGAGTTGTCATTCGGTTTTTTTTTTTTTTTTTTTTTACAATTAGAATGGGGCTTGATAAAGTGTAAAATGATTGTTTCAAAGAGGGCATCCATTTTTTTTTTATCGAACAACCTCTTATAATTTGTAAGGTCTCTTTAGACTATGTTAGGGTCTTAAGAATTAAGAGGTGCCCTTAATAATAAAATGAGTTATACTTCTTAAAAACATCGATAAGGGCTTTGTTATCGTCGCCTTCCAAATAAGTTTTGATACAAGAAAAGTTAAGACTGTCTGAGGTTGGGCACTTATCTGTTTTTGTCGTTTCAGGTTTTGAGAAAATAATGTAGTCACTGTTTATCTCTCCTTTAACCCCCCACTCTACAAGGTCCCGTCCAACAATCACGGATTCAAAAATAATATTCTCTTTAATAATATGAAACAAAAGAGACACTGAAACACTTTGAATTATGACCGGGCTTAAAATTTGTGTATTACAATAAGTCTCCGATGCCTTTCAGGGGAACTACTTCATTGCTCAAAGTACACAGAAATTTATTTGAAAAATTTTCAGATACAGACACACATTAGTACTACATGAACAAGTACACCCACTACTAAAAAGAAAAGGAACAGTCTCACCAGATGACGTCGTCAACTCCCCTCGGCTCGGCCCATGGTCACACAGATATCTCCTTCACCGGCGAGCCTCAATTACCGGTACCTTTTACGATCAAGACACGACGAGACGTCCTAACCCTTATATCTGCTTCCGTACGATCCAGATTGAACCGGATCAACTACGTCGTCGAAGTTAGTTGAGAAGTTGACATTATTTTCATCGACAAGTTTCTCATTATTTTTTACAAAGTTTGACATAGATGGATGATCACTACTCTCCTCATTTTAAAGCCCTTTCGATCCCACTTCTGATGTAGGAGGGCGTTGTAAGAACAGGAGGGCCTTCATGGGAACTCATACTTTGAAAGGGATAAAGTACAGTCTATTCAATACGACACCAACTCAATCGAAACACTAGATATAACTATCACTTCGATACACAGCGATTCGTCACGAGCGCGGTGCGCGGGCGTCATCTCGCACGATACTATAAAGATGGCCGCCCTCGCTACCAACGACAATGACGCTTCACTAGGCTAACCTCAGACAGCTAAAAGTCAACCTGACGTATGATTTTTGACGGATGCGCCGTCATGTTAATCTTATACGATAACCATAATAATATTTATGTTTAAGTGCACTAGAAAAAGACAACAACAAGTTCGAGAGGAGCGTTGCATTCATTCATTTATATTACTAGAGTTAATACAGTTTACTAATATAATGACTGAGTATAAACACTAATATGAAATTGAATTATTAACGAACTTACATTGTAACAAAACCCAAATATTTTCCTTATCGGTACCGATTCACTATATACGTAAAAATGAATTTCAAATCCAAAACTACTAAAACAATACGGGGAAAAGTTTAACTTGATTTCAAAGTTTTAGTGGTTGCTAAATAATATTGACACCTATGATGTAATATTTAGCTTCTATTGTGGGTTTAACTCCCACTTCAAAACAATTAATTAAACAGTATTAAGTCTATTCAAAAATTGGTAAAATCACTCGTACCATTTTGACACTTCACGATATTTCTATAAACTGTTACCCAAATTTCTTCAGACGCTATTTTAAGAGCATCTTAGAAATAATATTCCCTTCATGAAGTATCATCAAAATGTTGTAACAAAACTTTTGATCTTAATTCACTGTTTTATTATGTAAATAAAAGAAAATAATGGATGTTGATAAACCACGATGGTCCATAAAAAATTTCACTCTTTAATATTTTCTATTTTAATTTCAAAACAAAATTAAATTCCATTTCAAAATCCAAATAGTTGCTTAAAAATTTACTTTTCAATATTATAATAAAATTGAACTTAAGTGGCAAACGATTATTATAATTTCTTCTTACGAAATTAATTTCAGTTATGGCAATTTACTGTCTCAAATTCATACATATAAATACTTTGTTGAAGGAAAAATAATATATTTAACTATTAACAAATATATATCAGGTGAGTTTTAATATTACCCATAATATACGTGGGTTTACACAATTATGTAAATGAAAGTCTAACGCGAACCAGAATTAGCATTTGGGGAAGCCCTTCGACTTGCTGCTTAATATGTGGCTGGTGTTGTGGGAAAATATCATCAGTTAAACCTGTTTTTAAAAAAATAAGATTCTATGGTTCTACGACTTATTGGGAGGCCATGAATCAACTCGCGACTTCACGTTACTGACGCTATATTCTGATTGAGGTAGGATATGAGTGCCTGGGTCTCATCAAAAACGATCTGTACTTTCCCAGTGATTGGGGTAGCATAGATGCTCTTTGTCATTAGTTAGGCAGCCCTTAGAAACTGTGGAAACAAGTTCGATGACTCTAAATAAAACATATGATTTCTTTCCCTTTAATGGGCTGGGTACAAACACGGATATTTGAGACATCTTATTGGATTGAAAATTTGACACCCATTACCCAATTAAAAGACCCTTTGGAAGTGTTCTAACTGTTACTGATGAGTCAGACGCGATGACTCTGGATGCTTCTTTAGGTATTCCAATTTCTCTAGACTAGGGAAAGCATCCTAATCGTTCTGGTTTGTATGCCTACCAATGTGGGCTTGAACTTGAACATAACCCAGTACTGCTAAGCGGGAAGATATGCGTATTTGTTATTAAAAAAATCTCAATGTTAGATTGTTAGGGACATCTTTGTTGTTTCTTATTTATGTACTTCTTCTTTAAATATATCCGACAAAAACAAAAATAACTATCACCATACATTTTCACGGGAATAAACACTATCCACATTATGTAGACCAACAGAATACGTAACGTACATACATAATAAGAGTATTAAACATAGCACAATGCACGAGAACTTGTACAAGACAAACTCTACTCAATAATTATTATTTCTTTATAATATTTCTTAGATAATCATAAATCTATGAACATCACGACCAAGGTTGGGTTAAGTTACCACGAACGTCACCGTCGTGATCAACATGGCTTAAATGATTAAAGATAACCTAAGTTATTAGTTATGCCCTTGTAAAGAAACAATAAAATAAAAAAAATGTAATACAAATGTAACAAGGTAGATACTTTTTATATAAGATTTTTAAATCTAATACAATCTTATGTGTAATATTCAAAAAACGCTTAGAAATTATCTCCGCAATTATGCAAATATGTCTTTTTTTATTGATAAAAAAGGCTAGATAAAAATATCAAAAGATTAAGTAACATTATAAAATAGATGAATTTAAAGATTTACTATTTTAATACTGTTATATTGACGTCAACATTTAGCATGTCTTGGACTCGGAAAACTACCAAATTATAATGTATTCCTACATTTGTTTATACTGCACAAGAGGCGTAAATGGTATTATTCGCTATTTGGGAACTATAATTTGGTGTTTACATAACAGTGTTAATTAATTTCGTCTGAAAGACACACTTTGTTTATTTATTTATGACTTAATTTTTCGTTTATCGTCTACTGTAGAAATTTTAACTATTATACATGTAGATAGTATTATGATTTTTAATGTTTCTACTTATATGTATCACATAGCCAATTGTAACAAATTTTATTATATATATAATAATTTTGATAAGAGAATGGAGAAAAATCTGAATGGGAACTGCGCTAAATTATACATTTTATAATCTTGATACAAATAGCGGTTTTGTGGTATTAGAATAAAGCTATTACTATGGAAAAAATTTAGTATGTACTTACGTTCATAAAACAGCTACAATAGGCGATAAAACGCTGACTTCAATGAGAAAAATGGTTAATCAGAAACCAAGACGTTAAATTCAAATCTATTCAAATTATTATAATACTCTAAACCCTAATATTATAATTGTATTTTTCGAAATAAATGTCATTAAATTTCTCATTTACCGAAACATTTGATGGGAAAGAATCAACAATTCTTTCTACCTATCATAAAACCTCTGAATCCGGCTCTAGAAATTGCAATTTGCAATTCGACTATTAAATAACATAAATAAATAATAAGTTATGTTTAATTACATGATGAGAAAGGTGAAAGATAGAAAATTACCTAATAGCATCTGTAGGGTATTTATTTAAGTTGTAAATGATGGAAGTAATTTTTTCTTTCTCGTTATATAATTTTATCGTATAATCACTCCCAACCTGTGTTTTAGTTGACCTGTTAACCGTTTATTACGCGGGGCGATCTTCGACAGTCATTACACGTACATCATGCGGAATTATTTATCTGTTGTAAAAACATAGCGCGCCATGTCGCTGCTTCAGTGACCTTCTTCCTTTGGTGGTAGGAACTCGTCTTACCATACAATGTTGCGAACCAACCAAGTACGCGAACTTATTTAATCTAAATTATTCATTCATAATAATTGATTAGTGATTAAGAGTTTTTTTTTGAAGAATCTGCGAGTATGGCCGCAAAGGTTTGCAATTTTTTTTTTACTTATTAAATTTCGTGTGAAATTTTGTGGTTTTTTTTTTCATTATATTTTGTACAAACACCTAGTTTTTTTTTTCTTAAACTGACTTATATTTTAAGAATAACTTCAATATTACGATACTACAGCGTATTTATTATATCAAACATTCGAATATCCCTGCACAGCTAGTACAAAGAGTATGATTAAATTTATATTATATGAAAAAATACAATTTCTCCTCCTAAGGAAATAAGTAATAACCCCATGGTTCTCTAGGAATATAGAAAGTACCATAAAAGCGAATTATTTGTTTTAAAAAAACGAAATATTAATTCATCAAATAACTAGAATCCATGGCTAAGTGCAATAAAATAAAATTATATAATTTCTAACTGCAATTGCGAATTTTAATGCGACTGAATAATCCTCAGTGTTCTTGAGTTTTATAAGATGTTAATTGTATAGTATTAAAATAAAATTCATAACCTCCACCATCTAAGTGATAGAAAAATAAAAATATACGTTTCAGAATAGTAAAAGTGAACCTCAATTAAATGTATTTTAAATAACTTCTAGCTCTTAGTTTGGACATTCAATCCTAAAACTAATAAACATAGAGTTGTTAAGCTTTGCTTGGGCCATAAAATTATAACAGTATGAGGCTAAAAATTTCGGTTTTCATGCATGACTAAAATACATAAATCGGTTATAACATTTGAATGCTATCTTTTTTGTTGATGACGTCAAATATGTGTATGTACATTAAAATTATATCAAGGCATGTCGATTTCTTACTTTTTAAACAATACATTTTCTTTAATTTTTATAATCATAATTAATCATGAATAATTAGAGAAATTGTACACGTTTTACAAACTTATTTGATTAAAGCATTTCATTTAAAAAATGTTATGAATTAGTTACCGCTCTGCCACGTTAGTTAAGGTAAGATTTATAAATGCCATATCTCAATATATATGTATGTTGTACATAGAAAGTTATATTGTATGTTGCTGTAGCCTCAAAATTATACACTTGGATCTTTTTTTGTTGCTGTAAGAAAAGATATATAGATTTTTTATCAATCCATGAATCATCTTAGCACTTAAACCAAAACGTATCGAAGTTTAATTCAATATTATCCACATTATTTACTTCTAGATAACGGTGTTTTGTGAAAACAGTAATTTAAATTTCAATGATATTCTATGTCGTCTGGTAAAATATTTTCATTTAATATTCATTACAACATTTACAAGTCGCAAAAATATTAAATGTAAATAGCTACATTGATTTCAACTCCATTTATTTGTTTCTTTCTCGATAAGTTTTTATATAAGGGAAAAGAAAGTAAGGAATAAATTGTTGTTAACATATATGTACTGATTTGATTGACATTAAGAGCGATTGAACCGGTGGAACGGAATAATTTACAGAGATACGGACTGCAAATTTAGAACAAAACGTGACGAGGAATTAAAGAGATTAAAATACAAATGTTGTCACATAAAAAACATACGTTAAAAATGTTTAAATGTGAATTTGAAACTGTTAAAGCCAATTAGTAAATATATGAAAAAAATTCGTTGGGAAATAAATTATAAATTAAAAGTTTCCTGCTTAACAATATATTGAAGCATGTACACAAAATATTCTATTGTCCGAAAAACTATTTTCTGGCCTGTCATCATAAGATTATATGGATTAAACGACATTGACGCATTCTAGAGTCACCCGAGTGAAGCGAACCGTGACAAGAGGTAAGGTGGAAGACAGTCATTTCGCTGATTACTATGCATGTAATAGTAATTTGACATTGACATTGGTGCAATAGGTTATTTTTTTTAACCTTTCTTTTACTATCCGTCAACTAGAGTAAAATATTAAATATTAACGTCTTTTTTTCGACACATAAAAATTGTGCGAACAAGATAAATATTATAATGATGACATTGTTATTTGGACACTTTGAAACGTTTATTTTAATCATAAACATTGTATTGGAACTTCTGAGAATACTCGAGAGCTAATGCTGAGAAAATAATAACCATAAAATATAATAGTTGTATGCATTCTTGAGGATAAGTTGTATGAAAACCTTTAGATTTAATCTAAGTTATTAGAAACGTGTGAAGTTTTATACTTCAGAACATTTTTTTATAATAAACGATTACTACGATCGTAGCTTAAAAATGATCCAATTCAAAAGTTTCATGTGTATTTGGTTTGATGATGTCATTAATACAACCGAACGTAAAGAATATTTTTTTGCCAATCACAATACTGTATGAATGACGTAATTCATTATTTATAAGCTATTCATTGTAAAGGATATGTGTTTGTCTAAGATCCTTCAAATATGTTAAATGTATTTATGAGATTCTGTGTATTGTAGGATATCATTTTAAATATAAGAAAAACATGTGTTTTATCACAGCGAAGACTTTAATTAAAGAGCAGATTTTCATAGTAAATTAGAAAATACGTATAGAGTCGACAGAAAAAAAATGTAATATAATTTAGAATTAATCAAATTTCCTAATTAGAAATAAATTGTATTTAAACAATTCAAGCTACTATGGTCATTGTTTTAATCAGTTGATAAACACATAAATAAGTAAATAAACAGTCTTCCGAATCAAGAAGTCATTAGTTTCTCAAAGAAAACGTCTATGGCTGTCTGCGTTACAATAAATGATGTGTGAAGTTATATATTGAAAATATATGACAGAATTGGGATTCTTGAAACTCTCGGAGACTTATTTCTAATATCTATTATCTATTTTCAAGTTACTTAGATTGATCCCATCCTTTTTACTTCTAGATCTCCGAAGCCAGCTTCGTAACTAGTGTAGAGGAAGCTGTTCGGATAGACCAATGCACGCAGACCCCGCCGGTTGGAAAGTCTAGACCGAAAACCTTACAACGATATAACACTACCGACCACCTACTATACGAACGACCCAGACCCTATAGGCTAAGAGAGTTCCGACCGAAGAGTTTGGGTTTATGCGAGTCAAGTCAATGCCTCGGTAAACCTCCCAGCTATGACAGCGGCTGTCAAGTCAAGTGAGTGTCAAATTTATTACAATCAAAATAACAGATACCAGAATTTATCTCAATTTAACGAGTCAAATGTGATAGTATCAATGAATTTCATCCATTTCATATATATTAAATAGCTAAGCTTACGTTACATTAAGTTGTGTATGAAAAGCAACAAAAAAATCGTGAGGAAATGTTTGAAATATCAATACATGCTTCAAGATGTGCTGTATGAAACAGAAAATTATTTTGAAGAATATTCATAATAGTTTAAGCTAGCTAGCTTATTATTATTATATTATCCCTTTGGCATTGAAAACATATTTACGTGTAATAAAGCTAAGAAACAAAAACAACTTTATAAATATACCTATATTTTACATTTGAAATCACTTATGTATATTCAATACTCGTGACGATTGATTTGCTTATATAGATAATAAATAAAGTATTATGTTTGTTTACTTATTAAATGATTAGTATTTTTTAACCCTTTTTTAAACTTTTTGCAACTACGTGTAGACATATTAAAAACTAGAAAAATTTATCATAAATACATTTATTATTGGATTAATAGATAATGTTTTGTTTCGACAGACAAACTAACAGACATAACTATTATAAAATATGATGTATTTCTAATGTAACTGCAAAGTATAATCAAAAATATTCGTATCAAACTTTTATACCTCTGTTCCTACTATCATTCGAATTTATATGGTTTAATATTTACTTTATATGGATTCGAAATGCGCAACATGACTGAAAGTTAATTAAAATCAGGACTCATTTACCTGAATAGGGTAAATATTATGACATAATAATTAAAATAAGTAAATAAGTTAATATGTTTCTCCTTGTGCTGTCAAATGATAAAACTGAGAATCAGTTTGCACTACAACTGTCGTTTAAATAATATTCATTTGCCGTTGAAGTGTTATTACGTTCAGTTAGCTACGAGTGACCATGCCTTTGAAAGAACCGAGGTAATAGCTATAAAGATTTTATCAAGATACCTTCAAATTGTTAAAACTGCCTAGTGTCAGACATTTCGTAGGCTAATGGCTAGTTCCGCTTAACTTATTTTAATACATTACAAAACATTACTGAGTGACTTATAATTTTAGATTCTATTCGTAAAATCTTCATTCGATATAAAAAACATTAGATTATAGAACATGGAAATCTTCAATTATGTTTAGAAACGTAATATTTATTCAGTATTTTGTTTGGAATTTTAATTTTAGTGTTTTATTAGGGTCAAGTTGCCGTCAGATAGTCCAACTATCTCAGTGACTCCCCCCCACAGCCTGGAGTACGACTGTCCCAAGGGTAGCAGTGGCAGTGTCACCCCCACAATGATTCCGAGCAAACCAGCGACAGTGCTCTTAAGCCCTGGATATTTACAGAGCCCTTGTCAATGCACCCAGTCCATTAAGGTAAGACCACAAATTATCTATTGTCAAGGTAAAAAAGAAAGAACACTGACTTAATAATGTATTCACTGATTAAAATTTCAAATTATAAGTCCAATTTACGTTTTGCTAAAATCATCGGATACTCCCATTAAATTATTCCGCCATTCGACATGTCACAGAGAAATAAGATAGATGAAAAAATATATTTTTCTATTAACAAAATAGTTGCGTCAGAACGCAATAATAGGGACACGCTATAAAGATATTGGTTCTAAGATATTTAAAATAATCTTTTATCATCATCTATACTATTTTGTTTCAAACGTTTTGTTAACTACGTCAAAGTAGTTATCGTTATAACTTTGTATTTTATGGCCTTAAAGTAAGAAGTTCTTAAGAGCTAAACAATGGATTTTTATGTCAAATTGGTTTTCATTATATTTCTGTCTTTAACTATAATGAAAATAAATTAAAATATAACTTTTCAGTAAAGATTTCCATACAATAGACTATAAAATTGACTGAAAACAATTAAAATGCTAAAAAACCGTTTGGTTTAAATTTTATTGAATGTATGGAATTTGCTGTTTAAATATTATATTAATTAAGTTTAGAAAGTTACTTTATTTCTTACTTCTTAGAGTGAAATTTATTTGCGTATTTAACCATTCAGTACATAAAATATCTTACAAATTATTATACTAATAATAATACATGAAAGAATTTAAATAACACTGTACGTCCAAATACTGTCTGGATTTAAGTAAAGTATAATTTATAAAATTTTCATTCCTCGAATAATATTAATTTTGAAAGCAAGACGTATTAATATTAGCAAAGGAAAGACGCTATATAGATACCATACATACTCGTACATAGATTCAATGTCTCCATTCCATTTCGTTTTCAGAGTGGCAGTGAAGTAGCTCTGGCTATGCCGTGGAGCGAGGAGAAGGCTACTTCGGATGGACTCTCGTGGCGGAGGCTACACATGTCCCGAGCCAAGCTCAAAGCTACCGCTACCACCTCTGAATTACTCTCAGGTAAGTTATATGTATTAACTATAAAATATATCTAATAAATACATACTTAATATTGATTCACATCAGATTTTGAAAAATAATAATTTATTACTAGAGAAATAAAACAATTCAGAATCTATATAAACAAATAACAATATTTTATATATATTGAATATATACGACAATACCCAATTTAATAATTTAAGATCATACAACTTTCTTGTAACATTTTATTTTTAACTGAATTAATGTTATTGTGATATTTATGAATACAGTTATTTAATAGTTAATACGTTATTTATGATAAAACATATTCATTTATGATAATACATTTATATATTTAGAATACTTTTGAATGGATGACGTAAATTAAAAATATAGAATACATAATAAATAATATTTAAAAAATATGTTATAATAATGTCTTCATTTTAAATGACGCTTAAGCCGTTAAAATAAAGAAATCTATATATATAGACTATAGGTAATAAAATGCAACGCGTTTGTTTACTATAAATTTAAAATATTTAGATAAAGGATTATAAAGGGTTCGATGATATTAGATTTTAACAATACAAATGAGTCTCGAATGGTGTTTCGTAAAAATATATATACCTATATTACAATTATTATATGTTTTAAGGTTTCGCGATGGTAGCGATGGTGGAACTTCAAATAAACGAACCAACGAATGTGCCCGAGTGGTTGTTTGTTATGTTTGCTGTGTGTACAACAGTACTAGTTGCTGTTCACATCTTCGCTCTCATGATCTCTACATACCTCCTGCCGAATATAGACGCAGTCAGCAAGATGGACACACCGGGGGATCCCGCTAGAGCGCTGAGGGATTCCCCGCACGAGAGAATGCGCGGTTTCATTGAGCTCGCCTGGGCATTTAGCACTGTTTTAGGTATGTTAGTCCCTATATTAAATTAATTTTTAATTTTCTTTTGTACTATAAATTCTATAAACGTCTAGTTGTTTTATTATTTTAACTAAAAGACACGCAATTGCATGAAATGTTAATATTATTAAATGTTAGTTTGTACATCTAAATGATCAGTAATGATTTTATAATTTTATTTCAGGATTATTTTTATTCTTAGTCGAGATAGCTATATTGTGTTGGGTCAAGTTCTGGGACTATTCCTTCGCGGCCGCAACCGCAGCCACAGTTATTGTTATACCAGGTAATTAAGTATAATATCAATAAAAATAATAAACTAAAAATTTAGTCAATTTAAATGTAAATGTAATTTGTTATACTTATATAACTATTTACGATATTACCTATCCTTAAAGAATAGCTCTTTATTGAAAATATATAACTTCAGGAAAAGAATCATGTTGTACCTTACAAGAATACATAAAATTCTTGAAGTTGCACAAATATTCCATTCTGTGTCTATTTATAGTAAGAATGATATTTAATTATTTTAAATTGTTTCAGTATTGATAGTGTTCGTTGCGTTCGCGATACATTTCTACCACTCGCTAGTTGTACAGAAGTGTGAAACCTCCGTCCAAGACATCAAACAACTAGAAAACATGAAAAGAGACCTCGATACTGCTACTGTTAAAGTGAATATGTTTTAGACATTAATGACTTTTCATTTGTTATCTGTGAAGGCTACAGTTGAAAATAGTAATGCCAAAACAATGTAAAAATGAATTCTCCAGCACTGTTTTAACTTAAAATGTATTAGACATTAGTGATGTTGTATTTGTTATTTGTGAAGGCTACAGTATAAACTTGTAATGCCAAATCCGTGAGAAAATAATAATTGTCAGCATTATCGATGTTAATATGCGTTACACATTAGTGACAAGATGAAGTATATGTTATCTGTGAGGGCTACAGTTGAAGGTTGAAACTTGTAATGACAATTGAGAAAATTGCCAAAATTGTGTTAAAGAAAATGTGTCCAGCACTGTTATTAAAATTTAAAAAGTAATTGTAGTTTTAAGGTTTGCTGTTGTTAACGTAATATTGCTAACTAATTAGCCCACCACACATTTACCTAAAAGAAGTATCTAAAAGGATGCAATAGTTGAATAATTCTGTATAAACAAAACATACATGCCAATTAATAATAGACAAAATATCGTAAATTATTCTGAAGCTAAACGTTTTTGGCCGTGTATATGATATTATAAAATACTGTTGATGTGATAAATTATGTATCATACTATAATAAAGTAGAATATAAAAATTGTGCCTGTAGTGAAATTAAATAATATATAATATTATACAATTACTCATAAAAATTTTGTACCTTTATCTTAAAATTCATAAGACTGTAATCAAGATTAGTATAGAGTAGATTGAAGACATGTGATGCCTATGGTGCTTAGATAAAAATATTAATTGTGAAGTAGATTAATTCTGAAATTTTACTTGTGACTTTATGGACCAATTGTTAGTTTTTAAATATATTTATATGAAACGCAATTTTAACTTAATACACTGTAGTATTATTGAAGCTATTAAATAATTTGATTGTGAAATTTATGTTTTCTTTATTAAATAAAAACAGTATTAATTTTTATATTCCTTTATTCTCAAATTTAATTATCTATTATTCTCCATATTACAAAGTTGGAATAAACATTGACATGTAGTAAGAAATATTTAAAAACTTCCTTTTAATTTTTTAAATTATTCTCTAGGATCATTTTTATATCAAAATCTCACATTACACAAATCACAATTAAATTGAAATTAACATTCAAGAATGTTAAAAACACAGTTTGAATCAACAATCTCTTTAGATTGTTGATTCCTGAAATTGAATAAAAATTTTTAGTTAAAAAATGCACACACATGTGAACAATATTTACTAATAGTGTTCACATGTGTTAAGATCTACAGCAAATATATAATGGTTTATTAATTAATAATAAACCTAAAAATAATAAATTAAAAATAATTATAGTAAAAAAAAAACTTAGTCTTCAATAAACATATACATTTATACCATGCAAGTTTGCAAGTTACCATGCAAGTTACCAAAAATGATACCAAACATACATTAATACAATATAACTTAAAAACTAACTTCAAAAAGATCCACAATACAAACTGTATTTATATATTAATAGTAGAAATAACATTTTCAAATTATTGTTAAGTGAATAGAAAGAAACAATATCAAATATGCATGGATAATAATTTCATGTAAGGTTCATGAATCTAACAAGGTAATTACTTAAAATAAGTAGTAAGTAAAGTAGTAATTACAAAATACTTAAATAAATGTTTTTCTTAATCCCTAACATTAAATTATTTAGACACATTGGCGGTAAACATACAAATTTTAAAAAAATAATACCAATAATTTTTAATTCATCTACTATCTGCATTTTCAAATATCAAGTTACAACCCATAAGAATTCTCTAGAAATGTAGAAACATCAAATTATAAAACACCAAAAAAAGAAAATCAGGAAAAAAAATCTACTCACAATTTTATTACTAAGTAATGTCTGGTCAAATCGATAAGATTTGACCACATTAATAAAAAAACACTGGTATATCTTAATAATCTTCAATAAAAAATGAATTATATATAAATGTTATTAACTCTAAAATCATTTATAAACCAATTAAAATCTATCAATCAATCTAAAAATATTTATAAATCAATTATAAGTAAAAACACATTTACAGTACCACAGAGTTTTAAATTATATGTTTGAAGTACAACAAAGTTATTTAGTTGAAAACATAAAACATAAATTTGAAACAGCACATTTTTGATTTTGTAATCAAATTGTATCAAAAGCTGTTATCTTCATCACTTTCAAACTTACACATTATTCATTAACTACCACAAACATTGTCACATTTCCATATCCATTCTAGAATGTTCTACCACAAGGACACCATTTCTCTTTTCCAGTTTCTCTTCCTCGGATTCTACATCTTTGTCTTCTTTTATCTTTTCTAGAATGTTCTCTCTTGGTCTCCAAACTACAAGTGACATCTGTGGCTTTAGCAGTCTGAAAAAAAGTGTTACAGTTTATTGTACAGTGGATAAAATTTCACTTAAATAATCTTTATACCAATATTTTAAAGTGATCATGTAGTATAGGAGTGAGTATATGATCTATGTCTGTCTGTCTGGATCATAAATTTAACTCTGATACATGTAATATTATATAACATATACCTTTCAATAAGCGACGCCGGAAGTCAGGTTCATCTTGAAGCTTCTACACATTATCTAATAGTAGTATGATGGTATGCCCCTTGAGTTTTCTGCTGATGCTAGAAGTTGTTGCAACTGATGCTGTCGGGTCCACCTCCATCGCATCCCCACTACCTAGGAAGTGTTCTGTGTAGCTTGATGATATGTGCAAAGCATTGAGATGAGCTGCCATTATCTCCTCTGTTATAAATTGTTTTACCGGTCTAAAACAATACAAACTTATTTATGATCTGTATGGCTCCTGGCACTCATTTTTGGTGAATAAAATTGTTAGAACAGGTATCTTAGTTATATAAAAGTGTTTTTCTAGCATTCCTCGAAAAAAAAGATCTTGGTGTAAAATTGAGTGAAGCAACCTCAGTGTTAAAAATTAATTGGATTTTTGATCAAAAACCTTTTTTTTCGTAATAAAAACCACCCCATCTCACTGCGCGGGCTATCAAACAAAAAATCTCGACTCTATTGGGCTTTATAACACCATTACTGGCCAGTATAATATTTCGCTTGTTTCAATCAATAATTTATGCAAAAATTTCTAAGTTACATGTTTTAAATATGATTTGAATATTAGTTTCTATCTTAGTAAGACACAATTATGTTTTGTGTAAGAATTATTTCACAAGAAAGCAAATTCGTAAAATGTAAAACATTTCATGATTTACAAAGTAACTTAAATTGTTTATGTAAAGAGTATATCTGTGAATAATTCATAAAATTATCACATAACTATCGAAACTAAAAAGAATCTAATATAATGATAGAAAAGTTCAAATGTAATCAGAATTTTAGAAGTAGGTAATATAGGTTTAAATAGAAAAAATAAGATATCTTGGTAACTTACATTGGTGGACACATTACATCTTCACTTTTTCTTTTGCAACGTACTTTTAGAGCCACTTTAGTATCCGGAGTCTGAGCAGTAAAATGAACTAAATTTCCAGATGACTGCATTTTCAAAGATATACCCTGAACGTTCCTTGGGGATCCTGTGGGTGCCGGCATATAATACGGTTGTTCCATTCTACGAACTGATGAAGCTAAAGTCTGTTGGGCAAACATTTGCTTCGCCAATTCATCTGATTGATTGTATGAATACGAAAAGCAGCCGTAGAAATCCATTTCTCATAAAACAATCGGTAAATAAGTATTATTACGTTACGAGTCCGCTACGAGTGACCACGCCGTTGAAAGAACCGGGGTAATAGTTATAAAGATTTTATCAAGATACCTTCAAATTGTTAAAACTGCCTATAGTGTCAGACATTTCGTAATGGCTGGTTCCGCTTAACTTATTTTAACATAACATATTACTGAGTGAGTTATAATTTTAGATTCTGTTCGTAAAATCTTCATTCGATATGAAAAACATTAGATTATAGAACATGGAAATCTTCAATTATGCTTAGAAACGTAATATTTATTCAGTATTTTGTTTGGAATTTTAATTTTAGTGTTTTATTAGGATCAAGTTGCCGTCAGATAGTCCAACTATCTCAGTGTCTCCCCCCCACAGCCCAAGGGTAGAAGTGGCAGTGTCACCCCCACAATGATTCCGAACAAACCAGCGACAGTGCTCTTAAGACTCGTATATTTACAGAACCTTTGTCAATTCATCCATACACAAACTCAAGGCCACCCCATCTTTGATTTCTGGAGCCCTGGGCTAAAACTGCTTAGAGGCCCTACCTAATTATTTAACTAATTGCCATTTTGACAAGAAACTATTTTCTAAAATATATGTTAAGGACAGGAATAAATAGGAAAATAAAATATTTTATTTATTTATTAAAACATTATTTATTGCAACATTAATTGAAAGGTTATATATAATTATGTAATTTAAATTTAAACTCTTTTAAATTTTTCTGCGCCGTTTACTGAGTCCTTGATTTACTCAGACTTTGGTTTTCAAAATCTTGCATATTTTTATTACGATTTTTAATGGATTTTTATTTTTTTCATTCGCGTTTATATGTTCCGATTTAAAAAAAGTTTCAATTTTTGCGTATATTTTCTCGACCAAACTGTAATTTTCTTTTTTCCGCTCCACTCTTATCTTTTCTAACAGACATATTGTAAAATAAGGTATTTGAGTGAAAATATACAAAAAACTGGATAGAACTGTTAATTTTAATACCTACTTTATAGGTACTGAGTGCAGCATTATTCACAAATTATAATCATAAAATATCGAACGAGTTCGATTCATTTAGTTTTGAATAATGAAATAAAAATAAAAAAGTCACGTTTTATAATTCTTTCTACTTACCTACTGCCTATTAAAATGAAATGTCCGGTCCTTATAAGTTTTGAGTTATCTGTCACTTAGTAAACTAAACACACTCACTTAACAAATTTCTAATAATAAAAAAGTAAATTCCTCAAAATAATGAGCATTAGCAGAAGTGCGGAAAAATAATAAAAAATGGTGGTGCGAGTAGTGGAGGCAAGTTCCAGTAAAAGACAATACACGGAATACACAAGACAATACACGGACAATAGACCGAATATCTTCAATTCTTAATCTTTCATTACACAAAATTACTTATCGTTCTTGTCTCAAAGAATTGTAATATTCGCGTACCGACTTAGTCGTTGTTCATGCTCATGATCGTCTTCGAGAGATCGAATATTATTATGGTGCTCCTTTTCATTTGTCAAACGGTTTGCATATTGAGTAAAAGTTTTAGATTTTCGAGATAAAATATGACGTTCGCGGTCACCGGTGGGACGTAATTCCCTCGGAGTATAGGTTTCTGACTCGCGAGACAATGTATACCGTTCGCGGTCAGCAGTAAGACGTAATTCTCTGTCAGTGAAAGTTTCTGACTCGAAAGACAATGTATGCAGTTCGTGGTCAGCAATGAGACGTAATTCCCTGTTAGTGAAGGTTTCTGACTCGCGAGATAATGCATGCCGTTCGCGATCAGCAGTGAGACGCAATTCTTGTTGTGACGCAGTTTCAGAATCTCTGGATAACACATGTTGTTCTCAGTCAATGGTAAGCTTCAGCTCTCGTTGAGAAGAGCTTTGAGACGCCCGTGATGTAGCTCGTCTCGCTCTGTCAACTGCTAATCGCATCTCTTTCTGTGAAGAGCTTTCATTGGCTCTTTCCTCTGCCCATTCTTGAGAACGCGCATTTCTCATCCTCTTAGCATCGCTCGAATTTCGAGATAAAGATGGTCATTTTTTAGGTGGTATTGTGTATTTTTAATCGACGGTAACTGAAGCTACCTTACACTTACGATAATATACGAGTATAGTAATTATATAATAATCACGAAAATACACTATTAATACAATTAAACACAACCAAAATAACTAATATGGGTACCTACTATTACTGCAGTTATAAAGTAATAAAATGAAAACTAATAACATATTTTAAACACCTGCAAAACTTTTAATACCCATTATATAAAATAACAACAAAACATATCTAAAAATAAATAATTATTCAAAGACTAAAAATCGTGCTAATAAGCACGGTTTGAAAATAACAATTATTGTGTGGCAATAAGGTCGGATAGTCTGAATGTATATTCGCATCAACAGCCAAATATTTTATTTTTTTGTTTTTTTTTTTTTTTTTTTTTTATTATTATTAAACTCCATGAACTCTAGGGTCCATGCCCTTTTTAGACAACAAGATTTAATTTTAGATATTTCTCAAGAATTAGCTCTCAGTTATATTCTTAATGGTGTTGAAATCCCTCGATTTGATTGCCATTTTGATGTTGTAGTTCTCGATCTGCTGGGCGGTTGCTGATGTTGATATAGTGACGATTTTTTCAAGTGCGTCTTGATGGTTATCTGAATAGTAAAAGAAGGCCTTTGTGTGTCTGGACATAGCTACTACCGCGTGGGGCACGCTGTTATGCAGTGAGCAGTTGGTGGGGCTGCGTTTTATAACTACGACGATCTCGCTGGTTTGACCTTGGGCTTCATGAATAGTCATGGTGCGGGATTCTTCTCCAGTTCCGTATCCTTCTTGCAGCAGTTCAGATTTCTCTTTCTGCGTGTACGTAAGGTAGAGGGTCCTAGGTAGGTGTTTGGGTATTTTCGCACCAGTGTATTCCTTCAGCACAGCGGATTTTACTATACCGTTGGAGGAGTAGATGCCGTCATAGATGTCTTTGAGCGCGTAGGCTACGTCCATAGGGCAGCGTCTGGTACACAGTAGTTCCTGATTTATATTTGCCAGATGTTCAGGCCCTTTGTAGTACAGTCTGAAGAGATTTTCGCGTTCAATGAAGGGGAGTTGGTTGATGTCGCCGATCAGCAGAACCTCGCTGGCATCAGTGATTTGTTGTGCCATTACTATGGAGCCAAAGTGGTTCATAAGTGCCTCGTCGATTATTAGTCTCTGGCACACTATGTTCCGTTTGACCCCATTCGCGATCACTGATGCGATTGTACGGATTCTGGCCGCGGCGGCGGGTCCCTTCGTGATCGCCACCTTGTTCTTCAGATCTGTCTTACCTTCTGTAGTTGTAGTCACTACTATGTCCGTGGTCTCGTTAAAGTTCTTCACTATCCAGGTCGTCTTACCGCATCCCGGTACACCGTTTGTCCAGTTGATGGTTGGAACCTTCCATTCCTCGAGGTCGGTGGCTTCCATCAGTTCGTCCGCTCTTTTTAATATGCTGTCCTCGAGGTAGATCCTTGTGGAATCGGTTACAACCACTATCGGGTCCGTGGGTGGGGTGTCATAGATCAGTATTCCTGATCTCCCGGTGTCAGTCTTGTTAAGGTAGACAATGCCCTTTTCTCCATTGTATGCAGCCATATGGGGTTGCATTTGTCTTCCCCTAACCACTTCCGAGGTGCTGTTGTTGTAGATCGTCGCTTCGGCTTCCTCGAGTAATACCTTCAATAAACCTTCGTTCCCTAGGTGGAACGTCTCTAGGATTTTGCGGCATCTGTTGGTCTTTTCCGCTTTTTGCCCTTTAATTATTGAGATATACTCAAGGAACGCATTTATAAGATGGTCTCTTGGTTCGACGATCTTCCTATATTCAGGAGACTGAACCACACCCATTGCGGCTTTGGTTCTTCTTGTTGGCGCACTGTGTGGTGGGTTTTTGTAGGCTGTTGGGGGTGTTCCGTGGATTGCCGACTCGATTAATGGTTTACTTCGAGCTCCGTGCGTTAACTTTTGGAGGATCGAGGATATGGTGCACCCGGCCGAAGATTTTTTGGCTTTGGGGTCTTTCTGAGTGCTCTTTTCCTGGAATCTCCGTTGTTGAAGCTCTGAGCCTGATGGTTTACCGGAGCTAGTTAGGCTTGATGGATAACCTGTAGCGGGGGTGACAGTGGGGGTTTTGGGTTTCCGGATCTTCAGGTAACTTAGGTCTTCCCCTCTGTCTTCGTATATGATCACCTCGTGGAATTCTGATGCTTCTACACTTCCTAGATGATCTAATACTTCACCCTTGTAGTAGCCCGCGGACAATGCGTCGATGCTTATGATCTTGGGTGGTAACGCATTGTCTTTGCTGGTCTTCGCTATTGCCGAAAGGAGGGATCGGGCTAAGCTGAACTGGGATCTGTCGTTTTGTGCCTCCAGGATTAGTATTGTCTTGTTCTTGATGTACAAGACGCGGCATTTGTGGTTTCCGACTTCCGCTTCTCCTATTGCTTCCAGTTTCTTCCTCCTCATGGCGGTTCTCCCAGAGTTGCCTTTTATGATTGAGGCCAGTCCCGGTGCAATAGATACGCTGTTCGGTCCGGTGTTCGAGCAGAAGCTGATCCCCAGTTTTTCATAGGGGGTGTCCATGTATAGGGCCACGCTCTTCGTTCTTAGTCCCGGGATCCCACTCTCTCCCATTGATAGTATGCTTTCGATTTTTTGTCTAGGCATACCGACTTGGGTGGGCGGTTCTATATGCCGGGAGTTGGGTGTTGGGTCTATACCGGAGATGATGATCTGTTCTTCAGCTGCTCTATCCCGGTCCGCGTTGCTATATCTTTTTGCGGCTGCCCGTAGAATCTTGTCAGCGTATGCGAGGAACGGTTCCCTGGTCTTCTTGTCACAGAGTATTATTGGTAAGATCTCCATGTCGACGGTGGTGTTGATTAGGTTTTCTAGATCTCTTCTGGATCCTTGATATCTTGGGCAGTTCAGGAGTAAGTGCCACACCGTCTCGGTTACGGTGGGATCACACTCACATCCCGGACTCGCTATTAGCCTGAATCTGTGCAGGTATTGAGCTATGCCTCCGTGACCAGTCAGCATTTGCACGTGTGTTGGTGTTAGTTTAGTGCTCCTCACCGTTCTGTATGCTGAGTCAACGTCGGGGAGGAACATTTTTGTGACCGTGCCTGTTGGTGAACGGCTGTATCGCTGTTGCCATCTTTTGAGGCTTTCTTCTCGGATCTTCCTCTTGGCGTAGGACAGGGGGATTAGCTGGTAACCTGGGTTTGAGGTTTCTAGTAGGGCTGCTGATTTAGCCAGTTCATCTGCTCTCTCGTTTCCCACTGTACCTGCATGTGCTCGTAGCCAGAAGAATCTGATTTTTCGTCCGGCTGTTGTCATTTCTAGGATATCATCTTTGATTTGTTTCTGTAGGGGCAAGACTTCTTTGGCTGATTTTAGAAGTTCCAGCTATTTTTTTATGTTAAAGGGGGCAACCGAGCTGACGGCCTACCTGACGGAGGTAGTACCGTTGCCCATGGACATCCGCGACATAAGACATGTTACGGATGTGTCGCCACCCTTGATTTGGTAAGAGGGGGAGAAAAAATGGGAAGGGGTAGGAAAGGATGGGAAAAGGGAAAGGGCAACTGGCTCTGTCAATCATCGAACGAAACGCAGCCAATAAGGCTACTTCACGCCGATCTTCTGTGAGAGGGTGGTACTTCCCCGGTCGAGCCAGCCCGTGTTCGATCTGCAATCACTTGACCACAGCTAGGCTGTACCACCTTGGAAATATTGTATATAATAGTGTACAAATATTATATGACGCTGGCGCCGCGATCGGACCCCTCGCCTGTTTATACCTCCCGCCGCGACGAGTGTCGAGCGCGGCAACCGATACACAAAAATAATCCCTATGGCCTATAGCATGACTGTATTCACGCGCGATGACTTATTATTAAATGGAAAAATTTCTTTGTCTACACCGATGTACATGATTCTTTTTTTATTGAATACTTAATAATGTTAAATTTTTTAAATTAGGGATGAGTGATAGTGTTGTAAACGTTAGAGTAGACAAATACAATCAGAAATCTCCGAATTTACATTTAAATTATATTTGTGACTTTATGGACCAATTGTTAGTTTTTAAATATATTTATACGAAACGCAATTTTTAACTTAATACACTGTACTATTACTGAAGCTATTAAATAATTTGATTGTGACATTTATGTTTTCTTTATTAAATAAAAACAGGATTAATTTTGTATATTCCTTTATTCTCAAATTTAATTATCTATTATTCTGCATATTACAAAGTTGGAATAAACATTGACATATAGTAAGAAATATTTAAAAACTTCCTTTTAATTGTTTTAAATTATTCACTAGGATCATTTTTATATCAAAATCTCACATTACGCAAATCACAATGAAATTGAAATTAACATCCATAGAATATTAAATATAGGTACTGTTTGAATCAACAATCTAAAGGTTATGAAGTGAGATTTTTTAGCTAAGTAATGCACACACATGTGAACACTATTTACTTAAATATTCACTTAAATTGTGTTCTCATGTGTTAAGATCTACAGCAAATATGTAATGGTTTATTATTAATAATTATAATTAAAAAAAACTTAGTCTTCAATAGAGATAGACATTTATACCAAATTTAAGTTAGCAAAAATGATTACATGAAGGTATTTAACCAATATCACTTAAAAACTAATTTCAAAAAGATTCACAGTACAAAATGTATTTATATATTAATAGTAGAAACAACATTTTCAAATTATTGTTAAGTGAATAGAAAGAAACAAATTAAAATCAAATATGTATGGATAATGATTTCACATAAGGTTAATGAATCTAACAAGGTAATTACAACAAAATACTTAAATAAATATTTTTCTTAATCCCTAACATTAAATTATTTAGACACATTGGCAGTATATTTTGAAACAATAAACATACAAATTAAAAAAAAATACCAATAATTTTTATTTCTTTAGATTAGATTCTTTAGAAATGTATCAAAAGGAAACGAGAAACATCAAATTATAAGACACCAAAAAAAGAAAATCACGAAAAAAAATCTACTCACAATTTTATTACTTATTAACGTCTTATTAATGTGGTCAAATCTTATCGATTTGACCACATTAATAAAAAAACACTGGTATATCTTAATTAAAAATTGAATTATATATAAATGTTATTAACTCTAAAATCATTTATAAGCCAATTAGTAAAAACACACTTAAAGTACCACAGACTTTTCAATTATATTTTTGAAGTACAATAGTTATTTAGTTGAAAACATAAAACATAGATTTGAAACAGCACATTTTTGATTTTGTAATCCAATTGTATCAAAAGCTGTTATCTTCATCACTTTCAAACTTACACATTATTCATTAACTACCACAAACATTGTCACATTTCCATATCCATTCTAGAATGTTCTACCACAAGGACACCATTTCTCTTTTCCATTTTCTCTTCTTCGGATTCTACATCTTTGTCTTCTTTTATCTTTTCTAGAATGTTCTCTCTTGGTCTCCAAACTACAAGTGACATCTGTGGCTTTTGCAGTCTGAAAAAAAGTGTAACAGTTTATTGTACAGTGGATAAAATTCCTCTTAAATAACCTTTATACAATCTTTTAACAATGATCATCCAGTTTAGGATCGAATACATAATTGATATTTGGTCTGGATCATAAATCTAACTTGGATATATGTAATGTTAAGTAACATATACCTTTCAATAAGTGACGCCGGTAGTATAGGTTCATTTTGAAGTTTCTTCACATCATCTGATAGTATGATGGTATGCCCCTTGAGTTTTTCACTGATGCTAGAAGTTGTTGCAACTGATGCTGTCGGGTCCACCACTACCTCCATCACATCCTCACTAGCTAAGGAGTGCTGTGTGTAGCTTGATGATATGTGTAAAGCATTGAGATGAGCTGCCATTTTCTCCTCTGTTATAAATTGTTTTGCCGGTCTAAAATAATACAAATTTATTTATGATCTGTATGGCTCCTGGCACTCATTTTTGGTGAATAAAATTGCTAGAACAGGTATCTTAGTAACCTATATAAAAGTGTTTTTCTAGCATTTCTCGAAAAAAAAAAGGTCTTGGTGTAAAATGGAGTGAAGCAACCTCAGTGTTAAAATTTGATTGGTTTTTTTGATCAAAAACTTAATTTCTGTAATAAAAATAAGATGGGGTGCATCTAACTGCGTGGGCTATCAAACAAAAATCCTCGACTCTACAGAGCTTTATAACACCATTACTGGCCAGTATAATATTCCGCTTGTTTCAATCAATAATTTATGCAAAAATTTCTAAGTTACATGTTTTAAATATGATTTGAATATTAGTTTCTATCTTGGTAAGACACAATTATGTTTTACTTAAGAATTATTTCACAAGAAAGCAAAATCATAAAATGTAAAACATTTCATGATTTACAAAGTAATTTAAATTGTTCATGTAAAGAGTATATCTGTGAATAATTCAAAAAATTAACACATAACTATCGATACTAAAAAGAATTATAGGATTGTTAAAAATTCATAATACTAAAATCTAATATAATGATAGAAAAGTTTAAATAGAAAAAATAAGATATCTTGATATCTTACATTGGTGGATCTACATCTAGACTTTTTCTTTTGCAATGTACTACTGGAGACACTTTAGTATCTGGAGTCTGAGCAGTAAAATGGACTAAATTTGGAGGTGACTGCATACTCCAAGGTATACCCTGAACGTTCCATGGAGATCCTGTGGGTGCCGGCATATCATGCGGTTGTTCCATTCCACGAACTGATGAAGCTAACGCCTGTTGGGCAAACATTTGCTTCGCTAATTCATCTGATTGATTGTATGGATACGAAGAGTAGCCGTAGATATCCATTTTTCATAAAAACAATCTATTTTACGCGTTTATTATGAAATAGTTGAAGTAATTCGCCAAATAACAGATGAATTGTAACTCTAGCAAGTAGGCACTTGGCGACTCGAAAATAAATGTTTATACAAAACAAGGACTGACAATTCGTGACTTCTAGAAATTTATAATGTTATAGACTTAACAGAAACACAGATACAGAATTTTCTAGAATTAAACATTGCATTGTATAACTACTCTATGATAAGCTATAATAATTTAAGATGTCAGTTTCATTTTTTTATATACACATATTTATTTTTTAATATTATTTACATTCAGGTTTTCTTTTCTTTCTGCAAAAAAGATTATATAGGTGCATACAATTGTAGGATACAGTTTATCGATAATTGTCAAACACTTTTGTCAGTTCAAAATTTGGACTCGGGTTTGCTGTTTGCTTGTCTTCTGTCGGGTTAAATTGTGATGTTTTCTCGTTTAAATTGCGGTATAAACCTTTCACTTTCTTAGAAAACTAGTATTTACTGTAAAAAGCGTGACATCGAATACTTCAATCTCCAATGGCTCTTGTTTAACTTAAGGCACCCGTGTATTTTAATGATATAAATTTTATTAATTTGGCTGCTATGGCTTATTGACAACTTTTAATATCAAAATGGGTTTGGATTTTGATGTCTTTGAATTCTGCAAAAAATTGCGTCAGAACAGGCCTCCTCCGTATCAGTGTCCGCTAGAGAAATGTGATAAAGTATATAAGAGTTTATGTGGTTTGCAATATCACTTAGTAAACTATGACCATGACAATCCAACGCCGGCGACACCTTCGATAACAAGCAGTCGCAAGAAAGGCAGGGCTCGGGCTGCTGTGCCAACTGGAGATATCGCACTTCAAAGCCCTCCAAAGGAAGCTTTGACTTTTGCTGAAGCACAGAAAGTGGTGCAGTTTGAAGTTGATGGAAAAATTAGTAGAATACCCATTGACCAGCCATTGCCTATAGTATCATTGGAGGAGTGGGAGAGAAAAAATGCAGAATTAGAAAAGCCAATGCCATTTGTAGAGCCACCTTCAGAGCCTCATGTTAAATTACCAGAGGCTACATTCCGTGTAAGTTTTAGTTATTTTCAAGAAACAGTATCCATTCTCCAGTATACTAGCATCCATAAAAGTATTTTTAATAAGAAAATATTTACATACATCTTTTTATGATCTCCTTCCTCCTGATATCGCCCATCCCATTAACTTCAAATCCTTTCTATCTTTTGTTAATACCTATTTTATTTATATTCTATGTTCATTTATTAACCTCAATAGCATCAAGCTGTAGAATGTGTTTAGTTTAATCAACTAACCACCTGTATATATAGTGTGCATCTTTTTTGTTTGTTTTAGATACATCGACATTTTAGCATTCAATGAAAGACCTCAGCACCATTCTAGCTCTAAGCTTCTAGTCACAACCTTGTTCACTCACAAATCCTTTTTTACATAGTTCAGTATAATATCGGTACACGACATTGGCCGAATCTATAAGAAAACGCCACTGACTAAAGAAGATAAAGATAAAGATATTTAAATAGATATTACAGCTCATCAGTATAGAATTGTTTAGTATAACAGATTCATTGGAGTCGCGTTCGAGCCGCCGTAGGGATCGGACGTCTTGGTGTGATATAGTAATTTGGGTATGCCGTATCGAGAGCCGCTTGCTAAATTATTATATTAATTCACTAACCTAACCTAAGCTAACATAAGTTAACCTAACCTAACCTAACCTAACCTAACCTAAGCTGGTTTTGTGTTCTGGTTGGGAGATAGGGAATGGGAGATAGGGAATATGATGGGGGGGGGCCTGCCCCGGGGGGGGAAACGGGCAATTTCTTAGAGGGGTTTTCGGGTGTGGACGACTCGATGTCGTCTCGTCCGGAGTCGGCGTTAGGGGCCAAACGTCTCTTTTCGGAGATGTCTGGCTCCGATACCGAGACTGGGGTCGGGATGTCTCGAGGGTTGGAGCTGGTAGGGAGGCGAGGCCGAGGTAGACACCTGGCTAGAGCCAGGAAGTTCTTGCGCCAGCGGGAGGAGGAGGATTCGGAGGCTGTCTTCGACTCCTGTATGGAGAAGAAGTTGGCGAAAGAAAAGGGGAAAGGGAAAGGAAAGGAAAAGGAGGTCCCTCCGGAACTGGAGACGATGAGGGCGGAGGCAATCGTGGTTGAGGCGGAGAAAAGCCTCAACCTGATTAAGGATTTGGTGGGGAAGAGTACCAACCTTAAAGGGGGGTACTCTTCCAAAATTATGAAGGCCTCCGCCTTCTTGAAGGAGGTGCTCGACGTCCTGGTGACGCGCACCGAGGCAGAGGAGACCCACCGCCTTAGAGCCGACATCGGTCGGCTCCAAAGGGAAAATGCGAGTCTCAAGGAGGAGGTGCGCGCTCATCGCCTCCAATTTGAGGAGATGAGAAAAGAGAGGGTTGCGGCAGCCAAGGAGGCTTCGGAGGGCCCAGTCAGCCAGGACCAACTCCAAACGCTGGAGTCGAACATTGCCAGGTTGGTTGGCAACCTGGTCGATGGTCGACTTGCCGCGATGGAGTCCCGGCTACGAGGAGAAGAAGTCTCCCGCCCCCCCCTGGCGGGGGACAATTCGGCCGTCGCCGTGGCAGCCAGGAGGGCGATTCGCCAAGCGGCCCTGCAAAGGGGGGCCAAGAAACCGGCCCCTTTGCCGGCTTCGGAGACTCCGGCACCGGCTATATCGGAGGCCGAATTCCCTTCTCTCCCTGCGCCTTCCCACGGGAAAGGTAAGAAGTCCAAGGGAGGAAAGGAGGTAGTATGGACCGCGTTCGGTCCATCCACATCCAGTGGAAGGGCCGAACCAACTGTAACGGGGGTTGGGGCCAATACGACGGGATGGACGGAGGTAGTCAGCCGCAAGGCCCCCAAGAAGAAGAAGGTGGCGCCAGTGCCCAATAAACCGGCGCCGCAGCAAAAGAAGGTGGGCCCTAAAGAGGGCCCCAAAAAAGTGATGCTCCCGCGCTCACAGGCCGTAATTATCAAGTTACGGCCTGATGCAGCGGCCAAGGGGGCATCGTACTTGTCAGTTCTCCTGAAGGCTGAGAGGGAGATTAATACCAAGGAGCTGGGCATAGGGCCCCTGAAGATCCGTTCATCGGCAACAGGGGCTCGCATCATCGAGGTGCCCGGCTCCACCAGTGCGGACAAAGCCGATGCTTTGGCCGAGAAGCTGAAGTCCGCACTAGCGGAGGAGGTGGAGGTGTCGAGGCCTGTGAAATTCACAGACCTGAGGGTCACGGGTCTCAACGACGCGACGACCGCGGACCGGCTGATAGCTGCGGTAGCGCAGGAGGGGGGCTGCACCGAAGCTCAGGTAAAGGTGCGCAATGTGCGACCTGGGCTTCGCGGCACAGGCTCCGCCCTGTTGGAGATGCCAGCTGCGGCGGCAAAAAAATTGCTGCAGCTGGGTAGCCTAACGGTGGGGTGGAGCCAAGTGCGGCTCTCATATATGGAGGCACGACCCAAGCACTGCTTCAAGTGTTTGGGAATGGGGCACGTAGCGGCCGCGTGCCCCAGTCCAAAAGACCGCAGCGGCTTGTGCTACCGCTGCGGCAAGGAGGGCCACAAGTCCGCCCAGTGCACCGCGTCACCGCACTGCGCTGTGTGCGCAGACGCGAGTAAGCCGGCGGACCATGTGATGGGGGGCCATTCGTGCCGTCCTCCATCCACCCGTGGGAAACTCCCCGACCAGCCTAAAAGGGCGGGAGTTTCGAGGCAGGCGTCAGGAGCTGAGATGTCCGAATAATGGCCGGACATCTCAAGTTCCTGCAGGCCAACGGCAACCACTGCGCCGGGGCTCAGGATCTCTTCCTGCAGTCCATGGCGGAGTGGGCCGTAGACGTGGCGGTCATAGCTGAGCCGTACTGTGTCCCTGCCCAACCTCATTGGGCGGGAGACGCGGACGGCTTGGTTGCGATCGTCACGCGGCCGGGAGCCGGGCCCCCCCTCGCCGTCAAAGCGAGGGGCCACGGGTATGTGGCGGCGGTTTGGGGGGAGATTGCCATCGTCGGGGTATATTTCTCCCCGAACCGCGACCTGCCGGCCTTCGAGAGATTTCTCGACTCTCTCGGGCCGGTGGTAGGGCAGTTAGCGCCTCTCCAGGTGTTTGTGCTGGGGGACCTCAACGCCAAGTCCACGGCGTGGGGAAACCCCCGCACAACACCGAAAGGGAGGGAGCTGGAGGCATGGGCGCTGACTGCCGGACTGTCCCTTCTCAACACGGGGACGGTCCAGACGTGCGTGCGAAGGTCGGGAGGTTCAGTGGTGGACGTCTCGTTCGCCACTCCGACCATCGCACGCAGAGTGGAGGGATGGAGGGTTGAGGCAGGAGTGGAGACGCTTTCGGACCACCGTTACATACGGTTCGAAGTGTCTCCTACTCCTGCCGGTCGCCGGAGTCCAGTGTCGAATTCCTCGTCGCCTCGGGAGAGAAGTCGGTTCCCGCGTTGGGCGCTGTCAAAGCTCAATCGGGAACTGGCTGAAGAAGCGGCCGTCATCGGTCGCTGGAGTCTCCCGGAGGGTGCGGAGTCAGGGGTGGATGAAGGGGCTAGCCGCTTTGGGGACGTTCTTCAAAACGTCTGCCGAGCGGCGATGCCCCCCGTAGGACGTCCCCCTCCGCGGGGAGCGGTATACTGGTGGTCTGAGAATATCTCAGACCTCCGGGTCGCCTGCAACGGGGCCAGGAGGGCATACACCCGGAGTAGGCGACGCCGCCCCCAGGACGAGGAGCGAGATGGTCGGCTGTACGGGATCTACGTGGAGAAGAAGTTGATCCTGCAGCAGGCCATCCGCCGGGCCAAGGAGGCAGCCTGGCTGGAGCTGGTGGAGGGTCTCGATCGAGACCCTTGGGGCCGACCGTACAAGCGGGCGCGGAACAAACTCTGCGCCCAGTCGGCCCCCATCACGGAGGTGCTCCAGCCGGCTGCTCTGAGGGGGATCGTCGGGGAACTCTTCCCCGACGCTCCAGCGGGATTTACTCCCCCCAGAATGGCCCGGCCGACGCTGGATGAGGGCGACCGCGTTCCGCCCACCGTCACGGAGTCTGAAATGGAGGCGATTCTGGCTCGCCTCCAGAGTAAGAAGAGCGCACCGGGTCCGGACGGGGTGCACGGGAGAGTTCTCGCTCTCTCCCTGGTGCACCTCGGTGGAGCCCTCAAGGAGCTGTTCGACCTCTGTCTGAGGTCCGGGCAGTTCCCGAGGGCCTGGAAGGAAGGCCGGCTTTGCCTTCTTCCAAAAGGCAACCGGCCTCCGGACTCGGCTTCGGCGTGGCGACCGGTGGTTGTGCTGAACGAGGCGGGGAAGGCCCTGGAGAAAATAATGGCCACCCGTCTCGTTCGGCATCTAGAGGAAGGCTCGGGCCCGGGACTGTCAGAGTTCCAGTTCGGGTTCCGAGCCCATCGGTCGACCGTCGATGCTCTCAAACGCCTGAGGGCGGTGACGGAAGAGGCGGAACGCAGAGGAGAGGTAGTGGTTGCGGTGTCGTTGGACATCGCAAACGCGTTTAACAGCCTCCCACACAGCGCGATACAGGTGGCACTCGAGTATTTCGGAGTGCCCCTGTATCTGAGGAGGCTGATAAACAGCTACCTCTCCCAGAGGAGGGTGGCAGTCGAGAGCCGGAGGGGGTCCATAGAGTGGTGGACAGTCGAAAACGGCGTGCCACAGGGGTCGGTCCTGGGACCGGTCCTGTGGAACGTCGGATACGACTGGGTCCTGCGGAGTCGTCTCCTCCCCGGGATGGGTGTCATCTGCTACGCCGATGACACCCTCGTCTTATCCCGGGGACGAAACTACAGGGAGGCGGCGCGGCTGGCCGAGGTCGGAACTGACCTCGTGATCAGCCGCATAGAGAGGTTGGGGCTTCGGGTGAGAATAGACAAGACCGAAGCCCTCCTCTTCCGCGGGACTGGGCGGAAAGGACCCCCGCCGGGTGCCACCCTCCTCATTGGAGGAGGGAGGGTCAGGGTGAGTCCCACCATGAAATATCTGGGGCTCACTCTTGACGGAGGGTGGACCTTCGTGCCTCATTTCAAGGAACTGGGGCCGAAGGTCGTGAGGACGGCAGGTGCGCTGGGAAAATTCCTCCCGAACCTCGGAGGACCCAGCGCAGCTTGCAGGCGGCTATACTCTGGGGTCTGTCGGAGTATAGCCCTGTACGGTGCTCCCGTTTGGGCTGATCGCCCAATGAGCCGCAGGACCAAAGCCCTGCTGCGCTCTGCGCAAAGGGCTCCTGCGGTGAGGGTGATTAGGGGGTACCGTACGGTCTCCTGGGCCGCAGCGACTGCCCTTGCCGGCGATCCGCCTTGGGATCTCGTGGCGTCGGTTCGAGCCGAGTTGTTCTCCTATGTCTCGGGTAGGAGGGCACTCGGCGAGAACCCTTCGTCGGAGGAGATCCGAGCGGTTCGTCGGCAGGGGGAGGAGCGCCTTATGCGGGAGTGGGGGGAGGACCTGGCGGAGCAGCCGTACGGTAGACGTACAACGGCAGCGCTTCGCCCGGTCCTAGAGCGTTGGATGAGGCGGAAACGCAAACCCCTCACTTTCCGTCTGACGCAGGTCTTAACCGGGCACGGGTGCTTTGGTTACTACCTGTGTCGGACGGCCAGGAGAGAGCCGGGAGAAGGCTGCCATGAGTGCGGCGCTGCGGTGGACTCGGCCCAGCACACCCTCGAGGTGTGCCCGAGATGGGCTGCGCAGCGCCAAGACCTTGTGGCGGCTCTCGGCGGAGTGGACCTGTCGCTTTCGAGTGTCGTGGAGAAGATGCTCGAGAGTGATGGGTCCTGGTTGGCGGTGTCCTCCTTCTGTGAGACGGTCATGTCCACGAAGGAGGCATCTCAGCGGGAAAGGGAGAGGGCGGCTGATGCTCCCTCCCCCCGCAGGCGACGTACGGGGGTGCGACGGAGGCAATTCCTACGCCTCCAATAGCACCCCTGTGTTCCGGGCTGGGGTCGGCGTGGTAACCCGGCCCTTCTGAAAGCCCGGCGTCGTCGGGGTGGTCCTAATTGCCGGGATCGCCCCCATTCTCCGAGGGAGTAAGTCCGGTCTTTGCCAGGACCGGCCAGTCGCTGGTGTGCCCTGTCGCTGACAGATCCGGGGTACATCGACATAGCGGCCGATGGCTTTCGCAGTGGTTTTAGTGAGTAGGGGCCTGCCCAGGCCGAGCCTCACACATCCCTTCCGTCCCCACCAAGGTCGGTTGGACGGCTCGTAAAAAGAGTTTCCACTACGTCATCAAAAAAAAAAAAAAAAAATAGTATAACAGATTCATTTTAACTTTGGTCAAAATTATTAGTGTATATTAGTTAAAAATCCTTTCATATATAGTTACTAGAAGACCTGGTGAACTTCGTATAATCAAGAAAGAGCTGTTATTGTTTTTTATTTATATTTTTCAGTTTACCTATTAAAGCCATAAATCTCATTAGTTAGTTGTCAAATCTAATGTAAAAAAAAACGTTTGTATCAACAACTACTAATAAATTAAAAATTAATTAAAAAAACATTGTCCAGCGGACAAAATTGTGAATCTAAACCATTCCCAGATTCCCTTGAACACACACAAAAAATTTCATAAAAATTGGTCCAGTCGTTTGAGAGAAGTTCAGTGACATACACTCACAGAAGAATTATATATATATAAAAATATAAATGATATTTATATTATTATATGTATAAAGATTATGCTACTCCAATATGGTCCTTTATGTATCTCAAACTCATAATATGAAAATATAAATCTTCATTTAGATTTTTGCCTTAATCTAAAATCATGATTATATTGCAGCTAATACCAGATTATAATGCACGGGTATGTGATGCACCACCTCGCCCAAATGCGTACATACGTTTCATAGAGAAGTCAGCTGAGGAATTGGATGGTGAAGTGGAATATGATGTCGATGAAGAAGACACAGCTTGGCTGGCAATCATTAATAAGAACAGAACCAAGCAGGGTCTACCGCCCGTCTCTGTTGATACCTTGGAGCTACTCATGGATAGATTGGAAAAGGAATCCTATTTTCAGGTTTATTTTGTTTTTACTATAAAAAAAATCATAGTTTTTATATTTTACTGACTAGAATATTAAGGTAAAGAGATAAGTAGTTGTAATAATTGTATGTAAATTTTAGGCTACACAGAATGGTCAACAGCCAGCGGCAACAGTAGACGAAGATGCTGTATGTTGTATATGTATGGACGGTGAATGCCAGAACACTAATGTGATCCTGTTCTGTGATATGTGTAACCTGGCTGTCCACCAAGATTGTTATGGGGTGATCTATATCTATAAAACTTATGTTGCTTCCTTGTAATTTTGGTATAGTATGTTAATAGGTTAATTTGTTCATAGGTGTTTAAATATTCATCTAATAGGTTCTGTTTAAAAATTGTTTCAATAAATGTGAATATTTAAAACCTGTTAGGTGTTAGAAACTTTCTGATGAAATTTTAGTCTAATTTTTGATGTACAATGTATGTACATTTTGAATAATTATCATTTAACTTAGATAGTAATAGAAGGATTAGTTGGAGAATTCTATATTGTATGTTGCAATTTAAAAGAAGGATCATGTAAATGTTACATTAATGGTATCTATAAGATAAATGGTTTGGGAAGCCTCTTTAAGTTGTTAATATTTTAATTATTTTATTTAAGGTGCCATATATACCAGAGGGACAATGGCTGTGCAGACGCTGTCTTCAATCACCATCACGACTTGTTAATTGTGTGCTATGTCCCAACACTGGAGGTACAAGTTTTACTTTATTTAAACTTTTTACAAAGGTATGTTTAGTAGGTTCTAGAGAGATGGTTGAACCGTCCAAAAGTGTACATGTTTTTATAAATTTTCATTAGTAATAAAGATTTCATAAGTATTGTTTTCTTAGGAGCATTCAAGCAGACAGATCAAGGCACTTGGGCTCACGTCGTTTGCGCGCTCTGGATACCAGAAGTTCGCTTTGCAAATACAGTATTTTTGGAACCTATTGGCAAGTAAAATAGATGACTAATTTTCTTTCTGTAAATTTTAATAAACATGGAAGTCTTCCTTAAGTTATCTTAGAAGATAAAAACTGGATATGTATCTATATATAATTAATAATTAGTTTCTTTTCGAGTATTTTAAGTGGAGTGAAATTAAGCAAGTTATGTATACATTAAAAGAAAAGCTTCATATAATATATTCGTCAACAGATTCAATAGAGATGATTCCGCCTGCTCGTTGGAAGCTTCAGTGTATGGTTTGCAAGCAGCGTGGTGCGGGTGCTTGTATACAATGCCACCGCAGCAACTGTTACAGTGCCTTCCATGTTACATGCGCCCAGCAGGCCGGGTTAGTTTATATTAATTTACTACTGAACATATTAAAATAACAAGGCATGCTAGAATTTTTGGTCTTTTAAAGTCAAAGTTTTCTGATTTGTATGGATTACATTTTTATTTTAATGGCTTCGAAATTTTCCACTTGTCTTCCAGAAAATAGGAATGCTACAAGTTACTTGAAATTTGAGATAATAATTCAAAAAAAATATCCAATACATAGTATTTATAACTATTGCTGTGTTATATCTAATACTTTTGATAATTTTTATAAGTTAAGGCTGCATTCACACTGGGATTGTGAAATATTTTACCAATTTGTTGTCATAGTACATTGATTCATCAGATATATATGAGTTATTTAATCTTTTAATTTCAGTGTTAATATCTTGTTATTTAATGTGAATTTTTTTTCTTATAGTTTGTATATGAAAATGGAAGCAGCCGGATCTGGCCGTGATCCCAGTCAACCAGTTCAAGTGGCCAAAATGGCATACTGTGATGCACACACGCCAGCACATGTATTACAGGTTTAAATTGTTTCTTAATAATACCATTAAATCTATTTAAAGAATTCCATACACTCAAACATTAAAGGGATATAAAACATGAGTTTATTTATTGTCTAATTTAATTGAAATAATTCGTAGGAGAGAAGAGCTTTGGAATCGGAAGGTGAAAGTAAATCTTCAGATTTGACTTCCATACGTCAGAAAGGAAGGGACAAGATAAAACAGGTGTGATATTTTTCCAACACATATAATTACATTCTAACTATATAAATTAACATCTAATATCTATTGAATATCATGTGAAATTTTAACTTTTTACTAGTACTTTCTAAAGAATTTTCAGCGATTTTTTTTTGTATTACAATCCAATTAATTGTATAGGCTCGGAGAGTGTTAGCGTTGAAGCGTACATGGGCGCCGGTAGTCCTAGTACCAACATTACCACCTGAACGTGTTGCTGAGATTGCTCAACTATCACATGGAACGCCCGCAGCTAGGGCTCAATTGATGAAGAGACTCCTGGCTTACTGGACCCTTAAAAGACACAGCAGAAACGGGGTTCCTCTCCTTAGGAGGCTACAGAGCCTGACCAGCCATCACGGTGAGGGTCATGTATATATATACTCTTTATTGCACACCAATATAGACAAAAAGAATAGGAGTGAAGCAAAGAAAAGAAAAATGTACAATAGGCGGCCTTATCGCTAAAACAGCGATCTCTTCCAGGCAACCTTTGGTAGAGGAGAGAGATAGGATGGTAGGGGTAGTCATGATGGTTTAGATTTCTATAGGATCATAGACCGTTGGTATATCTAGTTAATTGATATAAGAAATTTGTATTTTCCTTTTAATTAAATAATCACGGCATGTCTTTAAAGTTTCATCGGTATTATAGCCAGATTAATATTTCTTTGATTTCAGTACTGGCTCAACAACTTACCAAATTTCATTCACCTGCACCATACTTTGTTTTAATACTAAAAAGGCGCCTTATTTTGAAAATTTTCTTTTAATTTATATATTTTTTTTGAAGTCCATTTCTTTGGAAAATTATTTTACCAGATTTCTTAATATTTTTCCTCTATGAAATGAATGTATTATTTCATGTATATGTTTACAGGGAGCCGAGGTATTCAAGATGGCACTGTAAATGTACGAGAACTCTGCAATCAACTTAAGTATTGGCAGAGGATAAGACAAGATCTTGAGAGGGCAAGGTAATATATACATTCATATGTATTACATACATATGTACATTACATATATTCGTTTAGTTGCTACATAACTCATTATTGAAAAAATCACATCTGCTAGTCAGGCCATCATGCAATTGTTATATATGTATTTACTTCTCTTTTGGATACACTTATTTATTAAACAATAGATTTTAATTCGTGTAAAATAATATTTTAATGTTAATGTAGATCTAGTTTATTATTCATCTAGGAATCCATCTATGGTACACGTTGGAAAATATGCTGCTATTTTGTCATTTGTTTTGTGAATGGCAACAAATGATGATCTAGTAAAAAATAATTTTGTTTAATAAATCGAAATTTGTATGTTTATAATAATAATAATATGAATATAGTTATATCAGTGTAATAGTATTTTTGGTAACATTCAGATTGCTGTGTGAGTTGGTACGTAAACGCGAGCGTCTGAAGGCGGAATACACTCGTGTTTGGGAGCGCTGCGTCTTGCACACGCTGCGCCCTGAACGTGCTATGCTGAGCAAGATGCTGCGGATGATGAGACACGCTGATCATAGTGACGTGTTCACAGAGCCAGTCGACCCGCTTGAGGTGAGACAGATATATATAAAAATATAGAGAGGGACAGAGATAGCGATATATTAAACAGGTGTTATTATATTTCATATTAAAAAGTACGAACATAACATACATATTTGGAGTATTTTAAACATTTACTTACGTGTTCGCAAAAAAGTAACTCTGTGTATATATAGTCAAATATGTTGTAATGTAATTATATTCCTAGGTTCCAGATTACAGCACCGTCGTTAAGCATCCCATGGATTTAAGTACCATGGGTAAGAAATTGGACAGAGGCATCTATAAGACTATAGATGACGTAGAAGCAGACTTTCAACTAATGATCGACAACTGCCTCACATATAATAAAAAGGATACGGTATTTTACAAGTAAGCCTCGAATTACATACATATTTAATACAATATGAAATTTCTTATAAACTTTGCTACTAATGACCAAAATTATTTGTATTACTATTTCCTAATAAGAAAATTATCCGTTTAGAGCTGGTGTCAAGATGAGGGAGCAGTGCACGTCTATATTTCGTCAAGCGCGTCGTGACGTCATAGAGGCAGGTCTACCGTCGCTGGCTGGGGAGGGGGACGCAGAGGAGACTTACACACACGGACGCACACATGCACAGAAACACACACAGTCAAGGCGCAGGAGTGTTAGGCACACAAGCAGTGACAGCGATCGTACAGCCGGTTAGAATATTTAAATTACAGAGCCAATGTTAAATATTTCATTAAACATGTGATCATTTTGGTTCCACAAAAGTTGAAATCTATGTACATTCATCTTTAAATTATAAATGCTATATCTTTCGAATATATATAATACTAGCTGCGCCCCGCGGTGTTACCCGCGGATTTCCGGGATGTAAAGTAGGCTATGTGTTATTCCTGGACGTCAGCTTCCTGTATACAAAATTATATCAAAATCGGATGAGCCGTTTGATCGTGAAGAAATAACAAACACAGACTCACAAACTCTCGCAATTATAATATTAGTAGGATTAAAAGAATTTTATCTATACATTAGACATTAATTCTAATATTATAATATAGATACTAGAAGCGAGCGCGGCGTATCCCTGGCACGTAGCGAACGACGACGGACCAGCGCATTGAGAGACACCGATGATGATATTAATCCGGTATACAACCTATTTGGTTATTAAATAACATTTTATAAACTAAACATTATAGCATTCGACCTTCATTCCATCCAGTTGTTTCACTGACCTTACTTTGAACTAGGATTATACAATAAAAACGAATTTTTCGTTACAAACCTTTTAAATATTTAATTCTTCACTACAATTAACAAAGAATAAGTCTTATTATAATAATAAATTAATATATACTTGGAATTTTTTCAGCGCGAGCCGTCACCAGCTAAGAGTAAAGTTAATCGCAATTGGTGGCGCGGCCGTGGTCGTGGTAGAGGCAGGAGGGGGCGGAGGGGCCGTGGGAGGGGAGGACACGTGTCGCCTCGACCACCCAGGGATAATGGTAATCTTCTTCTTGGCAATTTCCCAGCTTTAGCCAGGGTCTGCCTTCCTACTTAAACTCATCTACTTTGCACGCTCTTTGGCATCCTCGGTGGTTAGTCCGTTGAGATATTGATAATGTATAACGTAAATTTGAAGTTCTTTGTAATATGACAACATAGTAAATAAACCATTATACAGCAGACACGAAGGAAATCTTCTATATATATAAAAATGGATTGCTGTTCCTTAGTCTCGCTAAAACTCGAGAACGGCTGAACGGATTTATCTTATCTTAGTCTTGAAATGTTTGTGGAGGTTCAGGGAAGGTATAAAAGGTGAGAAAATTGGAATAATTGCCGGGAAAACCCTAAAAACAGCCCTTTTCTATTTCCCATACAAACGCTTTTTTTGACATTAGATTTGACAACTAACTAATATGTCAATCATTCTGTTTGATTGAAACAGGAAAAACCTGATTATTTATGGCCTCTAAGACGGAATAGAGTTCACCCGGTCAGCTATACATATATTACTAATGAGGAAACTAACGCGGACGAAGTCGCGGGCAAATACTAGTATTACATAAAGATACTAGTTTTAATATAACCAACTCATAATGTAAATGTTTTAGAAATTACATGTATCGTATGGAGAGTTTTTATTAAGTTTAATATGTATATTCTAATTATTTGTGATATTATAAAATTATCAGGAAAGTTCTTAATAGCTTTTCTAAGGTTAGTTGTAATTTCTTAATTAAATGTAATTTTATAATATTCTCAGATACTCCGACAACGGATTCAGAAGCGCCTATAATTAAATCGAAGACTGTTGAGCGAACACAAAAATTGGTTACGCCGGAAAAGTCACCAACGAAGCAACTGGAAAGTACTGGTATGATCACCAAATTTATATATATTTTTGTATATAAATATACATACACACACACACACACATACATACTATCATTATAAGTGCGACCATGCGTATACATATTCATGTTTGGGTTAACATCTTGGTTCAAAGTATGTGATATTTTGTCCTAATCTTCTTGTGAACAAGCACTATCAGATTTTGTAAACCATCTTTTTATTGTTCATTTAATTAATGTAATTCCAGTATAAAAGTTATGTCAAAATTGTAAATCTAATAATTTATTTGTCTGTGTCTATTTTAATAATTGTATCGGTCATGACATTTAATTTCTTCTAAAGTTTCTTTACAAAATTCCATCTATATTCGAATAGGATTTGTGGATATTGAATAATTAAAATGTCTTATAAACAGGCCTAGGATTGCTGGGTGGTTTGAGAAAACCAACTTTGCTTGTGACGCCCTCAATAACAACCCCGCCGAAGAGTTTTGGTTCTGATGGTAAGATGACCATTATATCATGACACTTAGTTTTTTTTCATTATAAGTTTTATATGAATTTTGTCATTTTTTAAGACATAACTTATGAGTACATGAGACATTAGTTAGCACGCTGACGGTATTGTCAAAGCTTTTAATATATTACCATACTAGAAGACCTGGCGAACTTCGTATCGCCCTATAATCAAGAAATATCTATTACGTTTCTTTATTTATATTTTTGGAGTTTACCTGTAAGCCATAAATCTCCGTGTTTTGAACTGCGACAGAATGATTGACATATTAGTTATTGGTCAAATCTAATGTCAAAAAGAACGTTTGTATGGGAAATAGAAAAGGGCTATTTTTATGGTTTTCCCAGTAATGAATCATTTTTTTTTAAGCTTTTATACCTTCCCTGAACCTCCACGAACATTTCAAGACTAAGATAAGATAAATCCGGTCAGCTGTTCTCGAGTTTTAGCGAGACTAAGGAACAGCAATCCATTTATATATATATAGAAGATTAATTTTGTATATTTTTTATTTAATATTATTCAGTTCAAAGAAGTCTCATTTTAATTTTCCTTAATATAAATATGACTATATATTACTAGCCACTCTGCCAACACTATCAGCCAGCTTGGGACATACGGAACCCTCGCCCAGGAAGAAGGGTCGCGGTCGTCCACGGAAACAAGATAAGACCACAGATCTATTCAGGTATTTGACATGTATATGTAAACTATACATTTAATTATTCCACTAGAGGTCGTTTTATACTGGTTATTGATTATTGACTGAGAAAATTCAAAGCCCTTGTTTAAGTATAAACGATCCCTGATAAATAGAGTATAATAAATAAAATTGTTACTAATCTTTAAGGAATTTTTTATTTCTTTCTGGTTAGAAAATTTTGTCACATTCTAATTTCTAATATGAGTATTTTATCATAGATTTTTTACATAGTATACTAATTCCATGTAATATATTGTATCAGAGGGGACACAGAAGTGCTAGGAGGAGCCTCGTTCCTTCAATACCGCGGCCCTCCAGGCGAGGTCGGCTCGGATAGCGATTTGGCACTATCAAGGTAAACTATATCATGTATAAGTACATAAAAGTCCTATTCTGAACCAAATAAAATCTTTCTATAACACTAAATGAAGTTTTAGACCAAGAATCATTATAAAATATAGCTGTTTGAATATATTTTTTTATTTAATCTTTGTACGAAAAAAAAGATTAATAAGTTTTATGTCTAAAAAGGCGTATATAGAGTTATTTATTGAGTACATATACTTTATCAGATCATCAAGCAGTAGTTCAGCGTGGTCCCAGTCGTGCTCATCGTGCACTCATTATGACGATGATAGATCTGGCGATGACAGTTCCAGTGAAGGGTAAACATAATTAAACTTATAAGTATTAATTATCTGTGGATAAATACATAAAATAATCGTGGTGGCCTAGAGGCTAAAGGTCCGCCTCTCGTGCATGAGGGCGCGATTTCGACACCTGACAAGTAGTAATGTGATTTTTCCGAGTTATATGTACTTTCTAAGAGTATACAGACGCCACTGACAGGTGGCGAATGAAAGCATTGTTAGAAAACCTGGACGTATAATTTCACATTGTAAGTTTGAAATCGCTAACCCATCTTGAGCAAGCGTGGTGATTAATGCTCAAACCTTCTTCATGTGAGAAGAGGCCTTTGCTCAGCAGTGGGCTCCTATAGGCTAATTATGATGATGAAATATAATTCACATTTAATTCTGTTTTTCGGCTTCAATCGCATTCTGTTTCTGATATGTCTATTATAAAGTAATTGTATTGTATTATTGTGGTTACTATATACATTATTATATTTCTCCCAGTTCTAGTTACAATGAAACGTTGGATTCGTTAGAAAGCCACGGTCCGGAGCCTAGACGTCGCGGCCGTCGGGCTGATGAAGTCGACCGCACTCAGCCAGCGACACCCGTCAAGGTAATAAATACCTTATGACATAATAATATGAGTCTATTTTCATCAGACACAGATTTAAATGCTTTTTGTTCTTTCAAGGCCTTAATCTTTGGTGGACAGAGTTGATTTTAACTTGTAATTCTGTTGTAATGCTCTTTTGTTGTGGTGATATTACTTTAGACCATAGAAAGGAATGATTAATTTACTGCAAAATTATCTTTGTAATCATATTATATTGTTGTATTTACCTTAAGATAGTGCCTAAAGGCAAAATGTACACCTTCTGTTTAAATTTATACAGTAGCATAATCTTGTAAGGCCATTAGATGAAAAAATTGTAGTTCTAAGAATTTGAAGTTAAATCCTGTTTTAAATTTTCATGACTATAACAGGGCCGTGGTACAAGATCTTCTACATCCAAGACTCCAGTGAAAGTAACACAATCAGATGTTCTGCTTGAGCCATTGCAATTAGTATGGGCAAAGTGCAGGTAAATTATTATCATTTCTTACTTTATATAAACATTACCTCAAGATGAGTTTGTTTTGTATTATTATAAAAAAATTCTCTCCACTAAAATGTGGACAAATATAAAACAGAGATATCTTTAAATGTTAGGAATAGATGAGGTCAAAAAGTATTGTGTTTGCTTCAATACAAATTCAGACCTGTATTTTGATAATATTACATTTCATACAATTTTGGTTCAGATATAAACATTTCATGTTTATTACAGAGGCTATCCTTGGTATCCCGCACTAATAATAGATCCGAAGATGCCAAAAGGTTACATATACAATGGAGTTCCATTACCGGTGCCACCTCAAGATGTACTGAACCTCAAGAAGAATTATGCTCATGAACCAGTATTATATCTAGTTCTATTTTTCGACGTTAAACGAACATGGCAATGGTTGCCTCCAAATAAATTGGAAATCTTAGGCTTGGATAAGGAGATAGATGAAGCCAAATTGGTTGAATCTCGGAAACCGACCGATAGGAAGGCTGTCAAGAAGGCTTATGGTGATGCAATGCAGTTCCGGAAGCAAGTTGATGGTGATAAATGACACAGGTTTAGATATCGGTCCAGGAGACCGATTCGTACGAGAGCATTCACCTTTGGAACATTCTCATTAATGCATATACGAACACCTGATACTACAGATTCCAGTGATTGAAATATTATAATAATAATTTATTTAAACTATGTAATAGTTCAAGCAAACTCTGCATTTAATTGTTGACATGAAAAACGAATAATGTATAACTAACATTAGCATGTTTTTTTTTAAATTTTAATCATGACTTTATTAGTGTCTCAGATCTGATATTAAAATATGAAATTAAAATAACTACTCATCATTGTGGCTTTTATAAATAGTGTTTTTATAATTCTTTAATAACTTTGACTAGAATAATTGCAATTTGTATTTTAGATTACGCTACACATTTATGTGGTGTTTTTATATAATGTGTATTAGTAACAATGTATTATAACATCAAATGATGAATAGAAATGAATTTACTCTGAAAGTTTAAGATATAACATTGACATTTTATTATAGCGGTATTGCTACATTATTGTATTAAAAATAAAATATATGGAAGAATATAAGGAATTAGTGCATGAACCAAGCCATTAAGCTTTTTAAATATTAAATATTGTGCATGGGTTTACAGTTGTTTCTAAGATTTTTTAGAATATGTAGTATACATTATGTAATGATTACTTCTCAAGTTAGGTGTCTTATATAGATATATGAGATTGTAATCTATCATTAGTAATTATTATGTTCTGAATAGTAATTATGTTTATAAGGAGACAAGTTGTTTATCTACAGGAGATAGTTTTTTCAAAGCTTTTAATGTGTGAACTGTTAATCGAAATATGAATCTGGAGCTGTAATTAATGTTATTTTTGTAAGTGTTAATAACTGTGTTGTTTTTTTATAATAAAATATGAAATTCCAAAACTGAGTTTTCTTAATGGGATCTAAGGCTTTCGCGAGCATTCATTTAAATGTAACTTATATTTTTTGGATTACTATGCGTTTTTTTATTATTTTAAAAACTACATACCTATCCCAATGTTTTAGTTACTTTACAGCAACCGTGATCACAGTCTGACGAGATGTAAATGATGTGATTATTTTTATTATAAATTGAAAAAATAAAAGTCGTTTATTTTTTTTTAAGGTTTATTAAGCCATATATTCTATTAAACACAAGCTACAGACAGAACTATACTGTTGTTTAATAAGCCATCGTGTTATGATACTAATAATGTTTGTCCCAATGGAATATGGCTCCAGGCTTTGGCAGGGCATTTGCAGCTGTTTTAGGAGTTCTGTGAAAATATATAACAGTATGAGGATGAGTAATACAATAATGTGACATCTTTTGACTTAGAATCTTAATTACACAGTTGAGGTATGAATAAGCCTATCTTATCATCTCCACACTACCTTAAATACAAAATTTTGTATCAAATAAACAATTTCATCATAAAATGGGAGTTAGATAGGATATATATTATGTATGGTAAAACAGTTATGACATAAGTGGTAATGACTAAAAGATTAAGTTTTAATTGAATTTAATAAATAGTCAACAATAGTAATAAATTCATTAATGGAAGCCTTTAAATGTTGCATAAACCTTCATTTACATTATTGGTATACTATAATAAGACAAAATTAAACACCACTTTATATTTAATGTTGTTGGAAAGTGGGAAACATTTAAGAACTGCTTATGAGATGTTTAAAATTAAGTGTGATGGTCTACTATTATATTTACTACTGTAAAAAGTTCGAATATTACATATGTTACTGAAACAAGAAACATTGTATGTATATTTACCCTTTATCAGCACTACTGTCAGGAATCAACTGCTGTGTCACATCCTGAGGAGGCATGACTTCTCTTCGACCATCACGAGTGTAGTAATAGTTGTGAGCATGTCTAATTGAAATCAATTATCAATATGAGTATCATACGCATATTGTCTCTTAGTATTAACATTATAGAGGTAATCAAACATACTTGTGTGTAACTCCATCAGGAATTTGTGGGGGCGGTTGAGTTCTCGCTGCAATGAGTGGCTCAAATCTCAATGCATTTGTTAATTTTCTCTATAAAAATATATCCTGTCTTTTATTATGTATAGGTTACATAACAATGAAAAAATATTCTTGAAATACTTACACCGAGTAGGAAATTTCTAAATGCTTGTAAAATTGGCGATATATCCCTGAAATTAACCTTACTCATTTTTAAATATTATATTTAAGGGAAAATTAATTAGTATCTTTTATTTTGAATGTAAGATAGGCTAATGTCAAAAATAACACTCATGTCACAGTATGGTCGCGTTCCGTTAAGAATTTGTGACGATCGCGTTCACGAACGAATTTCTCACGCGGAAGTAATAAAAATAACTATCTAGCTTATCTTATTGCTCATAAGTTACCTACGGTCAAAAACATTATTAGAGTATAAATATTGCTTTTGTAATAATGTTTATTTTTGAAGTTAATTAAAACCTATGATTATTATTCGTTACACAATCCTTCAAACAAATAAAAGATATCGTAATGTATCATTTATTTTTTCCGAAACAAATGATATTCTTTCAAAATAAATTGCAGTCTTTAAATCCAAAATCTTGGTTGATAAATTGGCAAAGAGACATAAAGAAATGAAAAAACAAAAAGAATATTGATATTTAGAAAGCCAAATTGGAGCGATATAGAAAGAGTAGTTTTAACTTTGAAGTAAAACGAGTCTTGTAGTGATCGTAAAAAAATTTACTGTCCCTTGTCATATTTATTAGATGTAATAAAAATTATATAGCTTTTCTCGGAGCTCTTACTTCGTTCAATTAATTCTTATAAAAAAGCCTTTATATTTTACAGAAAAACAAGTTCTTATTTTCTTAAAGGCTCTTTTTAGTTCTCACCTCAGGGATTTTCAGTAGATGTATCATTCAAAATACGCCTTCTATTAAAAGCCGTCATAAAAAGTATTCGCGAAACTGTAAATTAAGTTATTCGATGGCGTATCAGCATAACTGGAAAAAGAGTGTGTTTTCTAGTTCATGTTAGTACCTACTATGTTACAAAAATTTTGTTTTGATGGGATCTTTGATAGTGTAATAATATTAAGTTGAAACTTTAAGTTTTTGTGTTTTAATACTATGTATAATATAAGATGATACAAGGTTTTACGTAGGTATAAGTCATTCAGATAAGTTTTGGTATAAATATGTTGTAATTTTAATTATTTCAAATATATTAATCATAAATTAATAGTCCTTGGTTACCATATCACTTGAAAGGAGTAAATGAAAGCATACATAGAAAATGCACTATTCCAGTAATAGCCTATTAACACTTTTCTTGAAAGCGGCTAAAAAGAAAACACAGACTAACAAAAAAGGTTCCAATTCTTTCATGTGCAAATGATACGAGTAAGGTCTACAACTAATTGAAGTTTTCGTAAGTCTGCAGGAGTATGGAAGAGTTAAATCATGCACTCCTGCTCACACTCTCCAAAATCTGTCATATCAAAAATCTTAATTATGCTATCTTTACAGCTTGTACTCAAAGCAGTCTAGGAAAGTTTTACCCAAATTATGGTCATCAAAAGATTTGTGTGAGAATCTTTCCACAGAATCCATGCGAATGAGGTGCAGCAGTTTTATATGTGATAGAAGAATACAGTCAAGTTCACATATTACCGGACTTATGCCTTGAGAAACGTAGAGTGGTCAATATTTGTATTATAACTGAAGACAATCAATGTATTAATTATGTTCTCGACCTTCTTTTTCAATTGATAAGAAAAAGTTTGTTTCCGTGACGTTAAATTTCACAACATGGGTATCTTCGTAATAAGTCTAGAAGGGTATTAGTTACACAGGTAACAAATTAGCAAGCTTCCATGATTTAGCAAGATATTAGCTTATAAATTGATGCAATATAAACTTGTTAGAACATTTAGGCATTCGCCTTGTTTATGTTAAGTCTTACCTGAGTACTTAGTGTTTGTTCTTGTTAACGTTCTTAGATTTTTTAATATCATAATTTATATTTATTTGTTCATAAATACGAAAAACAGACAAAACTGTCCTTTTATACTCTAAGTTTTACTTGTACATACACGTGGTATTATGAGCCTATAATTAATTCCTATAATTTTACCTCCCTTTTTGTTATAGGAAAAAAATAAAACATTGTATTAAAATATTTAATTTATTTTTATATTTAATAAAATTAATAAAAAAAAAAACCATTTATGTACATAACTTAATCGAAATTTTTCATGTCTTTAAATATTTATTGTATTATTGTGGTCCATATTAAAATCGACGTTTTTTCCACTGATTTTTTCAATATTCTATAGTAATACATTTAGTTTTGAGGTATTCATTAAGAGCTTCTTGACCTGAAACAATTACGAAAGATTATTAACTCAGCACTCTGCGGATGTTATAAAATGAACTTTTAAGATCTAAAATTCAATCACAAGAATGCTTTATGCTTAGATTTCACATTGTTTATTGTAATTAGAAAAACTAAGACGGCCGCCATTGCTTTCGTGTGCAACTACGTTAGTATGGAGTAGAATGTTTACCTAGATCCTTTCCAAAACCACTCTGTTTGAATCCGCCAAATGGCGCTGCGACATCGGTCTTATTGTATGTGTTCACGAAAACGGTACCAGCCTCCACGCGCTCAGCAACACGTAGTGCTCGTGAGACGTCTTTCGTGAAGACGCCGCTCGCCAGACCATATTCTGTGTTATTTGCACGACGAATCACTTCATCCAGGTTACTGATAAAGTAATTTGTAATGGTTATATTATGATAATATATATAATTTTGTTATGAGTGCATGGATTGTGGTTCTTTTGGTTTTATTTGATTTTGCAAACAAACCGATTATATCATTTGAAAAATTTATGTTGTTGTAATTTCACTAGTAATAGTATTATAAAGGAAACAGTAGGATGTACTTACTTGCTGCTAAATTTACTAATAATCATAATGGGTCCGAAAGATTCCTCTTTAGCAATGAACATGTTATCTTGGACATCAGTGAATATAGTTGGTTGGAAGAAATATCCTGGCCTATCCACGCGTTTTCCACCGTACACCAGTTTTGCGCCTTCCTTTACTCCTCTCTCAACGTACTGTAACATACAAAGTATTTAGTGTATAAACATTATCAGTTTAGGAAACGAAAGTAACGTTGGCTCTCTAAAAAATATATAAATCTGAACACACCGATATGAGTTTATCCATATGGGCTTTGTGGTTTTGTGGGCCATGAGCGGTTCCTCTGTTCAATGGATCTCCGATGCTCATTTTCTTGGTTTCTTCCACAACACGTCTTACAAACTCGTCGTGTATTCTCTCCTCCACGAATAAACGACCGGCTGCTATGCAATTCTCACCCTTGTTGAAAAATACTGATGCCATTCCCTATAAAACATTTCATTCGCATTATTAGTCCAATTCTTACTTTTATCATGTCATAACAACACAAGGTTTGTTGAAAACGGCCTAAAATATAATATACACTTACATTTTTAACTGCTTTGTCGAGATCACAATCTTCAAAGATGATTAATGGAGATTTACCTCCCAGTTCTAAGGACACCTTTTTCAAATTTGATGCTGCACAAGACTTCATAATAGTTTGGCCTGCAATAGTTTATATAAGGTAATTAAAAATAGTCACACTTCTCTAAAATAAAGTCAATAATACAATCAGTCACACTATTATTTCCAACTGCTTAAAAAATGTGATAAATGAAATTAGTCAAATAGCTTCGTACCAAAAAAAAAAAAAGAATTAAAAAAGTAATTTACCAATCTCAGTACTGCCAGTAAATCCAAGTTTCCTAATACGAGGATGATCAGCAAGGGCTTGTCCCGCCAGAGCTCCGCTTCCCGTTACAATGTTAACAACTCCCGGTGGAATGCCGGCTAGGACACACAGCTCAGCGAATTTGAGGGCGGTGAGAGGACATACCTAATGAATAAGAAATGAATATTAGACAATTTGCATCTAGAATATGATCGCTGTCCACTTCTCATGAACACGACTAACAAATAATTGATATATTGGATTGAAGAAGATGAGAGATGTTATGGCAAAATTATAATGATACGTAAAGGTTTTTTATTGTTTTGTTTTTATTATTACATAATGTTATTCAAATAAGTTTATGAACCGTAAATAAAATCTTACCGCTGCTGGTTTCATAACGACGGTGTTACCAGCTGCCAAGCAAGCAGCCATCTTCCAAGATAACATCATCAATGGATAATTCCAAGGAGTGATCAGTCCGCAGACACCAATGGGTTCTCTCTTAGTCAAAGTCAGATTTTTATTTGGTCTTGCATGACTGATAGGAATGGTTGAACCTGTAATCTTGTCACACCAGCCGGCGAAATATCTCCATGTTTCGATGGACATGCCAACGTGAGTCTTTAGTGCTAGAGTGTAAACCGCTCCTGAATCTATTGCCTCGATAGTGGCTAATTCTTCTTTGTGCTTCTCCATTAGATCCGCCAACCTGATACGTGAGATTTGGTTTATATAAATTTTCCCATTTTTTTTAGATATACCTAAAAACACAAATATTTACTTTGGTCCTACTTACTTGAATAATAATTGTCCTCTTTCCCTTGCGCTGATTTTGGACCATTCTCCTTCTTCAAAGGCCTTCTCAGCGGCTTTGACAGCCCTGTCAACATCAGTTGCTGTGGCAGCTTGAACTTTGCATATAACCGATTCATCCGTGGGATTAACTATAGCTGTTGTTTTTCCGCCGTCAGAATTAACGAATTCTCCATTGATGAATAGTTGCGTTGGAAATTTAATCTTCATTTTATTAATTTCCATCTCTACGCCATCGTAAATAACTTCCTTACTACTTGAACCACCTCTTTGTTTAAGTATAGCTGCGTTATAAAAATCTTCAAATGTTGTGTTCATGTAAATATCTTCATTTTGTAATTCGAGATCTGCTATATCCTTTATTTCTTCTACTAATCTGACAACGTCCATGGAGCCTGCTCCAGAAGCGAAGAAATCAGTGTCGTTTTCTATTTCGATTCTTAATATTGCTTTCCAAACATCACGTGCTTTTTCTATGAACTGTTTTTCTTCCGCAGTTAAGTCAAGGGAGACTTTGTTTTCTCTGCCTTTGAAGAAGTTTTGGGCATTAATCATCTTACCATTTACTTTCAACCTCTGAATGTTAAGCTGAAAAAAGCCAAGAGTAAAGAAGATTTTGATTATGTAACAATAAAAGTTAATTTATTAAACTTGGAGACTCACTTTAACTCCGTCATTAGCTGTTATTAATAAACCATCAGCGTGTACCACGGCGGGTTTGTTTAATCCTGTGATAAATAATTTATCACCCTCCGTTTCGTACTCCGCTTCCCACAATGAGGAACCAAAGAACTTAATTTCAATGTTAGCATCACTGGTTTTATCAACGCCGTCTTTGGTCTGTGGTTTTATGAAGGTGGTAGCGCCAGGAGAAGAATCCAGACCACGAATAAAATTGTGTAAAGCGAGACCTCCTTTAGACCAATCAATCTGTAAAAAACATTATGAAAAATAAAATATTATTAAAATGTTATTAAATGCAAAGCAAGCAGTATAATATTTTAGTGTGCCTTTTAATTCTACTTTTTTAATTTAGTACACATTAGTCCAAATGTTATGTAAATTGTAAAAGTATGACGGTTTATGGAAATTACTGTTATTGTAATATAAGTATTCAAATACGTATTTGTTTGTCCTTGGGATATGTTAGGTGATTGTTAAAATTTTAAATGTAATCCGACTAAAATACTAGTTTTACTAATAAATTCGACACAATTGTTCTTGGAAAACAGTATTCCAAAACTTATTATAAAATAGTATTAACAAAAAAATAATTTTGGTCTCTATAAAATGTTTATTCGGTTATTTTTGACTGTTCACATTATAAACTGCTCACATAATATGTTTGTAAAGGTATAGGTTACTTTTCCTGCTTAAGAAACGGTATTATAAAACTAGGATTTTTTTTAAACTTACCTGATGAGTCTCGGGTTTAAAGAGTGCTGGATCGTATGTAGCTCCCTCTTCGGTTTGTTTTATACGTGGAGCTACTCCATTAGCTACCATATTTACAGATTCTGCTAATGCTTTGATACCTATAATGTCAAAATTTTATTAAATCAGGAAGCTAATCAATATGTCTTGTCAAATGGGAGAGTCTTTGTTTTATATACGATCTATAGTTTGATTTATAAATTCTGTCAAATGCTCACCCTCAGGATATAAATATTTATTATACAATGAGTCCACAGTGTCATCAATGGTGCAAGGAAAACTTCTCTGTAGTAAAATGGGTCCAGTGTCCAAGCCGTCATCTGCCCAGAAGATAGTGAGACCACAGGTGGTGTCACCTTCGATAAGGGTCCTGGATAAACAAGCATTGTATATTCGTTGATAGAATTATAAATTGTACATAGGCAATTCACTTCTATAGGTTATGCAAGAAAAATCAACTACAAAGAATATTTCAAAACAGTAATAAGCCAGAGTTATATAAGTTAAAAAAATATGAATTCTGTAGAACAGCAGTGTATTCTCAATCAATATCAATATCAATATAATGGTACTGAAAGATAAGTTACTATATACTAACCAATTGATAGAAGATGCTCCTCTATGTCTAGGTAAGATGCTGGGATGGTAGCAGATACTCTGATATTTCGGGTGCAGAATAACTTCCATGGGAATAAACTGGGTACAGAATGGTAGAACGTTGATGTCGGCATTTACCTGAAATAATTTTTTTTATATTAGTCGAAGCCAATCTTATATATTTTAAAATAAATTTTAATTGAGAGTACAGTTTTTTTTTTAAGTTTTTAGTATTGAGTCATAACATTCGAATATACGAATTACTATAGTCTATACGTGTGGTGTGTAAGCGAGACTTACTATTGATATTATAATTAGACGGTAGAAAACGTGATGTCAGTTTAACACGTTTACTAGTTTTTATTATTATAACTTTAAACAAAGATCTCGGAAAGATACAATGGCGTCGTATTCATTTTCATTTGTTAACACGAACAATTATTTTTTTTGGATATCTTGCAAAATAAATTATACTTTATAATATTATATAACTCAGATTTAATTTATGTTGATAACACGTGGTTTATCACTTATTTTAAAAATGATTTCGTTGTAATATTTTATAATAAAAAATATACTAGTTATCATTATGTTTTACAAACGTAGATGATGATATGACATTTTGGTTTTATGATATTAATGTTTATTAAAATTCAAATTCTTGAATATTTTGAGTTTCGAAAACGCTTTGCTAATAATTTTTATTATTAATAAAATTCCAACACTATGTATATTAGAACTAAAGTTGTCTTAAAATATTCTCTAATCAATTTTAAATTCACAGGTTATTTTTATTTTACATTTATTTGAAAAGTAAAGTGAAATTTTATAAATATAGTCATTATGTACAGTTTGAACTTTTAAAACAAATTTTTATGTTTACTCGTACTAATAAAAAAAAAAGTTACGGTTTCTTATATGGATGTCCAATTAAGTAATGCATCTCTTTACTTTTAATGGGAGATGAGAATAATACAGACAGATTTTTTTTTATATATAAAACAATTTGAAAGCCTGAATCATTTTCGGCAGTATATAATTCAAATGGAATAATTCATTAGGGAAGTCGAATAACAAGTTACGTTCGGTTTTAACCGGATTTTCAAATTAATATGTACAGTTGAATTTTACGTTAAGACGATAAACGGCGCATAACAAACTAAAATGAATTAATGATCCTCACATACGTAACGCTTTAACTGACTTCTCCTATATAAATACGAACAAAATATCAGTTGAATTAAAATATGAAAAATTATAGTCAGTTTTCCGCGTTGCAACCAAAATTTTCGTCAAAAAGTCCTAAGGATCCACTGTAGATTGCTCCTTGTTGTACATAAGTATCTATTTATTTGTAAACAAGTAATTATTGGCTTTTTAATAAAATGTTAAAGCTAACGATAAAATTACAAATAAATATAAAATTCAGGTAATATTTACCTGGCAATATTTACCTGGCAATAGAAACATTGGTGTAAAAATAGTAATTAAAAAATCGAGTTTTCTAAAATAATAATAATAATAATCAACAAAAGAAAATAAGTTGCATTCACAAGCTATAGAAATCTGTGACTATTTAGAGGATATTAAGTATTTTCGTATTGGTATATAATTATACTAAAATATTGATAGTTACTGAACTGTTATATGTATATTCGATGGACTAATATTATTTCAATATATCAGACATATATGCTTTAGTTCGTTGAGATTTGGTTTATTTGATAACACATATCATAGGTCATAGGTTTAGTAGGTGCGTGGCCCGATGTAATATCGTCATGTTGGCACACTTCGAGCTCATGATGGGCTGATTTCCGCTATTGTTTAAACGGAATTTGTTGAAACAATGTAAACACAATAATAAACTAAATATATCTATTTGCTTTGAAATTATTGGATTTTATATTTTGGAAAGTAATTGTGTGAAATATTTTTTGTCTTTAATATAAAAATAAAGCTATTTTTATTTTATTAACTCGTAAATTAACTATAACTAATTTATTTAATATACAATGTACGCCAGACTCACAGATTTGTATTCTTCTAATATTTCCGGGATAACTTTTCCTTTCACCCTCCACGTCTTGTATTTGAACACCGGTTTACCATTCTGGGCTGCGATAGTTGCTACGGAGACAATCGAAATTTTGATAGAAAAAAAATAAACAGAACTATATAACTCTAGTGATTAATAAGTGTTGGACCATTAAAAGATAAATGTTTTTAATATAAAAAAATTAAGAAAAATCCATTAATATTTACCCAAAGGATCCTCTCGATTTCCTTTGTCGAGTACTGTGAATACACCGACCACTTCATGACCATCTCTCTGCAGTAATTTGAAAACCTCAGCTGCGAAAGTACTCTGACCTATTATGGCTACACGGAGCTTTTTCTTTGAAGGCTAGGAAAATAAAAATAAAATTGATAACTAAAAATCGTATAATAGTAGGAATTAAATGCAAAAAAACGCCAAGAAACCAGATGAAGAAAAAATTAAGAAAGATGAGAAATTAAATAAAGATATAGAAATTAAATAACAATAATTTTATTGGATAAAAGATATTGTTTTGCGTCTTCAGTTAAAACCAAAATCGTTTTATTCCTTATTTAATTGCAATTTTATGTTACAAAGTGAAGTCATTCATTATAATTGGCAATTACATTCGGAATTAATAGTTAGTTAAATTTTAATTAACCTATTATTTATATAAAATTTCAAAACATACTACGATTAGTAGAAAGTATTTGCAATCATACACAATCAGATTTTTATTTCAGGCTATAATTATTTCTTCGTTTAAAATTAAAATCTTAAATATTTTCACTATTAATCTGACTCATAGAAATTAACAAAACTTTATTAAATAAAAAAATCTATATTTAAAGTAAATTATAAACTAAACCTTTCATAATACGCCCAAAACATAAAATTACATTAAAGCAATCGCAAATCTTGACTTCCTTTCTAAATATAGAAAGGCATGCAAAGTGGTTGTTATAAACAAAAAAACATCGCAAGTTTTATACAAACAATAAAAGGTATAGAACAAAATGTTTATAAAAACCGGGGTATACATAAAATAATAAAGTAATATGTAGGACCTACCTCTTCAGGCACGGCTACTGGTGGCATGTTTGCTGTCTTTATATTTCGTCTAGTCGACTGTCAGACGATCACCAACCGACTAACTGTGAATCAAACACTGGTTTCTATATAAACTGAACTTCAGTAAGCAACGTCTTCACCCCGAACTTGGCATTCCTTATCACATTGTGTTTTTTTTACAACGAACTGCAAAACGTCTTGGCTTATCTATATTTTTGTGTCAATTCAATTTTATTGCTGTTGTTTGACCATAATACATCTAATTTCCACGTGAACTTAATATTTGAGGGTGAGTTTAAAATAGTATATTTAATTAGTTACATAAATCATTAATGTGAAAATTAAATTTAAATGTTTTATAAAAAAAAATATTCATGACATTAGATTCAGCCTTTAAAACATTTAAACATTGATTAATATAGTCTAGACATTTTTTTAAAGTTATGTTAATATAACATGAAATTTTAATAGTTAATCCTAATATTTGAAAGTGCCATAATATTAAGGAATGGCAGGAAGAGAGGTGGTTATAAAATACACATTATAATATTTAAAAAATGTGCAAATATTGGAAACTTCAAGTGGCATTAAATTTTATGTTAAAATAAAAACTTTCTTTCGTACCACTTATTGACATAAATTAATTTTTCACGTTTTAATTTATAATTATAATCATACATTCATAGCTCAAGTAATAACCATAAGTTGAATATAGATTTTTTAATTTAAAATAATAATGCTTTTATAATTTAATTCATGCTAAAAAATTCTATAGCATTAGAAAATAATAATTACGTGTGTACAAAGAATTCATTAGAAAAAATCGCTCCCAGTTGCATCACATTAACTCATGGTCAACATAAAAGTACATAGCTACTGTAATCATTACATTGAAAAAAAGCAGTGTCATTCTATAACATTTTATATTTTACTATATACAAAGTACATAAAAAAACATATGGACGTATTTTGATGACATTAATTGCTATAAAACAAATTGTTTGCTTAACATATGTGATATTAGTATCATATTTTTATATTATTTCTTATTATCAGAGGTCGCCGGTCGGTGTAGTAAAAACATCAGCTGATAGTGAAGTAATTCATATAACCGGTTCGAAGCGGTTATGTCGACATCGAGGGGAAAGGTTCCTATAATTACCTGGCGATTGTCGGAGGTAATCTATTCAACGTAACACAGTGCATATATTATGACATACACAAGATAATGATGTTTCATATGATAAAAAAAGGTATCTATAAATGCATAATATAAAATCATGCAATTGATGGAAATCGTTATAATAATGGTGGTTAATTTTATAACTTTAAAAACTCGAAACTGTGTTAAGATAGCTAACTGCATTGGTGCCAAAATATTTCTTGTCTTTCCACATGAAAATTTACAGTTTTTGGATATATGTATAATTTTGTTTTATGTATATCTCCGTTACACAAATCGATTGCTTTCCGCTGCCAAAATTATGGTATACAATACTTCAATATATAATCAATCCATAAATATTTAGTATCTAAATGTACAAATAGAACAATCAAAAGTAATTGGAAAATATTGTACTGTATTCAATAACGTTAATTTAAACAGAACCGCTTCAAACTGGTTTGATGCGTGCTCCTCGCGTACACTAGTTATTTGACCCGCAGATAATAAATTGTTTGTTCTCCTATCACCACTTTATTCGTCAATACAGTTATTGTTTCTAGTTCTGGGAGATTGTTGCTTTATTCTTCTTAAATAATCTACTGTTAAAATATATGATAAATAGTTCTAGAAAATCTATCGAGAGAATGGCTCTTTATAAAATTCTTATATAATTTGTATGTGTGTTGTATGAATTATTAATTAATAATATTTCTAATAACAGTTCCTAATACAATTTACTACATTTAATATTTTCTTTTATCGACCGCCTTTAGAAATCTGCAAAAAAAACTGTCGAAAGGTCAATTGGTCGTTCATTGATCATTAATATGTATGTATATTTTTTTGTATACAGAAACAATCGATGAACTAGTAAAAACTTCGCCTAAGGTCATATTTTGTCTATCGGCATCTGAAATACGGTATACCTTTGTATATACTGGGTGGCGCAAAAGTAAAGACCCTATTTGGTTCAGCTATAACATTTTTTCTAAATGAGAAAACTAGATTTAGGTTTTTTTAAATGTATATTTGTGCCATTAAATTTCGTACCATTAGGATTTAAAGAAGATGTCTTTTAAATGGTGACCTCCAAAGTTGATACACAAAATTGGTTATGAGTGACGAAGCGCATTTCCATCTCTCAGGGCATGTCAATAAGCAGAATACTCGGTTCTGGGGCACTGATAATCCGCGCATTATTCAAGAAACACCTCTACACCCACTAAAAGTTACTGTATGGTGAGGCATCTGTGTTGACAGAGTGATCGGACCCTATTTTTTCGAAGACGCTGGAGGCAATGCGATAACTGTCACTGGAGAACGCTACAGAACCATGTTACGTGAGTTTTTGATACCCAGTTTGGACGAATTGGGGCTGGCGCACATCTGGTTTCAACAAGACGGCGCTACGTCACACACAGCGCGCTACACTATGGACTTAGTGAGGGACGCTTTTCCAGGCCGAGTTATCTCTCGTTTTGGCGATTTGCCTTGGCCTGCAAGATCACCCGATTTGACCAGTCCAGACTTCTTTCTTTGGGGTTTTTTGAAATCTCGGGTGTATGTGAACAAGCCACAGACTCTCGCAGCTCTAAAAGAAAACATTCGTCAAGAAATAACGAACATATCGCAGGAAGTGTTACGGCAAGTTATGCAAAATGTCATAAATAGGGCTCAAATGTGTATCAACTCTGGAGGTCACCATTTAAAAGACATCATCTTTAAATCCTAATGGTACGAAATTTAATGGCACAAATATACATTTAAAAAAACCTAAATCTAGTTTTCTCATTTAGAAAAAATGTTATAGCTGAACCAAATAGGGTCTTTACTTTTGCGCCACCCAGTACATATAAATTCAGAGGGTTTACTTTAAATCTATGACCGTATAAGACAAAATAGAGAATTTAAAAATAGCTCAAAATATTTAAGAAAAACTCATGTCTTTTTTTAAATATTTTTAGGAAAATCTACTAATTGATTAATTTGCTTGATTATTCGGTTTGTATCGATTAAAAAAAGTGAAAGAATGTATAAAATAATGGTGGACTGAATAAATTTTGAAGTTATGACTTACCTAAAGACTACTTGAGTGTTAAGATGATTCTTAATTGAAATTGAAAAATTGAAATTTATGGTTAATGTATTGTAAAGGAATCTCTTTAAAGGAAATTTATTTGTCGGAATAAAATGAAGTTCTCCAGATGTTCAAGAGCATGATGACGGATTGGTCGGTACGTATGCAGTTCTTATAAGCACTTGCTTATTAATTGCTAAACTAAACTTGGAAGTGAAGCTGAGCTGCTATTGAGATTATTTCCTTGAAATAAACAAAACTGTACGAAATAATAAAATAGAATTTTTAAATATCAAATTTGATGTGCTTTTTTGTTGGCTTTGTATCGGTGAGTGTACTAGCTTATTCATCCACATTAACACATGTTTTTACTTGCATTTAATGAGAATGTTTTAAGACGTGTGGGTGACATGTGATAATCTTGGTAGCAGTAATTGATTGTTACGTGTGTTTGTTATTGCTAACATTATTTCATTATTTAATCTTACATGCCTTAAGTATATACTACCCTTCTTATAAAAGTAAGGCTTAAATTTGTTAATGTACAAAATATCGAAACAATCTAAATCTGGTAGATTGAAAAAAAATCAAATGTTTATATAGATGCCGTTGACTAAACTGTCATCGTCATCAGCCTATCAGAGCCCACTGCTGAGCAAAGGCCTCTTTCTCGCATTGAGAAGGTTTTGAGCATTAATCACCACGCATGCTCGAAACGGGTTGGTGATTTCAAACTTATAATTGTGAAATTATAAATCCAGGTTTTCTCATGATGTTTTCCTTCACCGGCCGTCAGTGGTGTCTGGTGCTTAGAAAGTACATATCACTCGGAAAAATCACATTGGTACTTGAAAGGATCGAACTTGCGCCCTCGTGCACTAGAGGCAGGCCTTTCACCACTAGGCCACCACTGACTAAACTGTAGTTACACCTAAATTCAAGAACATGAGGTTTTTTAAACTGTTATAGATATTTACATTTAACGCTCCAAAAAATCTGTATATTCGAGTATAATTAACATTGCTCTGCAGTCTTCAACAGGAGAGATAACAAGAGAACGCTGGAATCTAAGGTTGTCATTCTGGAATTGAAAAATAGAAGCTTAATTTCTATCATCCTACTTAAACGTTCCAGCTTCAAAGGCCCTACAAAAATCCTTTTTGGGGAGCGTAAGCGTTCGCTCAAAAAGGAGGTCAACTTACTCACTAACAAAAGTTTGCTGATGGTTGTATTAATTTTGAATTATGATTTATATCACTATCTAATTTATTAATTAAATTATGTCTTAAATTTACGTTTTTTTGAAAAAGCAAGGCTTCTGCATGGTTTAAGCATAATAATAATATTTACCAAGTTCCTTAATTTTTGTATAAATAAGAAATTTATATTAACCCTTTTCGTATTTTAAAAGTAACCTTCGACTATGGAGAAATATAGTATGGCAAAATCATAGATTACCTAATATTTAAAATAGGTCACTTATCTATTTATAATTATTAGTCACGTAGGGAAGGTATGTTTGTTTGTTTTTTTGTTGCATAATGTTTGAAGATATCTGCGAATGTATTTCCATTGTTACTTGAACAATGAACGAAACAGAATAGTCATTTCACTAGCGTCGCTGTTTAAAGAAAGTTTATTATTGAGCTCATGTGTTTTACGTGATGGACGTAGTTTGGTTCATAGTTCTATTAATATTTACAGTCATAGAGGTATCCCCGTATAATTTAACTATTACCTTTCCCATGTGGTGCACCCGACACTTTAGTACGTGCACATTTAATATCAATTTTAACTTCGATTTCATTTAAATCTGGTATGTCCACGACTTATATACTAATAAAAATAATATTAAAATTAACACAATTACTTGTCAATGTTTTTTTTTTAATATATTTGTAATAGCAATCAATTTCACCTATGATTATAAATATTAAATTCCTAAACTAGCTTGAGAGCAATATTGAACATGAAACACAAATTTTACTGTTAAGGCACTAACATTCTATCTTTTTCTTACTGTTGAATATACTTACCTATAAAATATATTTTAGAATGTCACTTCAATATCGGAGATGGAAAAAGGCGTGGATATTTCATTTTCAAAGGCCGTAGACCTTTCTGCAGTAAAAAGTTTAGAAAAAACACTTCAAAAGGAATTCAATCAAGAATATATGATATACAATCAACTATTGAGCACCAGTCAAGAGGTAATGAAAAATATGGGGATTGAGGATATGGATATCGGAACTGACCTTAATAGACTAAAGAGTAAGTTTATATTCGTATATCATTTTTTATTATTTTTATATTGGCGAATTTTAAAGCTCGTTGTGCTAATAGAGCTCAGTGTTCCTTGGGAAATCAACATTCCCAAAGACCATGCCAAGGTTGACAAATATTACGAGATCACTGACAAACCCACTAAGAATAGGTTCATTGTAAATTTATACTCAGTAGAGGTAGGAGCGAGAGGTATAACAGCCAAATCTCTCTACAACCTACTAAAAGACTTTGGACTGTCCAGAATTAACATCAGTCCTAGTAGGTTAGTTTCAAATTTGGTTAGATAGAAAGAGGAGCTTGGATAGTGGAGTGGGTGAGCGTTTAACGCATGTTAGATAGAGGCCTCTTAAAGGTTTAAGACATGACAAATGACAAACAAATGACAAGACTCTTAAAGGTTTAAGACAAGACAACTGGTTCGCAAGTCCCAGGCACTGTTGAAGCTCCTCTACCTACAACGCCATGCACTCGGCTGCATGGTGAATCCATGGAATGCTGAGAGGTTTTGTCTCATAATATTTTTTTATCAAACTTTCATATTATGCGAACACTTGTATATTTTTAATGACAATATTGTAACTACTTAACATGCTAAGTGTATTTATTTACTTGTAATTTTCAAGAAGCAGTAGACCGCCGAAGATCCGTTCGCTGGAGGTCTGAAGTCGGCCAAAGACGTTTTCGTTCACAGGCTTTACGGAGACAAAAGTTGAACAGCCAGAGTCTGAGGAGTCACCTTCAACATTCAAAACAGGCTTCATCAAGAGTTGACGGTTAAATAAATAGTTTAATTGGGAATTTATATCACCTATCAGCAATGTTTGTTCGGTTTACTTAAACTCAGAAACACCGCCAAGTGTGAATAGCCCTGAACTTCTAGAAGTTTCCATAGTTATCAAAAATAGGATTATTGAATCAGATTTACAACAGTGATTAGTTTCATAGCTATTTGAATGCAAACTTTTAACCGCCATTATCTCTCCTGAAAGGAATTTTGTAAAATAAGAATTTAGGTATCCGTATTTATAAGATACATATATTAGGGAACTCATGCCTTTGTTGTCTCGATAGTAACTTTCAGATTAGAATAAATGTTCCATAATTTTATATATACGAAAATAAGACAAATAAAGACTAAGAAAATAAGATTGTACCAATCACTTTCGTGTTTTTTTCCACCCTTTTCTAGAATATTCTTAAATATTTATTATACTTACCTAAGTAAGTTAAAAAAATAATTTCATCTTTTTAGCACCTGCTTAATTAATTAAAATTTTAAACCAGGTTTCTTATCTGAATATATTTATTTCAAATAATTTTATACTGCCTTAAATGAAATCTTTCAACAAAATGTATATCAATTTAATAACATGTTACGCATGTTTTGCGGAAATATTTTAAAAGGAGCTTCTACACTTCAAAAACAACACAGAATGAAATAGGCATAACAAAAATATACTTCAATAATTTTCAACGGATTACTGTGTGGTAACCCTTAGGACACTTTATTTTCGATTTTCTGACGCGGAATATTCACAACTCACACAATTCACATTGGTATAGTAAGCGTTTTTGATATCAAATTTGATTATGAAGTATAATATGTATAAGTAAGTACACATATTTGTGTAAAATTTTACTGATTGATTCATTTTTTCTTCAGATGGGGAAATTCGAAAACCCATTTCATTTAATTATGTGTGCCTGCAGACTAATTCAAAATTATAACAAACTTATTATTTAATTTGACCATGGAATAACGGTGATATCTCAACAAGGCAGAGTTTTAGGTGGTAGAGCCTAACTGTAGTCAAAATACTACAGGTAGAACATGGGATGGCTCGACTGGGGAAGTACCATTCTCTCACAGAAGATCAGTGTGATGTAGCCTTTAATGGCTGCATTTCGTCCGATGAGTGAGAGTTTAGAATATTAATACTACTTTCTAAGAATATTTAGACATCACTGATTAATGCTGATTCCCAAAAGAGGGTTGATGTCAGGCAGGCGGTCGGTAGTAAAAACAATTAGCCAAAACTATTCAAAACATGTAATGCAGACCCTGGCTATAGCCGGGAAATTGCCAGGTAGAAGGAAAAAATAGTGAGAGAGCCGGTTGCCTTTTCCCTGTTCCCACCCTTTTCTGCTATATCCTTATTCCCACCCCTACTTTTCCTCAATAACCAAAGTCGGCAAGGCGTCCTCAACATAGATGTTGCAGATGTCCATAGGCGACGTTTACTACTGCTCATCATGTAGGCCGGCTGCGTCTTTGTTGACATTAAAAAGGCAATTACTATTTTCTTGAACTAAATTACAAAGATGTTTCTCATTTCCAAAACATTACTTAATTTTAGCAATAAAGAAGGCTAACGAAATGGAAACTCAGAAGATTGGGTCGAATTCTCGCAAGTGTAAGTTGACTAAGAAAGATGTACAACCCTTCAAGATCTATCTAGACTTTAATTTTAGATCTGTTAATAATTGCAAACCCTAATTACAAAAAGCCGTTACAAAAAAACAGGTCACTTGTCCTTGCCCACTGTTATTTATGACAATACTTATTTAGAGGTTACTTATTTAGAGGTAAATACAATTGTCAATGAAAGTTGTTTTCAAAATTCAACGCTAATTTGGCGGCCCCAACCACTTACGGAGATTACGAGTACTCGTATATTATAGTTTTTACTCTCAAACATTTTCAGCAAACAATTAAACCACTGTCTGTAAAATGCATAAGGTACATAGTTATATACATATGACTTCTGACGAACTAGTTTTTTGTATATATTTTTGTGTAATACTGATTTCGTATTGATTTAAGAATAAACAGGAGATTATCATTGAAATTTACGTATTTCTTTAAAAGTTTTTTTCTTATTATTTTTGTCAATGCATAAAAGCAATTGATCTGAAAGCACAATGCATAATTAATAGAAGCATATGCGTGTATTTTTTTGTATTATTATAAGTATTATATTAAGAATATTTAATAAAATACGTAAGACTAAAACATGATTGATAACATAGGATTAACACTGTATTTACTGTTAATCACCTATTAATTAGTCTATGATAACATCCATTAAGATTTGAATTTCTGATACGACTAAAGAAAAGTAATCAATGGGATTGTATCACAATTAAGATATTAAAGATTTTGATAGCGTTTTTAAAATAGATTTTGGATTATACTTTTAATTCCTTGCAAATTATATATGTAAATAATAATTATACATCCGTATTGGCAATACCGTTGAATTTTTATCGCATGAATTTATTTTTTGAAAAAAATTATATATTTTTTGTTATTTAAGGAAATGTTCAGGAACGAGAGGATTAGTTTTTACATTCAAAGATAAGATATAAAGATTGTACGAATTTATCGGTATACAGAAATTGTTTATTATTAGATATATGATACATTCATATCTTTTAAACTCTGCTTGTAAATAGTATTAATATATTAAAATTAAGAAGAACTTGTAGCGTTTTTTGAGATAATATGGTTTATGCAAAAGAAAAAGTTATGCCTTTACGACGTTCCGATATATGCTTGAAAATGTTCAGGAACAAAATTGGAGATTATTTGATAAGGAGATAAAAAATTATTTAATGTTACGTTATCATATCTGACCATATTTGTTACTTTGGTAAGATTTTGATATAACAATCTGATATGTTAGGATTTTAGTCTATAAATTCGTTATTTAGATAAAAGAAATATTTTATTACAATACAACTCCAATTATTGTTATTATTACATAGTTTTACCTTAAAAATTGTAGCTACAAAAACTAAATATATACAGCGGGTTGGTGTCATTTGAAATATGTAATTTAATTTTTCAAAAATAGTTTAGGATAAGGATAACATTTTTGTTTCTGATCTTTACTTTTCATATTTTTTATGATACAATCCTGGCTTTAAAGTTTTTTTTATTGATCTCGTCGCCTTAATGTATATTTGTTTTAGTAAAATGTTGAATGTTTAGTGAATGATGCTTCCCCTTACTGTGTTCGAATGAAAAAGAAATGACCTGAGAGACACAAAGATAGTAAAAGTTATACGTACGAGTATATCTTATTACCATTGCAATATTCTGCAAACTTTTAATAGGCCTTAAATGAAATTTATTTCAAAGGTTTTCCGGAATAGATACTTTATTATGAATATTCAGCCACTTGAGCTGTGAATCACCTTGTTTACTGAATCACTTCAATTAGGTACTTAAAAGTGCACAATGAGTGCACAGAGATGTAGGACAAAGGGTTTTAGGACATGAGCAAAAATTATGATGAACAAATGAAGAAGAAACGACATATATAAAGAATTATGGCTTAGTCTCTCATTGACCTATTGCAATGCAAAAGTATTCATATATGGGTAAAAGGGATCTCCCCGTTAAACTGGACTATAAACAAGCGTTAGTTACCATTCTACGGGAAAAAGGTGAAATAATATTTAAATATATGATGCTTTCAGTAACGGATGTCGTGTTAATACAATTTTTTTTGTTAAGTACTTATTTATTTCAATATCTTAAAAAAGTTTTAACATACGGTTATGTATGTAAATGCTTAAAAAGGAGGCAAGAAAAAATACAGACCTATATAATACATATATTCCCTACTTATTCTTTTAAGATGAGATATTTGTGTAACAAGAAAGTTTAATTCTTAAAATATCAAAAAATTATCTCTTTCAGGACAAGTAATTTTAGGTCAGTTAATTTTCATTCGATTATTTCAAAATTTTTATTATTTTTTTTTGTATAGCGGTGATATTTTATATGACGTCTTCTACCGTCCTTATCGGATGACAGTGAAAACAGATATACTCATTTATATAAAGTGTTCTCATGACTAGTTTTTCAGTTTGTGTTAATAAGGAGAAGGGATAGCAAGTGTTTTCTTAAATAAAATGAAGAGTTTCATTATATTTTTAGCGCTTTTATGCGCTGTAGATATTTCAATACAGGTTAGTATTTGTAAATTTCTTTATATCAAATATTATGAAATTTAAAATAATAATAAAGCGAATTATTTATTGGTTTAATTGAATTATGTTTATGTTATAGAAAAATATAATTAATATATACGATCTCTACAATGTTAACTTTATTATAAAATAAATATGGTTATCACAGATAATAATAATAAAATTATCTGTATACAAAACAAGAATTTATGAAACTTCTCGTTTCTGTAAATATCCTTTAATTGGCATAACATTTACTAAACTTATTTAATGATTGTTACACTATCTTACAACAAAATTTTCTAATTTTTATCAGTTTTATATAATGAAGTAACGCAGCGCTAATGTGTTTCGCGTTTTCTAAATCTTATGTGGCGAACGTTAAAACATATTATGTATTTATAAGAAAGAGTGCCCACTGGTCATGCCCATTGAATTGACAAAATTTTGTGTATGAGAAAAGAATTAGAGTGATTTAATTAAAGTTAGGTTTAATTTGACTATAAGGCTTTAGTACCTCGTTTTCGAATGAAGACTAATTACATTTGTACATTTACATCCTCTTATACAAAGAAGCAATATTGTTTTCTTTGTATGTGAATTATGAGGTCAATTTACTATGTAGGAAATTGTATTTAATACCACACTTTTAGGGCGACTTTTGGTATCTAGCTGCTCATTTCTCGCCTTATAAAAAACATTGAAGAAAAATTTGTATTTGACAGTTATTCATTAATTTATTTAGAGGAAAATTATTAATGATCATTTATTTTTTTATGGATGAAAAACAGTCTTCGTGCAAAACTTTTTTTATCTACCAATAAATATTATCGTATGTATTATAAAAGGGTATTAGTGAAGGATGTTGGGCTTTAATTTATAGATATTGTAAATTCCATTTTATCAATTAAAATTGAAATGTCCGGGTTCTAGACAATATGTAGTAAAATATATTAATTTCCAATAATAAAAAAGATGATAAATTTGAAGGGTATTAATTTTTTTAAGATAATTATATAACAACTAGATATTCCTTCTGATTTATTTAGCAAACAAAAAGGTAAAGTAAGTTTATAAATCTTGTCGAGGTGTTTTAGAAGACCTAGACCTCGGCTAGTAATTGGCTGTGGAACCCTTATTAATGTCTAGCTAAGATGCTCTTGACTCATTGTCATTGTCATTACCAGCGTATATTGAAAAATATGATTTTAGAAAGTTCATTGTTAAATATTAAATAATTAATTATGAGAATAAAAAATATGGTGATTAAAAAGGACATCAAAATAAAATTACTACGTTAAATTAATTACCATACTCTTTTTACTCAATATTCACATATTATTGTGTGAATAACAAAAAATTTCATCAGTCGATAGATTTCATGTTAATAAATTAACAATTAAAAATATAAGTAAGAATTATGTTAAATGAATTGTTTTGAATCTTAGAACAAATTAGATATCCAGCTTTAGAACATGCTAAATTTAAATATTTTGTATGGTTTTGAATACATCATATAATGCAAATTCATTCATTCAAAAAAAACATTACAATTAAACTGTGAACATTTTAAAAAACTTCGATTGTTTCGTTAGCAGTTTCACTCTTACTATAAAAGTGTGCTAGTTATATCAAAATTCTTATCGTGTGCACTATTTTTAACATTACTTATGAATATTATTTTATATTTATTCTTTAATCTAAGATGAAGCGAAGGTATTAAGCCATATATGATTACTTTTATTGCTGTGTTACCTTGTTACCGACTTAGATTTTGTATTTAATGTTTATTTTTATTTATTTTCCTATCGCTCTTTATTAATTCTAGTATTGAAATTATTTATATCATAATGAATATTTAATTTCAAACAGGTATTTTATAGCAAAGCCCAATATATTTATTCTTTAAAATGTCTAAGTGAGCCACGAAGACAAATAAATAATATTATGACAAAACTAGTGTTTACTAAAAGTAAACCTCATTTTTTTTAAATATCAATGTCGTATTTGTTTCATTAATGTTATTACTATGTAATCGAAACTTGATATTAAATAGGTATTGAACCCAAAAATGTAATTCCCCTCATTCAGAATCGTATACTTAGTTACAAATTCAATGAGTAGATACTGAGGTCATTGCGGTCAATGGAAACAGACCCAAATAATAAAAGGGATAGTTATTGGAGTATAATTTTTAATAGGTAGTCATTTCAATCGATTGGTTTATCTGTAAATGAATAAATAAAAAATTCTCGTTGTACATAACGTGAGCCTGTATAATATTTTTTCTTAACAATTTTTGTTTGGATATTTATCAATAGCAGAAATCAAAAGTAAGGTTGTACCGACAAGGAACTAAAAAATCTCATACAAATATATTTAAATGTTTCATAACACAGTTGTTATTATTGTTTTTGAAGTGATGACGACAAAGTTGAATCGAAGACTTGGTCCGCTTAGAGTATTTCCAAAAATAGCTAAACATATTGGCCCGACTGCTTTTTGCGTTTCGTTGAATTTATAACTTATTTAACTCACTTCAAATAGTGTTTTAAATCGTCCTACAAACTAATGAAAACTGAATTAAAACATATATATTCAGTAAAGAGATTGCTTTGTTATGAATTCAATATAATTATAAATTATTGTTTACTGTAAGAAGATAATTAGTTACACGCTCACGTTTATAAGCCATTGAGGAAAAGCACACAAAGCAATCAGTCTATCTGGCTATGTGTCGGTAGCTGACGTGTTCTTTGTGATATATCACATCATTCGATTAACACATGCTCGTATAAAGTGATAAAGTCCACTACTATTCGTGTTTCCAATTGTTTTTACAATGCTTTCGCTGTTATTGTTGACGTTTCTTTGTGTATCATATTCGGATCAAGTGAGTCCAATCACCTCTTATAAATTATTTTTTATACTTGTTTATTTACATACGCTTGGGAATAATTTAAATAATATAACAATAAAATGTTAAATATTCCACATAACAGTTTTGTCGTTTGAGACGGTATTTATTTAAGATTAGTTTGTATAGTTATTTCTTTATTTACATTAAAGATATTGGCAGTTGAAGACACTTAGGTATATATAATTTTAGTCGGATTTTTATCATATTTTTTATGATATATTATTTAACAAAGACATTTATCATTTTTTATTTACATATTGTCTTGAGATAGATGTTTTGTATAATTGTTGATGTATTAAAATTTATTCTACAGAAATATGTAATTCATTTAAAATAGTATTGTTAATTATTTTAGCAAAACTCATAAAAAGTATGTTTAGGACAGGAAAAGTTTTATGAGAGCTTAACAGAGTAATGGAGAAATAATAAGATATGTATTCCAGAGATCGACCCCAGAAGATGACAGCTATGTTGCAGCTGTTGTTGAATACCAGGTGCAGAGCAATGTGGAAACGAACTTGAGGAATTACATCAATTTAATACAAGATGCTGCATTCCAGGTGATTCAGACAAACATGTGTTTGTAATTTGTATAGTCCGTTAGACTTAAGCTGAGCTTTGCATTTGTGTGAGTAGAACTAGACAAAAAACCTTTTAAAATTCAATCAAGTATTATATTTTAAATAGATACACAACATAAGTGCTATAAAATAAGCAAAACTTGTAAAAGACCAGATGAAAATATTATGAATATTATTAAAAAAAAATTAATTATTAAAAAATTTGAAAAAACTATACAAATTATTCTTCACTTGACCTTGTGTTTTCAACATTTTGTTTTGCTGCCCGTACAAAGGGTGAAGTGCGGAAGGTACGAGGCGGAGTAAAAGCAGTATAAACCGGTTCAAAACTAGAAAAGAATGTAGCGTTCAAAAAACTGACATTACACCTACACTATCTGTGTGCACTCACCCAAATGCAAAGCTCAGCTTAAATCAAACACACTATACCCTTGTTATTTGATTCTATTGTCTTCCAAGAATTATTGGTAATTCATTCATTAATAATTGTCAGCTCTGACTTATTTTATCTGGCGACAAAACCTTGGCGGTGAAAAAATCTGTATCAGTTTTAAAACATTAGGTACTCCGTATAGTTTACCAGTATGAAGCAAATCTCATAATCTCACAATACTCTTATGAAATTAATTGAAGAAAATATAATTCATTTTAATTTTTTAATATCATAAGATATCCCGAAATTCATTAAAAACAGAAAATTACTATCGTAATTGGGGTATGTAAAAAAGAGTTTATTCTTTTGAACATTTATAACGACTTTCTGATTGTCTCTTAATTTTCTGCTATAAATTAACTTATTTTTTATTTCAATTATAGAATGCTGACATTGTGGTATTTCCCGAGATGACCTTGACAAGAGGCAACAGCGTTACTGTCCCCATCTACGGCTTGCTTAAAGACAATCCTATACCAGCTTTGGCGCCAGAACTGTATGATGAGGTACATTTTTTAATCCTTATATATTTTATTGCTTATTATAATGGAGCGAAAATAAATAGAATTTCAATAGTTTAAAATGTGACAAATAGTTTTGATTAAAATCTTCTTGATACATATTTCACGTATTATGATCATAGGAAAGATTAGAATCATTAACATCTTCATTGTTTGCTCCATACTATCTAACCTATGTTTTTTAATATCAAATTTAATAACAGATAATTAAAAGATACCCTAAAATAAGTCCTGTATAATAAATCACGCTAGAAAAAACGTTTAATTTGTAATGTAAGGTTTAAAATAACATTTTCATTAGATCCTAGTATCAATATCAGCTGCGGCAAGACAGAATGAGATATATGTTGTAATCAACGTTCAAGAGATACTCAACTGTACGATTCCCCAAGCTGAGGGTGAGAACTGTCCAGAACAGAAACGGTACTTGTTCAATACGAATGTCGTGTTCAATAGATCCGGAGCGGTTATTGATAGGTAAGGAAAATATATATAACTAGATTTTGCCCGCGACTTCGTCCGCGTTAGTTTGGTCAAGAGTAATATATGTAGGTGTAGCTGACCAGTCGAACTCTATTCCGTCTTACAGGCCATAAATAATCAGGTTTTTCCTGTTTCAATCAAACAGAATTGACATATTTGTTAGTTGTCAAATCTAATGTCAAAAAAAACTTTTGTATGGGAAATAGAAAAGGGCTGTTTTTATGGTTTTCTCAGTAATGAATCAATTTTTCTCACCTTTTAAACCTTCCCTGGACTTCCAGGAGTATTTCAAGACTTAAATTAGCCAAATCCGTTTAGCCGTTCTCGAGTTTTAGCGAGACTAAGGAACAGCAATCCATTTTTATAGATATAGAAGATAAGTATATAATAGAAAATTTACTTGTTGTGGGTAATTTTTGGTTCAGTTAGTCGAATTTTGATTATTTTTTTCTTGAAACTAAACTTTTTTTCTCGCTTAGACAACTATTTTAATATGAATGATGGAACTAAATATTCTTTATAATTTTTTAGATATCGAAAAATAAATCTCTTCGGTGAATTCACTCGTACTCCGGCACTTACACCAGATCTTGGAGTGTTCGAGACAGACTTCGGAGTTACTTTCGGTCACTACATTTGCTTTGACCTCATGTTCCAAGTTCCCGCTATACAAGTTGTAGAAAAAATGAACATCACTGACGTCGTCTTCTCTACTATGTGGTTTTCTGAAATGCCTTATCTAACCGGTAAGAAAATTTGTACGGATGTTTGGTACTCTTTTAATTTATAAACATTATAAAATGCCTATGACATGTTTGAGTGCCTATACCAAAATAAAGCAGATTAAATTTAATAAGTATAATGTCTAATACTTTGTATGGGCATCGTAATCCACAAGTAAATCAAATGAAATTAACACCTCACAATAATATTTTTTCAGCTGTCCAGATTCAACAGGCCTACGCTCACTCCATGAACGTTAACTTCCTTGCCGCTGGAGCCAATAATCCTAGAGTTGGAAGTGCTGGTGAATATTATATCCGTGTTATTACTCCCGTCATTTAATTTAAAATTTTGCTTTTCACAGACATATAAGAATTTTGACCTTTCTAATGACTGAAATGTAGTGTGTCACAAAATAAATTCGACCCTAATTACGTCACATTTACAACTTACATAAATATATGGCAATAATAAAATTGTATTTTTCAGGTTCGGGAATATATTCAGGGAAAGCTGGTGCTTTAGTCAGCATCATGCCTGGTCAGCCAACCACAAGACTATTGGTCGCTACTGTACCAAAGGTGCCAGGCGAGGTAATTATTAAGATAAACATAGTCGCGATAAGAATTACAACTAAAATTATTACCGGTTAATGCAGATAACTAAATACCTAAAAGACTTCTAATATAGATACGTAGAACTTAGTATTAATTGTACATACCTTTACTTGAAATATGGACAAGTGCAAAGAGTAGTGAAATGAATAAAATCATCTTCACTCTTAAAATAATCTTCAAACAAAGAATTCAAATCATTTTTGAAATCTCATCTTGGTTTCATCAATAATAAGCCCATCATTTTGGAGTCAGTGAACTGAGCGTCCTTTATTGGTATTTATTATGGTAATAATTACAGTACAAACATATTTTCAGGTAACCGGCAATATAGTAGGTCCAATCTACGATAGTCCATCTGTCCAGGATAATCTGACACTTATAACAGACCCTTCGCTACCCTCACATCAGACGAGACTACTGAGAAATGATGTCGAGGACTTTGTACTAGTTGATAGAGACGTGCTGTGTCACTTTCGTGTGCGAATGAGTGGGAGAGAAGGGAACACGGTAAGAGATTTTATTATACCGAGAACACTATTAAGAAAACGCATGTAAACAATAAAGATAGTTTTTGTGATGCTAGTAAATCACTAATACATTTGTTTACTTAAAAATAATAGACTAAATATCAAGAACAGAGGGAAAACTTTCCGGTTCAAATTTAAAAACTAACTTCTAACTTAATGTAAATGTATAATTTATTAATAATAATTGAATTTTTGCATATTATTATAATAATTTTATATGCTAGATAAAATAACGTATGTATGTATAATGTAATAACCACTAAATATATTTGTGTTTGTATGCTACATATATACATGTATTGTGTTGATATATTCTTAATTAATTAGTATAACTAAATTGATCTGGGATTCACCAAGAAGATTTTTCTTTGATTTTTTCACATTATTTATTAATTTGTATGCATGCCGCATGATATTAGCGTAAATTTATTCCAATATGTTTTGGTGCTTCAAATTATTAATTAATTTTGATGGTAAGTACAATCTCCGTATGCTAGATGTTTGTGAATGTAATCTAATATAGCATGCTTCTGTTTCATTTCGCTATCTTCATATCACTAAATATTTATAACCTTAAAGTCATCTGATGTCATCAGACTGACTAATAAATATTGATAAATAATACAATTTATTAACCACATGTTAACATAATAAACACTTAAAACTAGCGGTTATATCTGGAGAATAATATCTTCGGGTATTATTATTCACATATAAGTAAAATGTGTAATTAATATTAAAAAAGTGTCCATGTTTTAATGGTTAATATTATGAGTTTGATTTTTCTGACTGTTGAACTCCTTTTCATTATTATATCCGAAAAATGTCTGATATTAGGAATTTAAGATGATGTTTTAGTAAAAAAATAATGTCGTAATCTTAAACTTACATCATCTAAATGATTCTACTGGCTTCCGAGTTTAAATATGATGATATCTAGGTCGAAAATTAAAATAAATTTCGCATAAATACACACAATTAAATAATTTCAACAGCTCTTGGCAAAATTTGGCAAGGCTGTGGTTAATTTTGCATAATTAATCTGGTACCTTATTAATATCCAAATAAAAGATGTAGGACATGTAACAACATTAAAGATATTCTATTTTTCTAATAAACTATTTTTGTTTTCAATAGTTTATTATGTTTCAGGCACCATTTTACAGAGCATTTATTCAAGATGGACTCCATGTTTACGCAAAACGTAACGTAGGTGATGTCGGTTGCGTTATAGTTGCTTGCAAAACAGAAGATCCCAAAAGCTGTGTTTACAAGTAAGGAATTAAATTAGAAAAAACCTCAAGCTTTTTAAAAAAATTGACTCATATTTTTAATAATTCTTTTCCAGATTCGATGATAGCGAAGGTCAAACAAGTATAGAGGAATTAGAGATAAAAATGACGTCATACGGAAAACATTATAATTCCACATTGAAGTGCAATGATATCGTATACTTTCCAGAGTCGTTACAAAACAATAAATTTCCACTTCAACCGAAAAACATTACATACAATGTAGAAAATATTAATGAATTTGAAAGTACGAATGCTATAAACAGCGACCGAATGCGTATAACATATAAAATTAATACACCGCAGAATGATTTAATTTCCTTCGGTATCTGGGGAAGGATATATACTAGAGATGGTAAAGTTATTACCAAAAGTACAAAGGAAGACATTCGGAGATACATGCAAATCGAAAATGTCATTTACGACAGCGATAAAGGACGCGAACATTTAGCTTCCTCGTCATAAATAATTATTTAATAATTTAATTTATGAATTATAATTCATTTACAACAGGACAATAGCAAGACTGCTAACCTAGTGACAGTAACATAATTTAGGTGTCTTCAAGAAAAGAATAGGCGTAGATAGATCGCTCATCACCTATGAGTTCATTTCCACCTTCCCACGAGTGGAATGTCAGTCATTCACTATCCAGTCAAAAAAAAATAAATTAACTGCTTTATCTTAATAATCTCATTACCAAACTGTTTTAATTTCATTTCGAATTTAAATTTATTTATGTTTTAATCCTCTGAGAATGTAGTCCCAATGATCTCAAAAATGTTTTCTTAATCTTATATTCGGACATTATTTGACATTTTATAATTAAATGTATGTTACTTTTAACAAATAAATTTAATCGTATAGTTTTATTTTTTTAAACTCTTACAACTAGATTATTTCTAATTAACATTATAAAAATTACAAAATAAATATTTTAATATTAAATATAACATGTTAATTATAAATTACTCTTGAGAGGCTGTTATGAATATGTTTGCATATTTATGGTTTGCAACTTTGGCCATATTATGTATAAAGGATTTTATTCAATTTTATAACCTGTCCCATAAATTCCACCATACGTTCAGTATGATATCCATTTTTTTAAACAAACACAATACCTTATTAATATTTTTTTAGATATATCATATTAGATACGGAACCCATACTTAAAAAAAAGATTTAATCAAAGTAAAAGAAAAAGATATGAAGTATGTTAAGACTATGGCTCAAGCTTATACCTTTCTTTTACTACAATGCAAGATACAATTTCATTTAAAGATATAAATAATGCATATTTTACAGAAGTATAGATACAGAGCAAGTGCTTTTAGCGGAGTGAGGAGTTTCAGCGGTCTGGCCACAGGTGGAGCGAGAGTGTGCGCCATCTTTGCATGCACAGGAGATACTATTGATACTTGTGGAAAACGGTACGTAAACGTTTGAAAGTTTTACGTATTATATAAAGAATTTATTGCACTTCTATTTAACACATGTAATGTTACAGTTTTGACAGTTATTCGAGGAACACTACGGTAGTTTTTGAACAGCTTGAAATCACAGCAGCTGTTCCTCCGCCCATTCGAAATAGTGATCTTCAAGCATCAGATTCTAAGTATTACCCTATATCTATGACCACATCCATAATGCCTTTGAAGAATGAACAGTTTGCCTTTGATGAAGTATCACTTCTACTCGTCAATGTTTACTCTATGAGGTTGAGAGCAGCTACTGATGAATTATATGCTTTTGGAGTTTGGGGCAGACGGTTTGAAACCGATGGCCAAGATCCTTCTCCACCCAGAGAACATGATATTGAGGATCTAACTACTACTCCAGCCCCATCCACTACGCCTTCTCCAGGAAGCTCCAACAGCGTTCACAAATTTAGTGCGGTTTTGTTAATTATAAGCATTTTTCTTCTGTTAAAGCAATAAGCTTTGTTGAAAATTAAGTGTTATTAGAAATTGTAGTGGTTGTACATAACTGTTGTTAATTAATTCTACTTCATATTACTTTTACATTAATTTATACACATTGAAGAGGTGCCATAATGACTGCTAATAAGTAGGTTTGCAACAAATCTTACATAGGTCGAGTTCTAGACAGAACCCATTTTGTTATTTAGCGATAACCAGATATAATTGAGAGTTATTAATAAATGAGAATGTTGAAGATGCCTTTTTATTTGTTATTGAGTACACAAATATATTTGTAGTTTTAATTTAAAATGACGTAACTTTTTCGCGTTAAGAGGATACACATTCAGTGGTAAATTTTATTGGTCGGCTTTGCCTATAAATAAATGAAAATAATTAACAAATTAATATCAAAATAAATAAACCAAGCGAGTCGTGTAACTGAACAGTAAAGTAAAGAAGATGAAGGGAAAACAGATGAAGACCCTCTTTTATAACTTGGAAAAATGAGGGTTTCACACTACATCGACCCTTTTTGCTATGTTAAAAATGAAGTCATAAAAAAGACGATCTGTAACATTTATATGCAGAAAGAAAATGGTAGGATTAGAAATCCAAATAGATATATACTTAACTGTGCAATTGTAATTCAAAGTCTAAAAACAGGTAGTGGTTATGTTATTTAAAATGTAATTATTGAAATAACCAAACAAAGCCTTTTAATCTATATATTAAAGTTATTGATTCCTTCTCAAATTGAGAAGTAATCAATTACTATTAAATTATAATATTATTATTCGCAATTTTGTTACACCAAAGTGATGAGAAATATCTATCTTCGTTTTAGAAATTACTTAAATTAATTAAAATAAACTCGTAAGTACCTAATCCGAAAGGTACCTTACTTATTGTTAAATTAGCTTGTGGTTGTGATAAACTTAAAGAACTTTAAAAATTGTATAATTGAAGAAAAATATTATTAAAACAATAATAGATTTGTAAATATAATTTAGGTTTATTTTTATTGAATATTACGATTTTAGGGTAATCTGAAGTATAACGTAGTTATTAACTCTGTTACACCAATTTTACATTAGTGATTTCATGATTTGGATTATTCAGTTCACCTCTTATATTTGTCTTCATTAACTGAAAATTAAATTCATAAATTTTAAATTTGTTTTCAAATGCATTTTAGACTGATTAATATCTATAATATATATGTATGTCATTTATATATATAGATAAAGGATATCTGTAATTCTCTTTATACGTACAAATCTATAATATATTAATAATATATAAACGTATTTAAAATACATAAACGTAATTCTACCTCAACTTTTTCCGCATACTTTAGTTCAGTTTTTGTAAGGACGTATGCTAATTTTGTAAATGCAGCCTCGGTCGTCATATCAAAGGATGGCACAACTCCACATTCTATCAGCAACTGAATGGACGTATAATATATTTTTACCATTTCTGCTACACATTAATTCATTACAAGAGTTCATAAATATTGTATGTATTCATAATCTTACTCGTCCTGTTTCGTAAATAGCTTTTCCGATGACAGTTCCATTGATGCACTGAGTAACGTTCACGACCAATACTTCTCTGGCGACGGCTCTCTCAATCTCTTTATACACATCTCTCCTTTTTATGGGCATGTTTCCATTGCCGTACGTCTCCAATATTACGCCTTTATGAAATAGTTAAGTTAAGAAGTAATTGTTTTCCTTTAAAAAGGACCGAAATATTCTAAAATTTGTACTTATCAGAAATGAAAGGGTATACTTATCAAAGGGTATAAAATAATTTCTTTCCTTATTTGAAACCTACATACATATATTTGGATTTAAAATTGTTTGGTTTGGTATAATGTGATATATAGTGTTGGAAGAAAATCGTTTTTTTTATTGTATTCAAGGCTTTAAAAAGTATGCCAAAATAATCGATTTTAGAGTTTATCTCTTCTTACCTTCAAATTCCTCAAACACTGCTCTCATAATTTCAGGTGTGATATTGGGGGCAACCTTAAGTATATATACCTTTTTCGATAATTGATCATGTAATCTGCATTCATTTGGCAGTGCACCTAATGAATAAATCAACGTCTTTGGATCTACTTGAAGTGTAGTCTTAGCTTCTAATAGTGGCGGGAAGTTTGGTGAATCAAAAGCATACATTCGGGTGTTAGACACTTTTTTGACTCTAGAAAAATGAAACATTAAATAAGAATAATTTAGTGGACTTCCCATCAGAGATTGGACTTCAGACGACGTTAATTGACGTTATTCAATCATTTTCATTCAATATATATTTTAGAGATTAAAAAAATTAATTATCTGAGTATACCTTGTCCCTCTGAAGAGTTTGGCTCCAAAGAATACTGTAACTTCAGGAATATATAGAGTGGCAGCAATAAGAATAGAACACAAAAGATTGTTAGTGCCGTCGCTGTGCGGTTGAAATATAGGAACCTATGAAAATTTACGATAATAATTAATCACCGTAGATTTTAAATAAACCTATGACCTGTTATTTACATTCTTATATCATAACAGGTGTATTGTTTTTTATACACATGACAACAGTCTATGTAATGGTAAGTTATGTCTACAAATAATCTAGCAGCAGTAATTAATTTGGAAAGAATTATAGTCCTATATGGAAGTTTGTTTGAAGATTTTATAATTTCTTCACATCTGCTTTAGGCAGTAAACTTACCTGTGCACCTGTGAGCACTACAGTCTTGCCCACACATTCCAACATATATGATAAGGCTGAAGCTCCGTAGGCCATGGTGTCCGTCCCATGGAGAACCACAAAACCATCATAGTTGTTATAAAATCGCTAAAATAGTTGATGAAGTGATAGTCAATGAAGTTTACATAATACACTAATAGAACTGGACTAAAACACACAAAAATTTTATGTGTGTTTACAAAATTATTACTAAGAATCTTACTCAAGATATTTTGATCAAATTATTTATATTGGTCACTCTTTAAAAATTATTGATTGTATGTACCGAACGTAAAAATATTTATGTTACGTACGCTGTTATAGTTGGTATATTATAAAAATAATTAATAGTACAATGCACAAGTATTGTTCTAAATCAAAATTCATTATGTTTTGTTAGGTTTCATTTAAACGGTCCTTTTACTTATTCTCGAAATGGTTGCAACCACTTTTTTATGCTTCTAACAGTCAATCTATATCTATCTATCTCTAAATTCTATATACATATATAAAAATGAATTGCTGTTCGTTAGTCTCACTAAAACTCAAGAACGGCTGAATGTATTTATCTTTTCTTAGTCATAAAATCTTTCTGGAGGTTCAGGAAAGGTTTAAAAGCTGAAAAAAATTGAATCATTTCCGGGAAACCCCTAAAAACAGCCCTTTTCTACTTCCTATACAAATGTTTTTTTAACATTAGTTTTGAGTTTTGACAACTAACTAATATGTCAATCATTCTGTTCGACTGAAACAGGAAAAATTTAATAAATACCAATACCTGGTTATTTAAGACGGAATAGAGTTCGCCCGGTCAGCTATACATATGTTACTAATGACGAAATTAACGCGGACGAAGTCGCGGGCAAAAACTAGGACTTAATAAAAATAGTATCATCATAAAGTCCAATATAATTTGCTATACACTTAGTTATGCATACCTTTATATCACGTGCCATTTTAATCCAGTCATCAATCGTAAAGTCAGATGAGTCCTTCAAGTCATCATATTCGTAAATTTTATAAAGGATTTTTGTGTTTATGACGTGGCCATCTACGAAATAAAATTGTAGACAACCATTTAAACCAGTGTTGACACAATGGTAAAATACCAAAATTATAATGGCAAGCTGTTGATATTTCAAAAAAACCTGGTAATGAGGACCCGTGGTAATTTTCGTAAAAATGTCCTTCCTTTGCTTAATTTCACCATCAACAGATCTTAACCAAATTAATAATTAAGTAATTGATTGTATGCATAAAATGTTAAAGGTAAATTAAATAATAAAGAATGCATTCGCAAAAATGTAGATGAAAAATTTTAGCACATACATATAAATATGAAAAATATGAGAAACTATTCTACTTAACATTTTAAAGCTTAAGCTTTATTATTTAAATAAAGAAAACTAATCCTAAGAAAACTAACTAACATGAATTGCATTGTTAATAAAGTTATCACTTATCAAATTCAATGTTCTATAATAAATGACTGCTAGAATGCTAGTGTATATTGTTTAAATCAGTTCTTAGTTATTGATTGTATATATAAATGTATATGAAAAAAGTTTTCATTTCAATATATTTCTTTATATACAGACACAAGTGACACTTTATGATGTAAAAGTCATTATTCTGTATCAAATTGAATATTATTAGTTTTAAATACTTCTTATCAGTCTTATTAGATAACAATGGCCCATGATTGAGAATTGTATCACTTTAAATATTTAATTTATCATATCTCTTAAACTTTATATAAAACAATCGGACGACCTCTTTAACGAACGTTTTGATCATCTGATTGAATCTTCTAAAATTTGATATCATAATTACATCTAAAATACATTAAGTATTCAGTTAAACAAGATCATCATTGGAAACAAATTAGTCTGGAGTTAGACAATTCATCCAGTTGACGACCTTAAATAGCGCATTAGAGATGTTGTCCCAAAAATAGAAAAAAGTTTCGAATCCGTACTTCAAACACATTTAGTTATATATAATTCATTGGTACAGAAAACATACTCTGTCCATAAGGTAAGCATATCTTACAAGTTAAGTTTGTTTCATAAAATTTATAAGCGACTTACTCGGTAAAACCAGATATTCCTGGTTTTCTCTATTTGCCAAATGTTGTGTCCAATAATCATTGTCATGAAGTTGTGGCAACTTTCTTATTGCTCTTGTTTCCAAGTTTTTCTGAGGAGTAAGTTCTGAAATTTATATAACAAGATTCCATGATGTTCCCTTTTAGAATCGTTAAATTTACAATAACTTGTACAGGCAGATTTAAATGTAATGTCTTTTTCGAATATAGGAAATATTGTTAACATAGACGTAAGATAAGTCATAGTTTTGGTTTAATATATTTATATGTCGTTACATAATAAATAAATTTATATTTACCATAATAAACACTTCATCACAACAGAAACACGAAGATTACAGAGTGTGTTTTCAATAATTAATTTATATTGCGTCATAAATACATTAATATTATTTATAACATGTGAAAGATAATAATAAACTCACCACCACGTTCATTTTTTAACATTCCTAAAGTACCACCTGTGTATATGACTAGAACAGTTCTCATTTCTGCCATTGTAAATGTATTGTATAAAACGAACTATTCCTCTCGGAGTAACCACGTTTATGATTTGAATCGAGAGGAGCTCTGACAGATAACAGAGTGCAAATATGTTATTATGGAATACAAGGGATAAGAGATGTGAAGGCATACTGTGAAGTAACGTTCCGTAAATATTTACGATCCATGAACATAAAATAAATAAACATATAATGAAATTTTTTCTTATAATGGGGGCTAGTTAACAACGTTTGTCACTGGTGCTTTCAAAGTGGTACGCACCACGAACTATTTCCTAATATTTATTAATAATAATAATTAATTGTTTATTCAAAAGTCGACACTATTTGATTTTCAACGAATCACATCCTATCAACTTAGCTGGCATATTTAAATATATATATGCACTTTATTGATAAACTTTCCTAGAAGTAGATATACGTGTGTATGTTTGCATGTATGTACATATGTATGTAAGTGTGTGTGTAACTAATAAACAAGAGACATTGTATTAACTTATCTTACAGCAACAATAAATTACATCCTAAACACGATTTCCTCCATGTTCTTGTGATATTATTTACTTGAAAATTTAATTATTTTTATATAATAATAATTATTATTTGAGTTTTATTTTCAAAATTGTATTTGTTTTATAATAATAGATGGATATTTCGCTCGTGCTCTGACCACTTTCCACGAAACCAAATTTCATGAATGTTACTCGTTATACCCTTTAGATAATATTTTATTTATTTAATTTTCTTATTATAAAACGAGAGTTAGGTTTTCGTGTGATCCTATTCATGTTACATGTCATCGTCAAAAAATGGTTCACTAAAACTTATAAGAGAGACAATAAAATTCGTTGATATATGTAAGTGTAAAAGTATAGGTACATGTAAACATAATATGTTAATATATTTTTTTACCCAAACAACTTTGTTTCAAAATTTAATGTCACCCATCTGTCTAATACTACTACTCAAGTATTTTTTTAATCATGCCACTTTTTGTGGTAAAATTTTCATTTATACTTTCATTCTGCATTATTCAATGTTTTTGTTAGAAACTTATTAGAAGTTTATTAGAAACATTTTTTATAACATATATATGACGTGAATTATGAAAGTTATAAGTTTTTTCTGCTTCTATAACAGATTATCAGATAAAAAACTATAACGAGTAGCTGATATGAGTCCGCTGATCGATCCGGCCGCAAATGGTTACTGAAAATTACTTCATCAGTGCGGTTAGACGTTTTTCATACGTTACGCTATTTTCACATTACACGATTTCGCTCGTGCGGGAAAAAATCGCCCGGGCAATTTTTCTTGATCGACTATTGAAGAGTACGAGACCTTTCACATTGCACGATTTGAACACGGGCACGTTTTGTACTCGTGTTGCAGCCGTCCAGTGCTACTAGAACCGCACGGCTACCGTATCGTCCTCTAGCCTAGTGGCCTACGTGACCAAATGCACGCTTTCACACTAGACGGTCTTTAGTCGTACGGGAATTGTCCCCAGTATTGTTTCTACCTAATTGTCAATATTGTTTCTGAAGAACACTCTTCAGTCTCCCATGTAACTCATCAAAGGAGCGAACTGACATACGAAAGTAGTTGAAAAACTTTTGGTCATCGTTTCTAAGATCTTCAAATAATGTGTGGAACATCCCGACTTCCTCTCGTCTCTGATTAATTGGGTGAATCCAGTGAAGGCGATTGCGCCTTTGTCTTTTCCGACGCCGATACAGTATCCATAACGCAATAACTTGTTCGCGATCCATAGTTTTCATCCAGCCCAGACCAAATGTTCCAATGAACTGACAAAAATGTACGATTTTTATCGTTCAATGTGAAAGTAGCAAAACCTCGATTAAAAATCGGGCAATTTTTTCCCGCACGAGCGAAATCGTGTAATGTGAAAATAGCGTTAGACGTTCGTTATACGTGTTAAAAGAAGGTTTCATTACATTTTATCTCGCTAGTAAAGACCAAACTTAATGTTTGAGAACATAGTTGAATTTTATTTTTTATAATCGTATCATTTCACTAGAGCTTTAGAGTAAATAAAACAGTATAAAATTAAAGTTTTAGATTGAAAGGAAGTAAGATTTGCTTTAGACTGTCCAAAGCATTATTTGCTAGTAAATGCTGTAGACTAGGGTTGATAATGTTTTGTAACCAAAAAATTATAGCAGAATAAATCCTGTTTAATGAGAAAAATATGTGACAAAATGCAAAAAAAAATAATTGTTCACAATCTGAGGTTCGAGAGCAGGTGGGGTAAAATATTAAGAACGAAATAGTTTTATCATAATTTTCGGCACAAGACCGAGAGACAAAAATAAATAAAAAATAGGCAAAATAATGATCTGCGACTGTTGCTTGTATGTACAATTATTTCATACTACCTCAAAATTGATGAATAATTTTTGAAATTATTTTTATCCTACTAAAGTTTATATTCACTTTTAAACTTTAGTTCCTTCTTTCTTCTCTTGTCTAAAAACAGTTTCATAACATGTTATTGATATGATTATTAATTTAAAATTTTCTAAAAATATAACACATATACAGTGCCTAATGATTTAATAAAAGCAAATACGTCTTTGAGCTAAATACTTACGTTTCTCATTATCAGGGATAAAATAATAAAATTATATCATATTTTCTGTATTATATGGAGATCGTGAAAAATTATCACTGTGTAAATTATGTTTTCAGCGAATTTAGACAAATAAACAGACTGGTTGTCTGTAATCTCGGCACACATGCGACAAAATTCATACGGTAAAAGTAAAAAAAATGTTTTATTACATCTTTATCTTATGTTTAAATGTATAAGGTAAGGTTATACATTAAAATTGTAACTTTATAGTATAATATATACAAAAAATAGAACTTAATAAGAACACTTTTTTACTTTAAATTAAATACAGTAGAAGATACACATGTTATGTCTAATATTCAATAATCCTTTTTAAAATCTTTATTTTAGAAATAAAAATATACGCAACGTAACTTTATGGTGCACTATAATTTTTTAAATATCTACTTATTATTACTTCAGTTTTGAGAAAAAATATATGTTGATGTAGTCGTCTCGAAAAAAAAATGTAATACGCAAGTTTAAATTGTAATTATCAAATCATATATATTTTTTACATTAGTTAGGATATTCTCATTTCAAAACTCCAGTTGCGGGATGTTGTTTTGTTATACTTTCAAATTTAGCTATCTGGAAGAAGGATTTAAAACAAAATAAATCAGATTAGAAAACCGTTTTATTTCTGTGATCACTATTTTTTTATTTGTAAAAATATTTTTCCCATTTTTGATTGAAGAGAGAGATTTTTTATTATAAGAATAAAAAAAACAATTAATTTAATGAAAATAACTAAATAAAATATAAATATTTCTTATAAGGGCAGAAAATCCTTATATAAATTTCTGTGACAAATTTATAAGATATCTTTGCCCTTGTAACTGATTCAATCAGGGTTGAGTTCCCTTTTTTTAGTGGATCATTAAGGGCACTGACCAATTTTCTCAATCAATATAAGTATATGTTCTATCAGACTACACTGGCCTTCTATATCAAACTGAAATGATTTTTTTACATTTGATTTATGTCAAGGACATAGTTCTCATAACTTAAAACAATGGACAAATAACAAGTATTTTTTATATATTTATTTTGTATAAATAAATCCAACGAACGAGTATCCTCAGCCATAATAACGCTGTCTTCCATAAAGCTAGTGATATGAAACCTTTATTATATCTAGTGTCCCTTTCCACCCCGCCGTTATCTGACAAGACTAACTCCAATATGGAAGTTCTACACGCGGGACATCTATTAACCCAAGATGACCAAGTATTGATCCTCTATCGATATTTCCCCACGGCTATCTACTTTCCCAGACAGCCTATATTGTGTTGCATCAATGTACACGTTCTTGATCCTGTAGGACTGTATGTTTGTGGGAACCTGGCCTTAAAGAGTCATCTCGTGTCGTCAATTCAGAAACAGATTTATGCTTATGTGCACGCCTCTCTCTTCGACTGTAAGAGTTTCTGGTGAAAATACAAGTTTTAGTCATTATCAAATAAAAGAGTTTTCCATTAAAATATGAATGAGCATAAATTATTATTGTACATAGTTCTGTAATTTATAATCCAAATTATAACGCTTTCAAAAGTGTCAAACATTCGCTAAGACATGTAAAACATTTACGTTATTATGACTAGAGTAGATAGAACTATTTACTACTAGGATTTCTTTGCTAACAAGATTAGCTTACAATTTTGGTCAAGTTACTCCATTGAGTTAAAGATAACGAAACAAACGCACACACATATACATACTTAGTTCACGAAGTATTTTGACAATTCTTCATTTTCATGATATTAAATTAATAAAACACAATTTAAAAACGATACATACATTATACGTTACGTGAACAATCACTATATTAGTTATAAAACTTGGAATGTTTTATGGCTGTAAATATTTTTAATATTACTTACTTTTTAACGTTGAGATAAGTGAGACCCACAGTTAGAGCCAGCGGCACCAACGCCAACTTCAGTATATCCATACTTAATTCGCAGTATATATGAAACGCGGAAGAAATATGATTTATAATATCAGTTAAAAGTTAAAGCCGAAATGAATGAATGCAGTAATGTTATACAATTTATCCTAACAAAAATAATAGCCTCTATGAGAGTTATGAATTATTAAGAGTAATTTTTATCCCGAGTTATAAAAATGCAATAGAAAAAGCAGACGTAATGATACTGAGACGTTCTGCTCTGTCAAGATATAACAGCGTACTGTTTGGTGATTACATATTAATATTATATGATTCTTATTTACAGGTAATTAAGTTTGACAATCCCCTGACACTCGGCTTATCAATCTGCAATGATATCGATAATACTGCGGTAAGATTTTATCTTATACATATTTTTTGTGAATTAAATTTCGATACGTTTTTGATAAGTGATTGAATTAAAATGAACAAACATTTTGGGATATCAAATTAAATATAATAGCTCAAGGTTTTGTTACCTAGAATTGCACAATGATTATTGCAATTTAGATCATAAAAATAAAACGGTTTTACTTAAGATAAGATTAGTATAAATACTAAAGTAATGTAAATATATAATTTAATATGATGACACGAAAAGTTGACTGTCTGTGTTAGGTCTTGTAATTAATACTAAATAGATATTTATTATATTTATTTCGGCTGATTAGTATCAAAGTGATGATAGAAAAAGATATATAGAGTTGCAACATATATCCATAAAAACTAAAATTAGAGTACCTGTTTTTTAATAATATACTAACGGCCTTATATCAAATGTTAATATCTAAAATAGCTGGACCAATTGTGACAGAATATCTACTGACAAATAGCCGATGTTATAAAGAATAACTAAGACCGCTTTTATTTCATTTATATTTATTAAAATAAATAATAAAACAATAACTATTCCACGAGGAAGCTATCAGAGCCATAACTAGTTCATAAATAAATATACCAATAAGTCACATAGGAGACCAGTGCGTAATTGATTTTATTAATGGAGTTTTTATACTTAGAATTCCTTATATAATATGCATTGATATTATAATTACAGAAAAGAAATAACACGATGTAAAAGGTTTTATATATTTTTTTATGTAAACAACAAATGGAAGTAGTTTTACTCTATAGATAGATACAAACGTTGCAGAGAAGTTTATTTAATACAGTAAGTAATAAGACGCAATTTCTGAAATATAAATATATTAATTCTAGTTTTAGCTAGCTTCATCACTCTGTTATGCCAAGCAAAACTATCAGAAAATCCTAGATAAGTTCTCAAAGTCTGTCTGAACCTATTTAATTATAATCTTAATAAGAACAGTGGGAATTGTAGGATTAATACGATATCACAATAAATTATCGCATGGTCTCTAGTGACCTCACGATCCGCCCACAGCTATTCTCGGTTATGCAATTCCTACGTGATTGCAAGTAATTGTAATTTGCTAGGAATAAAAAAAGAACTATTTTAATCAAAAGATCTTGGTAACCATGGCTGTTAAGTAGCTTAATGTATAGTGCTTCAGTTATTATGTATGTAAAAAAACCAAAACCTTTTTCATATGTATACACAATCGAATAAATCATGTAGAAAAATTTATAACACATGTACGTTAGGTTACGAACTGCGTATCGTATTTAAATTTATGATAATCTAATCTTCTATATATATAAAAATGGATTGCTGTTCCTTAGTCTCGCTAAAACTCGAGAACAGCTGAACGGATTTATCTTATCTTAGTCTTGAAATGTTCATGGAGGTTCAGAGAAGGTTTAAAAGGTGAGAAAAATTGATTAATTTCCGGGAAAACCCTAAAAACAGCCCTTTTCTATTTCCCATACAAATGCTTTCTTTGACATTAGATTTGACAACTAACTAATATGTCAATCATTCTGTTCGATTGAAACAGGAAAAACCTGATTATTTATGGCCTCTAGGACGGAATAAAGTTCACCCGGTCAGCTATACATATATTACTAATCATGAAATTAACGCGGACGAAGTCGCGGGCAAAAACTAGTTACAAAATAAAAATCTAAATTGTTTTCTTTTAATTTTATAAAATTATAAATAAATAGAGCGACTCGTGTTATATGCACGTAATTAAATGCTTAGCACGATAATATTAAATGTTTAAGATTGAGTCGATATGACCCAGCTATATGTATTTATACGAATATTCGACTATTACATGATGAAAGTCAAAAATACAATGAAATAAAGAGCAAACGAAACTGTACCAAAATACATATATTGAAGAAAGTCGAACATATTTTACTTCCTACTATTGAAAAAAATAAATATTAAATTTAAAGAGAAATAAACAGTTATAAATGAAATGAGAAACAAACTACTAAACCTGTAAATAAGCCGCAGTATATTAATGAAAAAAATCTTATAAAAGATATTGTTCGGTTCCGTTTCAGTCAAATAGACAACATTTTACTAATTAATTAAAATATGTGTTTGTTATTAAATACTGCAAATCATTTTTGGTGTAGGTATATAGAGTGTTTGAACTATACAAAAGATCTATTTATGCTCTCAGTGGACGAGACGTTTCTTAGAATTTATTGCATTTTATATTTCAGGAGAGAGTTAAGGGAACATAGTGGACAGTTATTGATTATGGAGATTACACCACAAAGATACTATAGTTCGAACAATTTAGCCATATCCCTATTTGTCACAGTTTCAAAAGGTCTTTGTGTGCTTTTGATTAAACGAAAATTTCTATTACACGCAGTTAAGTATAATTTTTAATGAAGTCAATAATTATAGCCATTCTAATTCAGTTTCCGAATAAATCATTTGATTATATTATATTTATCCAGACTTGAAGGAAAGTAATAATAGTTCTATGAAATTATTTCGCAATTTTTATATCATAAATCGGAAATGTGGAACAATAATTTAAATTTTAGTGATAATTTTAAGCACTGTTTTTTTTTTTATTTAAATTATATTTAAGGTACATACCGCTTTTAAATTATAATGCATTTCATTTTCCATTATTCCAATATTGAACTATAAACATTTGCAACGCGTCATAGTATCATGAACAGTATTAGGTTGAAAAATTAATATGTAATATATCTAAAAATGTATATATATACTACCTTTAATTGTCTCGGTCATTGGCAATATTTTTTCATATAAAATGTTAGCGACAACACTGTCTAGATTAATATATAATGTGTTTAATAATTGCGTTGATTGAATATACCAACTGGTGGACCATAGATCTTATTTGACGTAGATCGATAGCATATATCGTCGATGTCAGCTTTATCAATTCACATCTCGAAGGCTACGATCGCCCACAAAGGAGTTTTCTTTATGAAACCCAATTTTTTTCTATTAAATATTACTTCATAATGGAAAAATATAGTAACTATGTCAATTTCGAAACAACTATTCACGTAGAATAATAGTAAATCATGAAAATTTCTCAATATCAGGCTGGGATAATTCCTTTCTAAATTATTTCTTGATTTTACGAAACATAAATATTATTTATATTTACGTTGTTACGTTAAAGGGAAAATACATTAAATATAGTTGTGAAAGAATTAATACTCTAGTCATAAATTTTCATGAATCATATTAAGTTTTGTTCAAAGTAAAGAAGATAAGAATTTTGTGACACTTTAAACTTGAACAGGGATCAGTATTTTTGTTGTTTTTGTCTTTTTTTTAAAGTCGTTAAGAGAAAACTACACGATTAATTAAATTATAACTACAGATTTATTTTGAAATGGAATTACATATATATTGGCAAACAGTCTCGCAAAATTTTCAGCGGATTTAATAATTGCACAATAGGTATTTTATGAAAAGTAAAATTCATGAAAAGTTATGTATTGCATTGTTTACATGTATAAAATAAATAATGTATCTACGAGTATAGAGTGCTAATATAGTGCTATATAATATAGTGCTTTCTTAGGGAATAGAAAAAATATAAATGAAAAATTCTTTTTTTTTAAATATAAAAATTATTAGATAATAGGTTAAGCATATTCAAAACTCATGACATATGTACATATATACATATATCCATTGTTTTTTACGAAAGCGGAGTAAATAAAATTCGCAATACAAGTGAAGCAGGCTAAGATGTTTTTATATTAGATTACATTGGTAAATTTACATGGAATTATTCCAACTCGGTAGGCAAGTAGGGCCAATAATGTTACAGCAGATAAAAATGTAAAAGTGCGTCAACAGGGGCCCTTATATGAAAAGTAGAATTACTCTGAAAGCGGAAAGGATTATTTTATCAAGCAGATATAATGAAATTATAACGGAAATTTATCTGTTAACAGAACAAGATTGTTTCGTAAAAGGTAAAAACTTATTTAAACGGTAAATATTCGAATAAAACCACTTTGTTCGTAAGTGAGGCAAGTCGAAAATAAAAGTGGATTAAATGATGTGTGCATTTACGGACAAAAATTAAATTAATTCGATATCTTTGAAAGTAACGCGTTATTCACTCTGCTTCCGTTCGCAATTCTGTTAAAAATATAATGGTTTTGAAAAAGAGAAATTGTTTTCAAGTACCGTGTAAAGGTAGACTTTTTAGGATTAAAGTGAGTTTTTCTTTAGTAAAGAGTGACTAAAATAACAGTATATTATTTAAAATTATATGGCAAGGTGTGACTCTACAGAATATAGTTACTAAACTTATTTAGTTCATAAGGTATCGCAGTAATTTTCAATGACATAACTATCAAACAATTTCTGTTACAAACTTTAGTGCAATTTCATGTATTTACCTACCCATTCACAGTATGAGAATGTAAACGTAACAAAAGTTTTTTACACACTCTAAACTGAAGAGGAACTAAAATAGGAACTTCAAATTAATAAGCAAAAATATATTTTTACATTTATAACAACAGATAACACTGTTTTTATTTGCATTATTATTCTCACAACAATAATGATTGGTTAAATATTATAATCAGTGTAACCTAAATATATACAATAAAAAAAAATTGCAACCTAATCTATATCTTTAATCCATATCAAGGCTAGACATTGTTCTCTTTACGGTCTATTAAGAACGGTACCTAATTTTGTCAATTGAGGAAGTAATTAAATATGGCATTGACCTAGTCACAGTTCAAAGAATATTCAATCGCGGAGATGAATCACATCGGTCAGGATAAAATCGTATACTAGCAGTATTATTTACTAGTTTTGGCCCCCGACTTTGTCCGCGATAATTTCGGAATCAGTAATATACATATGTATATCTAATCGGGTGAACTCTATTCCGCCCTAGAGGCCATAACCAAATATTGGAATTTATTAAGTTATTTTTCTTTTACGATCGAACAGAATTAAATATCCTATGTCCGTCTCCTGGTACTAAGCTGTGTCCTTACCAATTTCTAATCATATCCCAACAACCGTTCTTGAGTTATAAATAGTGTAACAAACACAACTTTCTTTTAGATATATGTACATATATGTTAAATATTATTTGAATCTTTTATTATTTTCCTTGAGAAAAATCCTTCCAGTTGCAATTATAATTAAACGAAGCAGTTCAATACTAATAATAATATATAAAAAATACTATTTTCATGAAGGAATGAATACAAAGTTTTTTAAGACTGAATGTTGCTCTGTTTTTCTTTTAATTGAATGTTTAACAATGTTAACTTTACTGCAGCGTTAATTATAAAAATGTACTCAAAACGTGACCTATCTCGCCATCTTGTTATTAAACTGAAAAAGTTCGTTTTACTTCACGCAAAGCGACTTTATCGGTAATGGATTTTCAATACAAAGTGCAATTTATAGACAAGCAGCATTTTGTTAAAAAGATAGACTTTAAGGTACCTTCTTCAAATTGATATAAAATATATAATTAGTTAGAATTTTCTTTCACTATTAACTGAATAAATTATTTTCTAAAATATTTCGGCGAGTTTATGTTTTAAAATTCTCTAAATAACTTTAACTCAGAACTTATTGAGTTATATCTTATTTACTATTTGTAAAATTGTCTCTGTTAATCTATTTTGCCGGACCATTTAATTCGGAACCATAAATTATGGCATTTTTTCCTTTCCTTAAAGAAATCTAATTATTATAACTCTTGAAAATTTTATAAGAAATGGGTTCACCATTTTACTCTGGTATTAGCATTGGCAATATATGAAAATAATGGTTGCATACCTATTAATCGATACAAACATACATATTTTAAACATTTGAGGATATTTAAATTTTAAAAGAATTCTAGATATCACATAAGGCTTTTTTTGATTCCCAAGAAAATCGCCCGCAAATAAAGTTTTATTTTTTATTCTGAGTTTCTTATCCACCGACACAACGAGTTTGATCTAAATACAAAATAAAATAAACTTTGTTAAGTATAAAATGCGGAGGAAAAATATCAAAGGAAAACTTTAATTGCCTTCTAAATTCTTTATCAAACTTACATATACAACAAAATTTAATTAATCAAGCCTTATTATAACTTAGAATTATATACTCGTAAAGGTAAAAAAAGTTACTACAAAATTGTCAAAATGATTAAGTTCATGATTTTAATCTTTTGGTTCTTAATTCATACTTCAATAATGAGAAGGCTAATCGCAAGGAGTTCCATTCATCCATTATAGTTAGGTATGTACTTTTAAATAAGGATTGGTTTTAAAGTTTTCAATTAATTATTAATAATCTTCTAACTTAGCTTTTCAACGAGATTGGTTTTCTTACTCTGTTGGTTTACTATCAGACAACCTTCAATGATATTTATTCCTTAAGATTATACTCTCAAGGTTATTCTTAGTTTGTTTCTGGAAGCATGGTAGCTATCCAATTTTATAATAAAATATATATATATCTACCCAAGCCGTATTCGGCTATAGTGACTTAGCTTTGTTTTATAGATTACATAGGTATTTAAGAGCTGCGATGCGACCTCACATGACTAAAGTACCCAATCTATATATATGTGCAGGCCTTTTATATATTTTACTTCGTTGTAATACATTGTATGTATTAAAAGGCTAGAAACATGTTTATTAATAAAATAATAATTAATTAACTGATCGTTGCCAGTGAAGTAACAAGAGTTACGAAACATATTCTAATTGTGATTTAAGTGATTGATACAATATGTATTTGTAATACGCCAAATGTTGTTGACTTTGATGGACTAGTTTTGTCACTGTCAATTCAATTGAGTGACATTTGCGAAATAGTATGTGTCAAATTGACACCATTAAAAGACAAGCAACAATGACTTCAATATAATATCTAATACTTTATTTATGAAGAACATTTATTTAATATTTTCATTTAGGAAAATAAAAGAAGAATTATTATTTAAGTTACGTATGTTACAGACTTTACGTGTGTTTACATTTTCCTGTCATAATAATAGATATGATGTTTTTCGCATACATAAATTGGATTACCATTTACATTTTTCCTTTCTTTTATACAAATCTAATCACAAGCATCATATTCAACACACGTACCAAAGAAATATTAGAAATAAAATTTATTTCCAAGCAACTTTATTCCAAGATTGTATAAAGTACATTTAAAATTTTCAGTACATAATTAAAAAATATATACATATCTTTTTATTTACTCTCAATGTAAATGTTTAGTTATTGAAAATCTATATTATATAAATAATTTAGTCATAGCTCGGTGACGTATTTATTTAAAGGGCAGAAAGGATTGTAGTGTAAGAGGTTTTTCAATAAAACGAATAATATCTGTTCACACATATTATAATTGCTATAATTAAATACATTTGTAAAATAAATTAATATCATAAGAATAAAACAAAAACACCAACATTTGTGCATTATATTCAGAAAAATATTAATGGTAGATTGACACACTGCAAACGACTGAGCATCGAAATATTAAAATCACACCACACCTAAGATTATAAAACGAAACATTTGTTCTTGATATATTATTGGTACAATATTATTATTGGTACAATTGTACCAAACAACATTCTAACACAACTATACTTATTAATGATCTATAAACACGTCTTGAATGTGATTGTATTATAATTTTAAAGAAGGTATAGTTAATGTGTCTACAAGAAGGCAGTGCTTTAGAACACTCTGTTTACTTTTTTAGATAAAGTACAAAATCTATCGCTACAAGTCTACATCCACAAAGGTTATATATATAAGACATTTCTTTTAATTTATGATATTAAAAACTAAATGATATATCGGTTCTCCTATTACTTTTACATTTTATTTAAAAATGCATTACAGATATGAATAAAAAAAATATATTTAATATATTGTTCTGTGTCAAAAAGAACTTAAATTAAATCTACGAAATAATATATAACATCTTGAAGGTAACTGCATTTATGCATCGAATACGTATAATATGAAATAAAATATGGCACGTTATACATATATATAGCGCAAATTTAGTTTAGAACGCCGCTACCTCCTTCTTCTTGCTGGTAGCTGCGGCCAAATTGGGCTCTTCTGTAAAACGAAATTACTTAAACTATCCACATAAAAATCTATGTTGAAATTCCTATTATTCAAAGATTTTCAAACCTAAATATTTCTTGGATATATTTGGTTATATTTACTCACCGTTTCCTCCCGGGTGGAGTCTCTTCAGCACTTGATTGATGTCAAGACCAGTTAGAGATCTCACTGCAGGTGGTATACCACCAGCGAGACGAGCCACTTCACCTGTAGCGCCGTTGTCACCCACTAACACTATCTCGTCTGTCTTAGACAATGGAGCGGATACTTCTGCTGCGATCTAAAATAATAATTACATATAAAAATACGAGACGATATAAAGATTTCGCAAAAGAAATACTGAAACAGTCATGTTTATAAAGGAATCGGTAAGCAGAAACCCTCTACATGCAAATTAAGAAATGATTCCTTGAAATGTACGACTTTAATGTTACATACATAGACATCGACATCCAGTCTTATTTATTTTAAATGTGCTTTCAATTTAAATTCGCTTTGCAAATAACTGAAAGTCTTGTACTGTAACATGAAACAAAGCACGTAATCTGATAAAGAATTGTCTTTCAAGGAAATATTTTATTTGTATCACTAACCTTAGGCAAAGCTTCAAGAACAAGCGCCATAATCGCTGCATCGCCGTACTGCTTATAAACTTTGGCCTTCGCCAACATCCGCTCGGCGTCAGCTTTCCCTACGTCCCCTATAGCCGTAGCTTCAGCCAAACCTAGCACTTTAATGCGTTCAGCGTCTGCTTTGGCCGCTTCCACTGTTTGCGTACTGAAATAAATTAAATTAAGGATATAAACGAGGTCAAATTTGGTTATTTTAGTAGTTCTTATTAATCTTCTTTGTTGCCTACCGTTTTCCTTCAGCGATGGTTTGTAGACGGTACGCCTCAGCTTCCGCGGGCAGACGGATCGTCGCTGCCAATTCTTCTTCACGTCTCAAGATCTCTTGTTGTTCGACCTGGTATGCGAGAATTTTTTATCTATACAAATCATTTAAATAGACCCTTTATTATTTTTTCGTCATTGTTTACTCTTTACCAAACAAAGAGCACGGTTTTTTTCTTACAAAATTCTCGTTTACCTTTTACAGCTCAGAAAGTATAAGGTCCTAACAATACTATTATCAGTAGAAAACAAACAACAGCAAAAGATAAAATGTCATAGTAATAACAAAACAAAGACCCTTAATAAAGTACGAAACTTAAAATCTTATTTCTCAAAGCACTAACCTCAATTTGCTTGCGACGCTCCACAACTTCTATTTGAATTTCTTCGTTTCGAATTCTCTGTTTTATTTTAGCTGCTTGTAACTCGTAAGCTAAAGCAGCTTCGGCTTTCTGTAAGTTAAAAAAATATTGATCGATCTCTTATCAAATTCATTTAATATTCATATGAACCTTAGATAGTTCTATTACTCACAGCAGTGTTAATCTCTTGGTCAAACTGTGCTTTTTGTAGTTTGAAAAGTCTGGTGTTGTCTTCTATTTTCGTGTCCATAGAATATTTTACATCCATTGCACTTTTCTCGCACTCTGCTTCCTAAAATAATGATCAGGACATTTCTTTAATATTACCGTATATTTTCGCTTCCATAGTATTGTTTAACGATTATTGTATAAGTGGTTTTAAGCATGGACTGTAATCGAATAAACTTTATAAAATATCATAAAGGATCAAAAAATAAAAGAAAACAGAGGAAAGTATGAAGTGATCAAAATATTTAGATTTACTGCGATATTATATTACAACTTTTAAATAGTAATTTCTCCCGTACAAATATAAAATCTATTTTTCTATTAGAAAAAAAAACAGAATATTCATTTGTAAAAGGTATCTAAAATTTTCTAAAACCTTTATCATCGTTAAAGCCTTTATAAATTTGTGTGTTTGTAACAATCTTTTGCTGTGAAACAAGTGGAAAAATCTCTACAAGATTCCAGTACGGTTTGAAGCATTGCGAGTGGTAATATACTACAATCATGATTGCTGGCTTTGTATTGGAAAAACTAGATATTTCTATTGTTTTTGCATACGTCGGCGACGTTCCTATAAAGGAAAAATTGTTTCAAAATTTCATTTCAACTGTAAATAAATATATTAAACACTATAATATAAACTTGCTACTTTAAGAAATTTAATTTCCATGCCATTATTTTAATGTTTCTAATAACTTATATTAAAATTATTTATAATAATTGTTAAATAATATCGTATAATGAGCAACATTGTTTTAATACTTATTCCTACTCAGCATTTAACTTTATTGTTATATTAATTACACACCACTGTTGAACGTTCAGAAATCACTAGTTTTAATTAATGCTAATGAGTTGGTATTTTGGTGTATAAAATTTTATTACGTTTATTAATAGATTTTTCATTTTATGAGAGTTGAAAGCTATTTCAAATGTTTTGGTTATAATGTTACAACTGTTGCATCACAGTTGAAATGAAAAAGTACATAAACGTAAACATCAGATTACTAAATTTAAAAGAACGACACAAACTCAATGAATACAACGTTTTGTTTGATAATGTTTTTTTAGATAGAATCTAAAATTTGATAAAAAAATAGTATTAAAACAAATTTAATATTACAAAAATGTTAAGTATAAGTATGTTAATTTTGGAAAATTTTAAGAATTTTATTGGATACTAGAAGACCTGGCGAACTTCGTATCGCCCTATAATCAAGAAATATCTATTACGTTTTTTTATTTATATTTTTGGAGTTTACCTGTAAGCCATAAATCTCGGTGTTTTGAAGTGCGACAAAATGATTGACATATTAGTTTGTTGTCAAATCTAATGTCAAAAAAAACGTTTGTATGGGAAATAGAAAAGGGCTGTTTTTATGGTTTTCCCAGTAATTAATCAATTTTTTTCAGCTTTTATACCTTCCCTGGACCTCCACAAACATTTCAAGACTGAGATAAGATAAATCTGTTCAGCTGTTCTTGAGTTTTAGCGAGACTAAGGAACAGCAATCCATTTTTATATATATAGAAGATTAAAATAATATAATTGTACGGTCAGATTAACTTTTACTGTAAGCATATGTTTTAAGTTGACTGCATATAATAAACTAGTCTATAAATATGCTCACTACTGTTCTGATACTATTTTGATTTTATGAATCAAAATACAAAGTCCATAAGTCCAAATGAACTATTAGATTAAGAAAAGGTATTTTTAACTTTCATATAGACGTCCGCTTGAAGCTTCATCTATATTCGTCTTATAGTGATACAACCTTAAGTGGAATACAATAAAGTTTTAATTCTTCAATTCTATATATCACTCACTCTTATCCCAGCGTCTCTATTGGCCTGTGCGACTCCTATATCAGCGTCCCTCTTCACCACCGCTGTCTGCGACTTGCCTAAACTGGCTAAGTACTGCACGTCATCGTAGACGTCCTTGATCGTGAAGGACAATATCTCGATGCCCATCCGACCCACGTCCGGGGCTGCGACTTCCCGAACAAGACCAGCAAACTGGTCCCTGTCTTTGTATACCTCTTCGACTGTAAGCGTTCCTGGTAAAGAAGAGTTTGATAACAATTAAATATATCCAGATAAAATAAGAATTAGATGATGGGTTTACAAGCGTAAGGAATAACCATTCCGTTCAATATTTTAATGAAAATAAAACAAAAAATAAGGTAAATGTTTCAATTAAATGAGAGTATATTTAAAAATCTTAAGCTTTGATAAACCGACAAACACCCACGATCGTACGCGAAATAATATATTAGAAATATCATCAACTTTTGTTTTTAAACTCTCGTTAACAAATCCATTGTCTCCTTATATAGACGATAGAATTGTTAAGAAAAAATCTATGTACCATATCATAAAATCGGAGTTCGCAAACCATATTAGAATACCATTTGGTGAAGAATAACAAAGACGAAGATTAGGATGCCATACAACGCTTGCTTAGATCATGTTTATAAATATACATATGTATGTATATTGAAAAATAGATGGCAGTCAATTCTAAGCTATTCTTAGTGTTCATTCAGACATTCTGATCAACTTTATTTAATATTAATATCAGGTATATGATTTTTATTCTTACGGAAGTAAAAAACAAATAAAAACATTAAGGACTATATTATAGTACATAATATAAAAGTGATGTAAATTATAATCTATAAAGAGGTTTTGTTAAGGGGCAGATTACATTTACCGACATAAAATTACACCCGGTTCCACAACTTCATCATTTATTTCAAATAATGTATATGTACTCTAATAATAATTGTACACAAATCGTAACAAAAATCCTGTGAAGAAAATTGATCGTTTAAACGTGACTAGATCTGATATGAAATAAATGAAAGTAAAATTACAATTAACATCTTGGTTCATATCCAAAGAATATACAATAAAGAATAATACATATAAAGTCGACCTATGCTAATAGACTATTGGGGATAGGAGAAAATGGATCATTGCAAATCTTTGCTATAATGCAACTTTTCACTGAATTTAATTATTCAAAGAAAAAATCCCTTCAATGTGTCTCTAAAATCTAACAATTCACTATAATTTTTATGTATACTCACTTTTTGACATTGAAATAAGTCAGTCCTAAGGTCAGCGTCAAAGGTACCAATGCGATCCTTAGCATTCCCATACTTCATATTTTACTAATTTATCTCAAAACTGTATATTATTATCTAACACAACGATGACATTTTATAGTAATAATGTTACTAGAGCAAGCAATGAAAATAATGTAAAAAATAGACGATGTAATAATTTAAAATTATACAGCGATACTTATATAGGAAGACGTTTTCAGACCAAACTTATTATACTACTAGGTTTTGACATAGGATATATTTATATGATCTTTATTGAGTGCTGATAAGTTGACACTCACTAACTAATCATAAGTGGTTTTTGAGTGACAATAATAATAAAAGTAATATAATGATAGCTAAATAATTTACGATATTTATCAACTTAAGATACGAATAACAGCTTGTTTTCATAAAAATCGTTGCCTGTCATTCTTTTAGGTCACAGGTATGCTCAAAGGAATATTTAGACACAATTATGTTTTATACCATAGAAAAGCCACCATCGAATTGTATAGGCTCTCAGTTATTCATTTTACTTTTAGGTTAGGTTAGAGGAATAGAAAAGGCAAAAGCACTTTAATTTTTTGTATATATTAGATAAACAATAATAAAAAATTGACGCATTCAAATAAAAACATTGAAAATCATTCACCACAATAGAAAACAAGAATAAAAATGGTAGATCTAGAACAATGATACAATAAAACAACTGATGGTATCTATGATTCAAGTATTAAAAAATAACAGATCGGTATTAAAATCCAAAGAATTTTAACTTCTCTGAGATATTGAATTGAATCAGCTATACTATCGCTATACGCCGCTATCACTGCAATATCTGTAATTCTTGTTTCCAATTCCACAAGCCTTCATTGTATATTTACACAGACTTAAGAAAGAAGATTGGATTTATATAGCTTTTATACATTTTCAACATAACTTTTAAGGGAAAGATTAAAAAAATTTCTTTATGATAAAAAGGATTTTTCGATTAGATAATAAATATTTTTATTTTCTGATGATTGAGTTCGAGCTAAGGAACTAAAATCTCCCCAACATGATTTCTTTGAAATCGTATGGGACTAATATTTTGTGGAATTTATTGTGACCATTTTTTTTTTTAGTTTTCAGATTGCAGTCGTATATTTTTAATTAAAACTCAATCCATCACATGTTGTAAAGACCTTGTATAGCTATTGTTTGTGCGTATGGAGAAAATTCTTTCCAGTATCGGTAAAGTAATCTTGTTAAGTTTATATTATTACTAAATATCAGGAAGTCAAAAACTAATTATATTTAAAGTGATAAAAAACGACCTTTTACAACAAAAATCCATAAGAATCTGAACCTGATCCTTTTAATTTTGAAGAATTACTAAGCTGTCACTTCAGACAACGCTTTACCCCTGTCTTTCAAGATGACAAGTCTTTCAGATGAATTGTTGTTTCAGCTGATTTTGAACATTAAATATCGATTAAAGGATCTTGTTTTAAGAAGTTTACTAACTATTTAAATTTAAAGTCCGTTTTACAGATTTACAAATTGTACTTTAAATCGACACGAAATAATAAATGAATGGCTTTTATTAAGCTGGAGTAAATAAATTTTACATCGTCTGTTAACCTTCATAATACTTCCTACCAAGGTTGCTATAAAATTTCGTATCTCCGACTAAGCAGGGCAAAATGTTAATAAATTACATAAATTTTTATTTTTATTGTTTTTTTAATTATTACGACAATATTTCGTATGATTTGAAGTAAAGCGAAAGGTTTCGTTTACGAAATGTATAAATCATTTGTAGTAATATAAAATTTAGGATCCATTTAATAATTTTACGGAGAGATAAAAGGGATGATAATTAAGGGATATTTATTTATATGTGTGGTCAAACACTTGAATACTCCAGGAAAAATTTGATATTTTTTTTAATATTTAACTAAATACAGAACGTAAAAAAATTAAAGAGTTTTGAGATCATAAAATTCTAAAAGAAGAATTTACAAACAACCAAAACCTCAACGCATCTTCTGTTAAGTGTAATCTAATAAAAACTAACACATTCCAGATAAGGAGATCCGATTTATAGCATTTCACTTCCGCAGATGTATAATATGAAGCTTTAATAATAACTCCACGAGTTTTCATACATTAATTACAATGAAACCAGAGCGCTGCTCGCACCCGCCGCTCGCGACGGACGCGGCGGGACTGATTTCCGCATCGAAATGTTCCTTTTATAAAGACCTTTATAGTTCTAGTACGGTAGATGTACTACAATATTTACAGAATAAAATTAAGTATGACTAACGGATTAATGAATGAATGAATGATTCTATTAGCGCAGAGGTACTAAAATATTACGTAGGCGCATTAAGATACAAAGAAAAATGTTACGGTTATAGTGTTAAATTGATCTAAAGTTGCTTAGATTCATGAAATTGCTGTTTTCGAACACTTGTATGTAGAAAATCTAACAATATTTGAAGAAAGTTCGAAGTAAAATTGTCGTAGTTATCAATTAATATCTTAAGAGTATTACCACAGCTCAGAAGTATTATCCATAACTTTGGCCTTCATAGTTTTCGTTAATAATTGGGTCAACACAAGCCGTTCAAAAGCCGTGGAAAGAACCTCTCTGTTTCAAATCTCTTGAAACTACATAAACGGTTATGGCGATGACAGCTACGTTTTTTGAAGCTTAAAAACGAATTTACTTGAACAAAATATTTACTAGTCCTATAGAGGCGTTTCAAAAGGTGTTCTAAGAGGCGCTTTAAAAGATAAAAATAAATGAGTCACTCAAAGTACCTACGTATATGGCCTAACGTGTGTATATGATTCTCAACTTATGTTTGTAAACGTACATTTTACTCGTAGTAGCAATTTATTCTTTTCATAGCTGCCCTAGAATTTCAACAGTAACGTTACTATGAAAATGCTTCTCATTTATTGGACAGAAAATAAATATTTGTATATTCTATACCATGTTGCAATTTTTCCGGCACAGATGATTCCTATTACGTAATATTTGCGTTTTATTTTTAATTTTTTTTAACGAACATCCCTTTGTTTATTTTAAAAACTTGTTATGAAAAAAGAGGTGATGTAACTTTTAACTAAAGCTTTCTAAAGGGATTATACATTTACAGTTAAAATGCACCAAAAGCAATATGATAAATTAAAAAGAGGTATTGAAAAAGCAAAATAAATTTGTTCAGAGTTAATAATATGGAATATAAGTAAATACTATTTAACGATTTCATTTTATCCTATGTATAAATAAATTCATTTTTGCTGTACGCGTATATTGAAATAAGATATTTTCATCATTAAAAATTTAATTGAATTGATTAAAACATATTGAGTATATGTTATATACATGAAAGTTATGTAATAATCTGTTTATTTTGTATAGAAAATAAATAATTTTTATAGTTTATATTTAAAATTATAGTGTCTCTATATATTCTTTCTTCTATTGTAAATGTTGAACGCAACTTATTAGTATTAAGAATAATTTCATCTATTAAAATATCACTTATCATTTTTATGATTCATTTAGAAAATTAAATATCAGATTTATTGCTTCTATACGCTAGCGTTAAATATGCAGAGCGCATACAAAATGCGGCGTTTACATAATAGTTTAATATTTAATTATATAATTGACTGAATCTGAATTAAATATATCTTGTATGCCACATACATAGTTAGCTTTATGAAAATCCCTTTAAATTTGCATTCCATTTTAAACGTCAAGAATCATTTTTACAAATGTTTAGTCTAAGTTGTCATGGTCATACCATATACGACGAGTTAATAGTCTTTCATTCATATGTCTTCGCACATTATAGTATTAACGTAGTTTATTGAAAGAAAAATAATATATCCCTAATATTTCCACATAATATTTATACGTTGTTCTAATTCTTCTCCAATATATACTTAGACAATACAACAACTAAAACCGTGAAAAAAGGCGAAACCAAATATAGGAAATTTACCATAGAAAATAGAAAAAAAAATCCACAATGCTTTGACTTTTAATCTCTTTGTTTAATGTAAAACTATACAGAATGTGAATCTGTATTGTGTTGAATATTCTAAATATAACATACTATTTATTGTTCCTGATATCATCCTCTAAACAATTAAGAGATATGTTTAGACGAAAGGTATATTGAAAGATAATCGGCTTTATATTGAAATGTGCGAAGTGAATATTTGTAGGTCTGTATGTAAACATGTATGACGTACTCAGCTAATTATACTTGGATATGAGGAATGGGTATGGTTTTAAGACATATTTAGAGTTTATCAAGAGATTTATTTATTGATAGTAATATGTACGTGTGACATCGTTTTAAGTCTGTTTACTGTTCTAACTGTTACTGAATTAAAATAATATTTTTAATAGTGCATTAAATATCGTATTGTGTTGAGCAATTCGTACATATTAATTAAATTATACTTCGTTATACAAATCAACGTCACAGTTAAATTTTTAATAAAATATCGCAAAACGTTACCACATGTGATTGTGTACTATTAAAAGTTTAATTAAAAATAATTACATTAAACTATTAGCATATCCAATAGTGTTTCATTATTTTGTATGAATTTTATTATCAAATATCAACTGACCTACCGTTTTAGTCATTAGTGATTTATATTTTTTCAAATCTAGTGAATTTTTATTTTGCATTTCTTAATATATTTCATATATAGAGATGTTTTAATTCCGTAAACGATAAGCCAGTTTTTTAATAACGACAGAGTATTTATAGAAGTTAGTTACATTATATTTAGACTTACCCTTTAATAATGACATAAGTCGCGGAAACTGTAAGGCCGAGATTAAAAAAACTCATCCATAAGAACGACATGACACTATTGTATAATATTCACTATACTGAACATTAAAATTAAAAAAAAAGTATAAAGGACGAATAGACAACCTCCTTTTTGGTTTAATTTAAATTCTCATATAAGTAATCAAAATATTAGCAACAAAAAAAACAAATTAATAAATGGAACGTCAGTATGATTTAAACAACAATCAGAGTTTAGAAATTACAAATTGGGATCGAGGCTCCGATATACAGCGTTACCGAACAGCGACAAATGAATGTTACATAAAATCATTGCTAGACTAACAAGTAACAATACAAGCTTGAGTTTCCCCACCCACAAGTTCAGGTTTGTTTATTATTTACTAGCTTTTGCCCGCAGCTCTGCCTGAGTCGATTTGAAATCGTCGTCCGAAATGTTGCCTATGACCTTAACCTAATAGTTACTTATATTCGTATTGTATCTACGTATATAGGATATAAAAGTTGTATCTTCAGAATGTATAGAACAGAATTAATTACTACAGATTTTATTATTACTACGGATATGGTATAATTAAAATGAATACCTTTGCAGTAATCTAATATGAAAAGATGATATCTTTTGCTATAATTCACTTTAACTCGATCCATAGAAGTTAATAAAGACTTTTTTATTTATTTTAAGTAAATTATAAGAAAATATAGCAAAACGAATGGAAACTTCGTTACTAATAATAATCTCCAGGAGGATTTATCAATATTTAAAAAGCTATAGGACATACAAATAAACATTGAAAAAGATTAATTAATAAATATATTTCTTATAACCTACATACATTTGAAACTAAGAAAAATAACTAACCAACGAACGAACTAAATACAGCCAGAAGAAATACGTGCAACTTTTAATAACAAAAACCCGCAAGCCGAAAATATACTCGTATGTGACAAAAACGTGTTCGCAAACAATGGACAAAAAAAATTGACGAGGCCTAGAGCCGAGGTTTATTTTGTTGATAGTTTTTGAACCGTGACTCTCGTACAGTAAACGTCGAATACAACAATATTTATAATATTAATCAAATTTATTTTTGAATTTCATATACGGAAAACCTTTTCCATACACATACGAGTATACTATTTTAATAATGAATGAACTATGGACTGATGATAACAATTCAGCAAAGGCATTATTTTGCAGAAGCAAACTTCTTTAGTTTGAAAATAAGCACTGCTCTAATTTAATATCATCTATTCACTCATTATATATTATTGTGCAACTTTCTCGAGGATTTTGCGAAGTGATCTGCATCTTTCGTATAAATATGTAAATCTAACTACTCGCAGTCTGACAGCATTTGGTCATAAAAGCCGTTAAAATTTTCAGTTTTATTCAATTGAATATATCCCAATTATTTATTAAAACAAATGCCTTACATACATTAAGATCATATTTTTTAATCTAAACTTTCCTACTTTTGCTGGCACCTATAATAAAGAACTAGTCTTTTACAGAACATGGATAATTTTTTCTCTTCAAATTCAGTGTGTGATGAAAACACGTGTTACACATTTAGAACAACAGATGAATTGGTTTCCAAGGTCGATGATTCAATTTTGACTTGCCCTTTATGGGAACTGGTTTGTTTATTAGCTACAGGTTCGCTTAAAATAGATAATCATAAAAAATACATAAAAAAGATTAGTAGGAATGAGAATTTTAAAAGACTTGGTAAATTTCCTTCAATAATTTTTGATACAATTGATTTAGGAAACGGAAGATCAATCCGGATCATTGACCTTCAGTAGGTCAAGTATAACCTCTTCTATCCAGGTCACAGTGGAAATGACGTCATCATACGACACTCGAGATCCATTCGTGCTTGTTACAAAGTAAGAAAATCATAAATCTCTTTTATCCGCCAAAAGGAACGTTATATTTTAAGTCTGTATAAGAATTAAATTACTTTGTGGCCTCTTAATAAGAAAACAAATCTAATAGTACATATTGTCTTCAAAATCAACAGAGGATTTATCTGAATGATATGCTTAAAGCCAAAAAGAAATATAATAAATTAACAAATAATAATTTCTTTATTCGAGAACATTTGCCATATATGTCGCTTAATTTGCTATATCATGTTTTTCACCAAAGACATATTGTTTACATTAATATGTGAGAAATATACACGAACCAATCTTAATCTATTTCGTTTATATGACACTCAGAATGTGTTAATATTCGGCCTTGGGCCCCAGAATGATAATCTAGATTATAGATATAACATCTTAAACATTATGAGATATAAGGTAAATAATAATACCGTCTATTACATAAAAAATATTCAAAACTTCGCTTGACGATGTTTATTAAATATTTTATCAGGCGCTACTAATTCGCAGCAGTAAAATATATTCGTCACGTTTATTTAAAAACGCATACAGATAATATCGTATGAAACAAAATCGCATTATCGTTATCATCGGTAGCGTCAGCTGGAAGTAAGGCCGTTTTAATACGCGGAAAACCAATTTTTATACAAAGGCTTAATGGGCCTTTCAGCGAAGTTTGTTTTATAAATATCTTATAGTAGGTACCCATAGGAGTAAAATAGTGATGACAGCAACTTGTACAAGAAACAATTTATAATAGAAAATGTTAGTTCTTTACAAATAGTTCGAAAACTAGCGAGCAGATGACGCTAGTGTCAAAAATACACACATTAATTGTAGATGGCGCTTTTAATAATAACGTTTTCAAATTGGAACTTACCTAATATAGCACGCAAGTGGCCTTCGAGGGTTTGGAGGATAGTCATCTTGATCTCTTTCACGGTTTTGCCGAGAAACTGCTCGCAGGCGGTGGTGAGGAGCTCATCCTCGTTCATGATCTTACATTGCGCGACTCCGGTCACAGTTAAGGGAACACCTTGGGCTGTTTCCACATACTCACACATTGGGTTCAATGTCATAACCTACAGATGAAATACGATACTGTGTTAAACTTCAACGCCTTCCGTTATAATTTTCGCAACTTGAATTACAAATACATGCCAATGTTACCAGACTTTAATTGTATATAAGTTATTAGAATATATCAGGACATCCATAAAAAGGCCTTTAGATATATGTATATCTAATATACGTAGAATAAATTTGTATTATGTGATTAATATTTTACAGTATAATGATAGTTATGTGTTGTATACGTAATGTATATTTATATATAGTTATATCTTCTTCTTCTACCTGGCAATTTCCTAGCTTTAGACAGGGTCTGCCTTACATGTTTTGAATAGTTTTTGGCTAATTGTTTTTACAACTGGCCGCCTGCCTGACATCAACCTTCTTTGGAAATACATTAATCAGTGATGTCTAAATATTCTTAGAATGTACATATGACTCGGAAAAATCACATTGGCACTTGCCAGGGCCAGGATTGAACCCGCGTCCTCCTGCATGAGAGGCGGGCCTTTTAACCACTAGGCCACTACTGACTATACTTATATATAGTTATATGTACTTATATATATTTATACATATATAAATATTACGAACTCACCTCAAGTGAGATACGCTGAACATCAGTCACGAGACACCAGGCCCACGCCCAGCCACCCACTATAGTTCGCTTCTGGGTAGACCCGAAGCAACCCCCTGGAAAAAAGCAATATAATTTTATTAATTTATTTTAAAGCAAAATTCAAAATATATCCATAATTAGACTAGTCGTATGATTTGAAACATACACCCAAAAATATATATATTTTTTCCATTTTATAAACATGTCTGCATAACTCACATAAAGAGTGCGTTGGTTTATATAAAATATATGTCTTGAGAAACATTCCACAAAAACAGGATATAGAGAAACATAGCAAAGGGTGTCGAACCCGAGGTTTACAACAAGATTAGATCAAGAAGCTGGTATACTTTCACTGAAACATATATCAGTACTTTATGTACATAGGAATATACTCATCACATATTTTATTAAATAGTATGTATCTTACAATAGTTTATTCAAAGATTAACAAATCGAGCATAAAATGTTAATCTTTTGCTATAGTTTGTATTCAATTACCCGATGGTTGTTAATTTTACCTAACATCTTCACTTTCACTATCAACTAGCCTCAGTCTAGTAAATTACTAAAGTTTACACGCGACTCTGGTGTATAAATTTAGGATACACTTTGAATTCTTATTAAAATCTAATCAGAGTGTCGAAAAAAAAATGTAAACAATACGGTTAATTCCTAATATGTAATAGGCAACAATGAATTATTTGTGTTTTTTCCAAATCGTATACCGAAAGTTGTAACTGAATCATCATCGTCCCATGTCATACAAAAAAAATCAACAAAATAAATTATAAAATTCCATTGAGTCATAAAAAAGTCTATTTCCCACAAAAAAGTGTATGTGAGTGATGATTCAAAGCAATGTCCTCCCACCATTTCCCCGTACAACATAACGGGTACACGCGCAGGAGTAACGTTCCGACTCTCGAAGAAAGTGCTCGTCACACGCGATCTAACTTATCGGACGCTAGCTGACACTAGCAGACGAATAAATAGCGCGTAAAATACACGAAAAACTATATAAAGAAAGTACGGATTTTAATTCGGAACGGAAATCCGATATTTAATAGAATGAAACAGACGGACCTAGTAGGTCGCTATCGAACTTTTTGATAATGTGGTTTGTTTTTATTTTTTAGTGAAAGCGTAGGACATTAAGGTAAGTGACTAAAATGATAGATACAGTTAGAACAGGTAGATTTTATTTTTTCATGTCACAACATTACATTGTAATGAGGGTCATATATACGGTTACGTTTTACATCACATAATTTGTCTAACTAAGTAAATCGAAAACATCTACAAAACTAGTGCCACTAAGCGGCACTTTTCTAGATGTGTCTAGAACCTTTCACCTATTTTTTTATTTAGCACCATATTCATTTGTAATGGACATCCATTTTTGGCTGAACCATAGTCCAGTGTCTGCGGACAGTAAGTAATTGTTCTCGAAGGACAATGGTAAATCAAACCATTACGATGTTTTGTTCGTGGCATGGATAATCTTAAGTATGTCACATTTCAATCAATTGTCCAAAAAGTAAACCAAATACACGCTCGTTATTTCTATCACTGCGTCAACTACATACAATGTTTAATTTTTCAACCTATTTCTGTGACTAAATAAAAGTAATGTTTAGTTGGTTTTTATTTTAAATAGTTTTTCAAGTTCAGTTCATCGGTAATATCAGTAGATATACGGAGAATTTAAGAAAGTATTTAAGAGTCATTTAATTTCAAAACAAGTAAATAATCTTATTATATTTTTTGAAGGTAATTTTACCGTAACGCAACAAAATAAACAACTCAAATACTAGAGAAGATTGTACTATTAAACTGTAAATTATTTAATTGTCTTCTGTATAAGTTATTGAAGAATTGTACATTTAATCTTGCTTCAATTTGTTCCGTCGTAAATCCTTTCAATGAAGCCATCACCTAATGTGATACAAACAGTGATATATAATAAGTATCAAGCTCACTGTGACAAAGGTTTTATTACTCAACACAATCAATATTCAGTAGAGTGAAGTTTGAAATTTGTGTTACATAACCATTAATTATTTTCACCGGAACGACTTTGTATTCTGGATACAAATACATACATACATACGTATAAACTGTACATGTCAATAAAGAGGAAATATTCACTTTCTACTAATATGAGATAACTTGATTACTTCTATGAAGCGTAACATGTGTCAGTCAACGAAATTGAAATTAATTTTAAAACGCGAGCGATAATAACAAGTTATATACGTAAAATAAAAATTAATTGTTAAAAGTATTAATAACATTGTTGCAAATGATAATTATTGCATCTTTATGTAGTAAACCAGCAATTTCGGACATAAGAGCATTTCCGTAATCAACGCAAAATAATCTTTAAAAATCTTATAAAGAAAGAAAGGCTTTTCAATAATTCTTTAGTCTTTCTGAGCTATAAATCAACAAGTGTTCCAAAGAAGGATCTTGTAAGACTTTATACCGTTTGTTTGCAGGTCCAATGAGCTCGATAGTGACAGCGGCTGCGGACGTGCTGTCCGGCACGGCCATCGCTGCTGGTACTCAGGTAATATGGATTGATTACATACGTGTATTAAAGCGGTTTAAAGAAATTGAGAGTCTTTTTATAACAATGTGTAAACTAAACTAGGAATGTTCTAAAGTACTTATTACTTGATGCAAAAATAAGAGATCTAGTGGAAATGACAAAAAGAAATTGTTCCGGTATTTACCTATTGGATTTAGTAATACTTAGCTTTCTCTATCCTTATTAATATCGTTATACAGTACCGATCTAAAATATAGTTTCAAACAAATATTCTTAGTAAACGTTACCAACAAAAATGTCAAATAAATCATATCATAGTACATGGTTTGAAGAATATTGATACTTTAAATAGTTTCATAAAATTATCGTTCCGACTTTTAATTCATGAATAATTATATCATAATCATACATATTAATTGTATACAAATATATTAGCTACTGATAAACTCTTCTAACGTCAGGTATCCCTATAAAACAATTATGTATTCACATAACGGGATCTAAGATTTTCGCGAGTACTCATTTAAATGAAACTAATATTTTCGGATTTCTGCCCGTGATCACGGTTGCTGTAAAGTAGCCGAGACGTCGGGAAAATGTAGTTTATAGTCAAATATAAAAAATCGCGTAATAAATCCGATAATATTAGTTTCATATAAATTATGTATTCATTATTCGCTATCAAATAAATGAGTATAGAAAAATGTACGACTATTGTTTCCCGTTTCAGGTCGCATGGTTTATTCCAATGCTGGTAGCAGCGATAGCCTACTACCAGTTCGATCAAACGGATCCTGAGGGTCGTCCTGCTGATATTCCAAACTCAAGGTTGCTGCTCGAGTATGACTTCATAATTGTAGGAGCTGGATCAGCGGGTTATTATAATTTCATTATTTTATCGCAGTAAGACCACTGCATGAATAATCCATGTTTGCCTGTCAAATTAGATATTAAGAGTTTCCCGTTTCTCTATCAATCGCCTAAAATAATACTATGAAGTGCGAAGATTTATGAATGAAACACAATTCGTACGTTCACGATGACAAGATTTAGTGCATCGATTCCTATATACACTTCTTTCGAAAGACTACTAAGACCCTTCTTTTGAAAGACTACTATTACTGAAAACAATTTGTAACTATTACATGTAATCTGTATGTAAATGAGAAAGATATAAACGGAAATATTTATATCAAAATACTTTGTTAATTATTTGCATAGTTTATTATGTTTTACACTAACTTTTACGAGACATATTTACTGCACGCATTTATCAAAAGAAAGATAATGTTGTATCTTCGGTTTTCTTTTCCTTGTATCTATTTAAGGTCTTTATTACCTAAAAAAATACTAATTTAGAATAAAAATTAAAATAAAACTAGTGAATGATTAATTTATTAAGAATATTTGTTTTATGATTCAGGAGCAGTAGTAGCAAACCGATTATCCGAAATCGGTCATTGGAAAGTGCTACTTTTGGAAGCAGGTGGTGATGAAACTGAAATATCTGATGTGCCTCTGCTAGCAGGATATTTACAACTTAGCAAACTGGACTGGAAGTACAAGACTGAGCCTCAAGGAACGAGTTGCTTAGGTAAATGAACAAAATTAAAAATCTGTTACAAGATATCAATTACAACGATAATTTAATCATTATGTCTAGGACTATTAAGAGGAGTATTATTTACTCATTAAAAAGCGTATTATAGCACACATCACTTTGACACAGTATCATATTGACACAGTATCAAAGATATTATAATGTTATAAGAAAATAATTATGAATTTTACAATGATTTTCCAGCTATGGAGGGTGGTCGCTGCAATTGGCCGAGAGGAAAAGTTCTTGGAGGAAGTTCTGTGCTAAATTATATGCTTTACCTGAGAGGGAATAAAAAAGACTATGACAATTGGGAATCACTCGGAAACAAAGGTTGGAGTTATAACGATGTCCTTTATTATTTTAAAAAGTCTGAAGATAACCAGAATCCTTACTTGGCCAAAACACCATATCATAGCACAGGAGGGTACCTAACGGTATCGGAAGCGCCGTATCATACACCTCTCGTATCCAGTTTTATAGATGCTGGTCTGGAAATGGGTTATCTGAATAGAGACATAAACGGTGAAAACCAAACGGGGTTCATGGTAGCCCAAGGAACATTGAGAAGAGGTAGCCGGTGTTCAACTTCCAAAGCATTTTTACGGCCTGCTAAAGATCGAACAAATCTACATATCTCGATAAATTCCTTCGTTACAAAAGTTATGATAGATCCCCGGACAAAAATCGCATTTGGCGTTGAATTTGTTAAAAATAAAATGGTTTATAGGATAAGAGCTCGAAAGGAAGTCATTCTTTCAGGCGGAACAATAAACTCTGCGCAGTTACTACTCTTATCAGGAATAGGTCCAGCAGATGAACTAGCTAAACATAGAATACCCTTGATACAAAACCTTCAAGTTGGAAAGAATCTTCAAGATCATATTGGTTTGGGAGGATTAGCATTTATGGTAAATAAACCGATATCGATTGTTGAGAATCGACTACATACTGTCAGTACATTGATGGAGTATGCTGTACTTGGAGAAGGACCGCTAACTATCATGGGTGGTGTTGAAGGTTTAGCTTTTGTTAACACAAAATATGTTAATGCATCAGATGACTTCCCTGATATCGAATTTCATTTTATATCAGGAGCTACAAATTCTGATGGAGGCGGTCAATTGAGAAAAATACATGGACTGACAGAAAAATTTTATAACGCCGTATTTCAACCGATGAATAATGTAGATGTGTGGAGTATAATACCCATGTTATTGAGACCAAAAAGTAAAGGCTATATTCAATTAAGAAGTGCTAACCCTTATGATTATCCATACATATATCCTAATTATCTGACTGACGAGATGGATGTAAAGACTTTAGTTGAAGGTGTAAAAATTGCATTTTCTGTATCAAGAACACAAGCCTTTCAGAAATATGCCTCTGTATTTAACAAACATACGTTTCCAGCTTGCAGCCATATTCAAAGATTTACTGATAGTTTTTGGGAATGCATGATAAGACAGTACACTTGTACAATTTACCATCCAGTGGGCACCGCAAAGATGGGCCCCTATTGGGATCCTGAAGCTGTAGTTGACCCCGAACTTAAAGTATACGGAGTCAAAGGCCTAAGGGTTATTGATGGAAGTATAATGCCAAATCTGGTTAGCGGTAACACTAACGCACCTATAATTATGATTGGAGAAAAAGGCAGTGATATGATCAAAAACTTCTGGCTGAAACGACGAATATCTAGATATTATGCATGATTTAATGTACAAACATAAGATTATTATATTTAAAGTAATTTATTATTTATTTATTTATTATAGGAATTTAAATTGAGAGTTATAAAGGTAGTAAAATGTATGTAATAAACATATTTATATACATAAGAGACTGTTTTATTTTGATTTTTTACATGAATATAGTAAAAATGTGTTTAATAATAAAAATAAAATGTAATATTTCATAATATACTATTGGTAAACTCGAAACAACTTTATGTATAAAAAAGTAGCATTACATTTATGAGTTTATCACAAATAATGTGTATTGTATTTTTAAATTACACATGTTTGTAATATATTTGAACCAAAAGTTATTATTGCATAACTTAAGAAATAAAACATTACATACAAACTCGTTTGCATCTTCTGTCAAATATGAACACTGAAATGCATTTTCATATAATAGTAAAAGATAACAAATAAAAAATCAAAAATTTGAAATTAAATAGCAACTAGTACTGCAATAAAGTTTGGTACACAGACCAGACTTCCTCATACCTATTAACAGTAAATATCCTTAGTTTTTCCAGAGATAAGTTAGCTGTTCTCTATTTTATGAGGTAAAGAATCCTTTTCATTTTTTACTTGATGTAGTGATAAATAAAAAAATTTGCATGTGTATCTTTGTGAAAGAGAGAAAGATGTAAAAAAACAAACATACTTTTTAAACATTACTCCAAAGTAAAGTCGAACCTCAAAACTAGTCATTGAAACCTAGTAATAAGTCAAGCTTCAATCACTTTGATATTTGATAGATAAGCCACGGTCACGTGAGTACAAAGTCACTGGCCACAGAATAATTGAAAATAATAAGATAATTCTTGTAGCACTGTTAAATTTATGAGTAACAATAATTGTGATTAAACAGAAAGCGTTAATTTTTTTATTTTTATATATATTTTTGACACAGAAAATCACCATTAAGAGAAAATTTTAGGGAGGTGATAGAATAATAATGGCCTTAAAACGAATTGGTTCAATAACCGATACGACGGGAACTCATGCAAGGAAATAAACCGAATCGTAACTGTGACTGAAGAGCAGCCATTAATGTCGGAAGCACTTAAAATGTTAAAAACGATAACATACACCCACAATCTATCATCCTATCATTTCTGTCACCTGCTTATAAAGTGGCTGGTAAAGATCATTAACGTGTTTGAGATTTTTCATAAAAATATTTTTATATATAGATAATTACATAAACAAAATTTTGACACGAGAATAAAATAAGAAAATTGATATTACTTTAACGTAAAAAAATAATATCTTCAAAAACAAATCAAATACATTAAAATTATAAGATATGTATATTATAGGATGAACAAAAAAATCACGAAAGCCCTAATTTGAGTTATCAAATTATATTTCAAATCATATATTATAGACACATTCTTCAATTATACACAAATTCTGCAAACATATTCCTTTTTCAGGAAAATATAGAATCCATTTCGCTTTGGTCACAAAACCAAATCGAACTCAACAGGATTTCAGTTCTTTAACTACAATTTGTTCATACAAATTATTTTAAGAAAGTGTTTATATCGTATAAAATACTTTAAAATAATTGATGGCCAGGTCTGATATCACATTCTTACAGTCCTAAAGAAAACAGTTATTGCTGGATGGAAATAAAGCATCTGTTGAAAACTCACAAACTCATTAATTATTATTATCATTCTCATACGAATAGAATTACTACATATATTTATGCTTAAACATAAAGTTTACAGTAATCTTAGTTTTGTTACTCTATGGAATTAAAAACGGCAAAGATTTAATTACATAGTACTAGAAACTAAAGAGTATTTATTGAAGCTGAACATTAGTGCCTCGGACTTGATCTAAACGAATCTATATTCACTTATTCCATATGAGTGAAGTGGAATATATTTTAATTTTTTGAAACAAAATCATCATGGAATCTTTGGCAGCTAATATAACTGCATCATGCCCGTTATCGTTTGGTGGCACGGCTGGAGAACTTTTTTTGAAAGCAGTTACAACGGTAATTACAGCACATTGTGCAATCATGGATGACTATAAATGGCCCCCAGACGATGCTCATAACGTCATCACTAAAGGTTCTGGTAAGATTTTTTCTTAAAGACTTCAAATGGTCTTTAATTTTTGAAAGCAACATATGATTTCTCGAAATTACATTCCAGACACATTGTTGGCTTGTATATCCATCGATTTTTTTTTCAGCTCACTAATATTTATAACAATTATAACATTTCACAAATTGCATGTTAAACAGACTACACTTTTCAATACAATTGAAATGTAAAATAATGTACAGACACGTTTCCTACAAGCACATCTTCCTTTTTCAGGAATATCTTTTGACTTCATAGTCGTTGGCGCAGGAACTGCTGGATCTTTAATTGCCAGCCGACTTTCAAAGCAATATCCGTCTTGGAATATACTTTTGATTGAGGCTGGTGAAGATCCCGGAATCGATAGTGAGGTAACTTTAAAGTATTATTTTATCATTTAAAGTTTTAATATTACACAGTCTAATTCTGTTTTAGATCCCTGCATTTTTATTTTTAAATCAAAACTCAAGCAATGACTGGTCATATACAATAGAGGGATATGGGGAGAGTTGTCTGGGTTTCAATAATGAAAGATGCATTTGGAGTAAAGGAAAAGGACTCGGCGGATCAAGTTCTATTAATGCGATGATTTATTTAAGAGGGCACCCTAAAGACTATAATACATGGGAAAAGCTAGGCAACTCTGGATGGGGATATAAGGAAATGTCTAAATATTTCGATAAAATAGAAAATATTTTTAATATAACTGATCCTCACTTCAGCGGATACGAAAACCAATGGTATAGTATTTTAGATAATGCATGGAAAGAACTATCTTTTGCAACTTATAATTACGACAACCATGAAGCCTTAATTGGGACCAAGAAAACAAGACTGCTAACTAGAAATGGGAAACGAATGAACACAGCTAAAGCATTTTTTAATCAGGCAGGAAAAATGACTATTATGAAAAATACCCAGGTAGAGAAGGTTATAATTGACCCAAAAACTAAACGAGCCACTGGTGTAAAAATACACCATAACTACGGAACCATTATGGACATAGATGTTAACAAAGAGATATTATTGGCAGCTGGTTCGATTGCAACTCCACAAATTCTTATGTTATCAGGAATCGGACCTAAGGATCACCTAAAAGTTATGGGAATCGATTCCATCATAAATTTACCCGTAGGAAAAAATTTACAAGATCATATCATTCTTCCATTATTTCTTAAAACCAATATAAAAATGGAACTGCCTTCTTTTGTTATTCATATGTTTTTATTGCAGTATATGTTAACGAAAACAGGACCAATATCAAACATCGGTCTAACGGATTACATGGGTTTTATAGATACAAAAAACGTATCAGATTATCCAGATATACAATTTCACTACACATATTTCACTAAGAACGATAATTTTGTTTTAAGGCCATACCTAGAAGGTCTCGGTTATAAAAATAAAATCATTGAAGCCATAGAGGCTTTGAACTACGAAAACGATATGCTAGGCATTTATCCCACATTGTTACACCCTAAGGCTAGAGGTGAGATTTTTCTTTCAGACCGTAATTTAGCAAAACCCATTATAAATGCCAATTATTTTCAACATCCAGACGACATCCTAACAATGATAAAGGCTATTAATTTTGTTCATACACTCGAAAAAACCTCGACGTTCGAGAAATACAATATAAAATTACTACACATCAATATTTCTGAATGCGATATATATCTATTTGACACTGAAAAATACTGGGAATGTTACATAAGATATATGGCGACGACTATTTATCATCCCGTCGGTACTACCAAGATGGGACCACCAGAAGATGCGTCTGCTGTTGTAAATTCTGAATTGATAGTTTATGGTACACAAAACATCAGAGTTGTTGACGCTAGTATCATGCCTAATATACCGGGAGGTAATACTATGGCAGCTACTTTAGCGATCGCTGAAAAAGCATTCGATATTGTCAAAAAGAAATATGTCGTCAAAAATGAATTATAATTATTATATAGTCATATAATCAAACACCTATATATTATATTTTATTTTCAGAATATATTAATTGTGTGTACATATAGTACATAAAGCTTATCCACACGTTAGAAAAAAAAGGTGTAACAATAAATATTTTTTTTTTATGTAAATTAAATAAATAAATGGCAGTGTCTGGTGAAAAATTTGTGTTATCCATGATATTTATAGGTCTGCAGGAATTTTAATTACTTTTGTTACGTGCTATTGCTGTTTTATTTGGTATTTAAATCATATTTAATATAAGCGTTTAGTTCATCTAAGGTTAACTATCGATATTTATAATGTACTTATACTGAGGAGAAGATGTAACTTGTGTCTCAATAATTTCCTTTTCCGCAATCATTACATATTATTTCGCAAGGATTGATCATAATATGTTTTTTATATAAACTTATATAATTTATGTAATTTTACTACCTCTTGCATTATTGCGACTTTTGTAATGTTCGATTTTTTTATTTTATATTTATCCTCGCCTCCTTTATAGCTACCCATAATAGACAAAATCATTGTAAAGTTAAATTATAATTTGTAAATGCAATGAAATGACGATACTTTAGAACAGTTGCTACTTTCGCTACCGTGAAAGTAAATAGCATAAATTCATCGAAAGAAATATAAGTTACAACGGGATGTTTCATTACGTCATGGAAAACAATAACCTTGAATAAATTTCGTCAGTCTAAAGGCAACGGTATCGCATTCGTATAAGCAACTTTCATTAATTAAATATTTCTAAACAAACTATATAATTCATAAAATATTTTGAAATAAATTTCCCTTACGCAAAAGAAATATTGACAAACAAAATATACGAATATATCTTTCCTACAGTTTTAATGATAAGATGTAAGATGGAAAAATTTTGATATCCAACGCCCGTTATGAGAAGGATTACAGTTTAAAAAACTTATTTGAGAAAAAGTCTGAATTATATACATGTATATAATTGTATATATGTGTAGTTCCAAAATAAATTCCATATTTTATTTATATATAATAGTATAAAGTATGTAAAATATATAATAATACTAGTTTTTGCCCGCGACTTCGTCCGCGTTAGTTTGGTCAAAAGTAATATATGTAGGTATAGCTGATCAGGCAGTGGTGGCCTAGTGGTTAAAGGGGCCGACTCTCGTTGCCGAGGGCGCAGGTTCGATCCTGGCCCGGGCAAGTACCAATGTGATTTTTCCGAGTCATACATATGTACTTTCTAAGAGTATTTAGACATCACTGATTAATGTTGATTCCCAAAGAGAGGGTTGATGTCAGGCAGGCGGCCGGTCGTAAAAACAAATAGCCAAAACTATTCACAAACATGTAAGGCAGACCCTGGCTATAGCTGGGAAATTGCCAGGCAGAAGAAGAAGCTGACCAGGCAAACTCTATTCCGTCTTAGAGGCCATAAATAATCAGGTTTTTCCTGTTTCAATCAAACAGAATGATTGACATATTAGTTAGTTGTCAAATCTAATGTCAAAAAAAACGTTTGTATGGGAAATAGAAAAGGGCTGTTTTTAGGGTTTTCCCCTCAATTATTCCAATTTTTCTCACCTTTTAAACCTTTCCTGGACTTCCAGGAGTATTTCAAGACTAAAATTAGCCAAATCGGTTCAGCCGTTCTCGAGTTTTAGCGAGACTAAGGAACAGCAATCCATTTTTATATATATAGAAGATAAAGTATATATTTTTTTTAAATTTAAAACAGAACATTTATTCTTTTATATTTTTTTACTTGAGAATTGGGGTCAGAGAAAATATTATAAAGCGTGTTAAAACAACACAATAATCCACGAGCAGCGACATCTACAATCTGTGTCACGGGACATATACACAATATCACAGTTATGCTGTTATCCCGCAGGAACTACAAAAAAAAACGAGTTAAACTATAGGTCTTAAACTGTGTCTTATATTTATATATAAAAAAATAAGGTATAACATTTAAACGAAGTTCTTGCGTGAAAGAGCAACAAACTTCCACATATTCATACATAATATATGTATACAGGGTGACTGGTGAATTACTATCAATATTTAAGGAGCATACTCGGTACATGATTCTCATTCGAATTATGTAAAAAAAATAGGTACTTAATTTTTGACCAAATTTCCGTATAAATAAATAAAGTGTGTACACGTTCCAAGTTTCCTAGTGTGGACGCGTGCGGCGGCGTGCTGATACAACAACACGCCGCCGCGCGCGTATGTGTGAGTGTGTAGTGTAGAGTAATCTGTAGGGTGTTCATACGATGCGTAATTAATTACACAACTTTTGGTTAACTTTACTTAGAAGTTTATTAATATTTATGTTATATTAATTTTTATTTCGTCATATATGATCGTCAAATATCACGTCCTCAAATATCGATAGTAATTCACCAGTCACCCTGTATACACATTCACCCATCCTCACGAACTTAATCATTTATAATATTAATAGGTTGGTATGTTTAACGATAAAATAACAAATTTACGTATATTTTAGATAAGACGGTTTATTTTTGCAGTTTTATTCAAATAAATAGATAGAAATGATTTAAAATAAAATATGAATTAAAATAATACGTAGGTAAATTTCTATGAAAAAAACATTTTCCCAAGGATACATATTTTTTTTATAAAGTACTAGTTTTTGCCCGCGACTTCGTCCGCGTTAATTTCGTCATTAGTAATATAGGTATAGCTGACCGGGCAAACTCTATTCCGTCTTCAATAACCCGGTATTTATTAAATTTCTACTGTTTCAATCGAACAGAATGATTGACATATTAGATAGTTGTCAAGTCTAATGTCAAAAAATCGTTTGTATGGGAAATAGAAAAGGGCTGTTTTTAGGGTTTTCCCGGCAATTATTCCAATTTTTCTCACCTTTTAAACCTTCCCTGAACTTCCAGGAGTATTTCAGGACTAAAATTGGCCAAATCGGTTCAGCCGTTCTCGAGTTTTAGCGAGACTAAGGAACAGCAATCCATTTTTATATACAGGGTGACTGGTGAATTACGTCACGACACACATACGCGTGTCGTGACGTAGTGTTGTATCAGCACGCCGCCGCACGCGTCCACACTTGAACACTTGGAACGTGTCAACACTTTACTTATTTATACGGAAATTTTGTCAAAAATTAAGTGCCTATTTTTTTTACATAATTCGAATGAGAATCATGTACCGAGTATTCTCCTTAAATATCGATAGTAATTCACCAGTCACCCTGTATATAGAAGATAGAAGATTAAATACATATATTTTTTATATAATGTGTTGAGCCGTCATGTCTATGTTGGTTTTATCTATGAAGAAGTTCTAACTTTACCTTGTGTTATTGAATTTTATTCGCCTCATTATCCTTATATTAACAATGAACTAATTGGTTACGGAAACTTATTAAGGTGTGTCAAATACATTTTACTTCCATGTTATTTTGATTTAATCAGTTATAAAATAACAAAAATCCATTTTGTTTAAATTCTTTTAAAGAAAATGTTGTTATAGAATAATAATCGTAAGCAGTAGACGTTAATATGAAGTTGTTTAGAAATCTGGAGGTATTGTTATTTTTTGTTTACATCTAAAATACGATTATATGCCCACATAAACCACTACAATTATTTATTAATGTTTTATTTTTAGAAAATTTGTTATAAGAACATATTAATAATTTTGAGTCTAGTGATTACACAGGCATTTGAGATTAATGGCATAAAATTAGACCGAATCGAACATATTTTACCAGAACGTCCATTAATGTCTGAATATGATTTCATTGTGGTTGGAGCTGGATCTGCTGGTAAGAAATAATATAAATCATAAAATAATGAGAGAATTAATTATCGATAATGGTCATAAAATGAATTTTTTAGGGTTCCGGATCTGAAATTGAAACACGGAACCCTTATAAGTTTTCATCAGTGGTCTGTCAGTCTAGCAAAGCTTTTATTTTTGAATGCTTAGATCAACATTAACTTGAAATTGTAGAAAAAATTTATTTTATTTAAAAAAATTAACTTAAGAACTTACATGACTGATAACCTTAATTTTATATTTATACATATTTCACCAAAAAAGAAAATCTTCTGAGAAGTTTCTGCGAAATTAATCCTATTTGTATGCGCGGAAACCTGCAGTTTGAGAGTCTGATATTCAAACTTTCCTAGATTTTTAATATTCTATTTTTTTGGATTTCGTTTATTAACTTACTTCATTTAATAAAAATATTTATTTTTTGAGTATTAATAATATTTACCAATGAACTTCTCCGATTTAGAAAATTCCCTCCGATTTATAGGTAGTTAAATAGGTATGACAGAACACACCTATTACAGGAGCTGTGGTAGCAAATCGCCTTTCGGAAATAAAAGATTGGAACATATTGCTTTTAGAAGCTGGAACCGATAGGAACATATTGACCGATGTTCCAATTTTGGCAGCTGAATTCCAATTAGGAGATCAAGATTGGCAGTATAAAACAAGCCCCCAAGGCACAACATGTCTAGGTAAAAATACATAAAAATAATTGTATCAGCAAAACTGCGACAGTATCTTTAACTAATAATGTACATTTTTTTAAAATTGTAAATCGTTACATCTGCCATTATTCATTTATGAATAATAATAAAAAAGCTGGTTTAATTAATTACAGCAATGAACAACGGCAGTTGTAATTGGCCTCGAGGAAAAGTTTTAGGTGGTAGCTCTGTTCTAAACTACATGTTATACTTAAGAGGTAATAGGAGAGACTATGACGGTTGGGAGTCATTAGGTAATAAAGGGTGGGGATATAAAGAAGTACTTCCCTATTTTAAAAAGTCTGAAGATAACAAAAATCATAAGTATGCTACAACTAAATATCACGCAAGGGGAGGATATTTGACTGTTTCTGACGTACCATATCATACTCCTCTTGCAACAAGTTTTATTGAAGCTGGATTAGAATTAGGTTATAAAAACAGAGATATCAATGGACAATACCAAACTGGATTTACTCTCGCTCAGGGCACTACACGACGCGGAGCTAGATGTTCTACAGCAAAAGCCTTTTTAGATACGGCTGAAAATAGGAAAAACTTACATATATCAAAAAACTCATTTGTGACAAAGATTTTGATAGATCCTGCAACTAAAACTGTATCCGGTGTTTCATTTGAAAAAGGAGGTAAGAAATATGATATTATAGCGAAAAAAGAGGTTATTTTATCAACAGGAACAATAAATACGCCTCAATTATTAATGTTATCTGGTATAGGTCCAAAAGACCAATTGTTAAAACATCAAATACCTATAATTCAAAATCTTCAAGTTGGAAAAAATCTGCAAGATCACGTCAGTATGGGCGGTTTAGCATTTACTATAGACAAACCTGTTTCTATAGTAGAAAAAAGAATGCTGAATCCTAAATATTTGTTCGAATATTTTATATTGGGTAAAGGGCCGTTGACCATTTTAGGCGGAGTTGAAGGACTAGCGTTTATTAATACAAAGTATACGAATGCGTCCGACGACTATCCCGACATACAGTTTCATTTTATACCCGGCGCAACTAACTCCGACGGTGGAAGAAATTTAAAAAAAGTCCATGGTCTAACAAATGAATTTTATGATGCTGTGTTTAAGCCAATAAACTATAAAGACACATGGAGTGTTATGCCGATACTATTGCGTCCACAAAGTAGAGGACACATTGAATTAAAGAGCTCAGATCCTCATGACCATCCCATAATCCATCCAAATTACCTAACCGAAGATATAGACATAAAAACCTTGGTCGAAGGTGTTAAGGCTGGATTTAAATTATCCAAAACAAAAGCTTTTAGGAAATATCATTCAGAATTTAATAAAAATATATTTCCCGCATGTAAAGCAATTACGAAATTCACTGATGAGTTCTGGGAGTGTATGATTAGACAGTACACATTTACCTTCTATCATCCGGTCGGAACGGCAAAAATGGGTCCTAAATCCGACCCTAGTGCTGTTGTTGACCCTGAACTTAGAGTATATGGCGTAAAAGGTCTACGAGTCGTAGATGGTAGTATAATGCCTAATATTGTTAGCGGTAATACTAATGCACCGATCATTATGATTGCAGAAAAAGGGAGTGATATGATTAAAAATTTCTGGAAGAAGAAATGACAAACCCAACTTAATAGACGTCTTCTTAAGATGTAATAAATGTTTTTATTTACACATGGCACTGTTAATATTACGTGAGTTTTATTCCTATATATCCTTCAATTAATAAAATTCTTCTGAAATATGTACTTCGTTTTATATAACACACCCTATAATAAAAAATATATATTTAACAATTATGTATTATTGTTATAAAAACAGTTACAAAAACTAAGCTTCATATTTATAATCGTTAATTATTTTTTTTTTTATTTCATATTAATATAGTGTTTTGGTCATCTAACTAGCGTATTAATTTATTTCTTCAGGCGTATGTACATAGCATACAAACAAAGAGTTCGCAATGTAGAAAATCTTTTAGGCCAATAATTTAGTTTTTCTTGCCACTTATTTTGTAGATTTTTTTTATAGAACGTTACTTATTCACATAGTAGGGTTTTAAATTTTAATACTTTCACATTTTGAATTGAACACCAGTATCCTTATAGGAACACTTTGGTAAGCATCTATAAGTCAGTTTGCATATCAAGACGTTCAATTTGTATCTTCTATATATAAAAATGGATTGCTGTTCCTTAGTCTCGCTAAAACTCGAGAACAGCTGAACCGATTTGGCTAATTTTAGTCTTGAAATACTCCTGGAAGTCCAGGGAAGGTTTAAAAGTTGAGAAAAATTGTATTAATTGCCGGGAAATCCCTAAAAATAGCCCTTTTCTATTTCCCAAACAAAAGTTTTTTTGACATTAGATTTGACAACTAACTAATATGTCAATCATTTTGTTTGATTGAAACAGAAAAAACCTGATTATTTATGGCCCCTAAAACGGAATAGAGTTCGCCTGGTCAGCTATACCTACATATATTACTCTTGACCAAACTAACGCGGACGAAGTCGCGGGCAAAAACTAGTTAGTTATAAAAAAGTTCATAAGAAAGAAAGTTAGTATAAAATCAAAGACGAATGAATGTAGGTCAAATCAACGCATAATCTTTATTGTAATACATATATCAAAAGAGCCAACTGAATTCAAAACGCTGACTACAAAATTACCACATACTGATGTAGGTTAATTTAACACAGAGAATTGTTATTATATCAAACAAATAAAATGTATAACCGCTTAATAATAGATATCAAAAAGTAATTTAAAATTTTATTTGCCAAATTTTTTTTACAACTGTACTGGTTGACGTAATATTTTCTATGTAAAGTTTATTTTTATGCTACTTTAGCAGTTAATGCGATTGGAATACATTTTTTTCTTCATATATATTACTCTGTGCAAAATAATTGGTGATGTAATTTAAACAAACAATAAGTAAAAGTCTTCTTAATCTGCAAATTACATTACGTTATTCAAACGGTATATGTTTTATGAGAGCAGTGATTTCATACGTATCCTTGCAGTGCACAATGGCAAGTCACAATCCTGCGTCCATTAAACCTTTAGTTTCTAGTACTAGAATTATGTTCGGGCTGTTGCCGGGACTAGGAGCCATTATTTTACTACGTTTAGTGATACATTTATATCGTCCTGATATAGAAGATGCAGAAAATAGAGTAAAGGATTACAATCCGGAAGACTTGTATGAGTGGTACGACTTCATAGTTGTTGGAGGTGGATCAGCGGGTTCAGTTGTTGCGAGCCGTTTATCAGAAAATCCTGGATGGAATGTTCTTCTTCTGGAGGCGGGACCAGATGAAAATGTATTATCAGATGTACCGGTAATGTTTCCTGCACTACAAACATCGAATGTGGATTGGCAGTTCTTAACAGAACCTAGTGATAAATATTGCTTAAGTATGGATAATACAATGTGCAAGTGGCCTCGAGGAAAGGTATTGGGCGGCTCTAGTACATTAAACGCTATGCTTTATATAAGGGGAAATAAACAAGACTACGATAATTGGGCTGAAATGGGCAATGAAGGTTGGTCTTATAATGATGTTTTGAGGTATTTTCTTAAGGCAGAGGATATGAAAATACCAGAGTACCAGAATAGTCCTTATCATTCAACTGGCGGCCCGATAACTGTTGAATACTTTCGTTACCAGCAACCAATTACAAATAAAATTTTGGAAGCTGGTGAACAACTTGGCTACAATATTTTAGATGTAAATGGCGAAACACAAACTGGGTTTACTAGATCTCATGCGACCATTCGTGATGGTCTTCGTTGTAGTACAGCGAAAGGTTATCTTAGACCGGCGAGTAAAAGACCCAATCTTCATGTAAGCTTGCATTCATTTGTAGAGAAGGTATTAATAGATGAATTTAAAGTTGCATATGGTATTAAGTTTACCAAACATAAAAAATCGTATGTTATAAGGGCTAGGGGGGAAATAATTATATCAGCTGGGGCGATACAATCCCCACAAATATTAATGTTATCTGGGGTTGGTGACAGTGAACAGTTGGAGGAACTCGGTATACATCCAATAATAAATTCGCCTGGTGTTGGCCAGAATCTTCAGGATCACGTCGCCATGGGCGGTCATTCATTTTTATTTGATAATCCCTATTCTAATGGTACCGATTATTGCTTCAATTTGAACACGGTCGTTTCATTAGCAAGCCTCATCGACTTCACCATTAATAAAAATGGACCATTATATAGCATGATGGAGGCAGAAGCTATGGCTTTTGTGAACACAAAGTATCAGGATCCAGCAGAAGACTATCCGGATATACAGTTTTTCATTGCTCCAACAGCAGACAATATGGATGGTGGATTGTTTGGGAAACGTGCTAATGGAATATCAGATGAAACTTATGCTGAATTGTATGAGGACATCCTTTACGACTCCTCATTCTCTATAGTTCCCTTGCTTTTAAGACCTAAGAGCCGTGGGTATATAAAACTAAGAGATGCGAGCCCCTTTTCAGCTCCACTAATCTACCCAAACTATTTCACAGAACCAGAGGATGTCAAAATATTGGTAAGTTAAGTCCTGGTAATATTACGTTTGAATAAATATTTCACATAAGAAAAGATATGTATATACATACTAATGTTAATTGTACGATTAAAGTTATTTTACACTAAAAATCAAGCAATTGCCGTGCTTGGCTTGCAATGACATTTTATAAATGTGATACGGTCAGGGTAAATCAACATAAAACTAAAGGTTAATATTTTTATTTCCTTTTAAAATAACTTCATATGCAAGTTTATAAAAAAAAATAAAAACTCATTTTACCACTTCCTCAAATGATTTCAGACTGAAGGCGCTAGAATAGCACTAAAGTTAGTTGAACAACCAGCGTTGCAAGAATTAAATGCAAGACCTAACCCGAATCGTAACCCTGGCTGTGCAAAACATCCATTGATGTCAGATGAACATTTGGAATGCCAAGCACGCCACCATACTTTAACAATATATCATCCAGTGGGAACCTGTGCTATGGGTCCACGTGGTGACCCAAATGCTGTGGTAGATCCTAGACTAAGGGTGAGTATTATTACAAATACAAGTATTCGTTCTTAATAATATCATCAAATTATTTTTTATAAAATAATTTGCAATTGAAAAACCATAGCCAACGAAAATAACACAAAATGTTATCATAATTAATTTAAAGACCAGGTGTTTATTGACAGGTGTATGGAGTAAGAAACTTAAGAGTCGTTGATGGGAGTATTATGCCGAAAATAGTGAGCGGAAATACGAATGCTCCGATAATCATGATAGCAGAAAAGGCATCAGACATGATTAAAGACGATCACGAGCAAGTGAGAACTGATTTAAGAGACCGTGATACCAAAAATAACCAACGAACAGGCAGTTCAAATTCTGAAGAAGTTTATTTACAAAATGAACAAAATTCTAAATACAGAAAAGTTGAAGAATCAAAGACTTTACCTAACTTATTTTCAGAGATGAGTCACCTTTTCCCGGATTTATCGAAAGATATAAACTTAAACTACGGGACAACAGGAAATATAATAGAAAAACATGACTCGAATAATTACGGTGCCAGAAACAATAAACCTTTTGTAATTGATTTAAAAAATCAAGCATCACCCACAACAGAAGACGATCTAATTGCAATAAAAACTGGTAATAATGAGTACAATAGAGTTAAATCACCTAACGATCCATATGTTATAGAAGATGTTGATAAATATATTCCCAATTATTTAAATACATTTTCAAATCGTGGGAAGGATCTTCTCAATTCTCAGGCAGATTTTGGTGATATGACACCTTACAATAACTATGAGCGGACATTCAATCATTACCCTGAAACAACAAACTATATATTGCCTTACTCCTTCGATTTTACAATACCAAATATTTTATATGAGCCGTATCCATACTACAATTATAATCCAAATGAGTTTACTAATGATTATTCACAATTTTCAAAAAATATTATAAACCATGATCAAAGGAATGTACACATTCCAGATATTACATACTTGCCTCCATCGATTGATCAAATACAACAAATATCCCCAAAATTCCAAAGTAATAGCCGAAGAGAGCAAAATAAAAAATGTCGTCACTGGTTATTCTATAACGGGAATAAAATTGAAGTAGATATTTAATAATAAAATGTACTATTAAACCTTTTACGATAATCTATTTATTATGAATTAAACATGTTTATTACTTTTGAGATTACTTTAATGTCCCTATATATTAAATTAACAATATAATATTAAGAGTTCAAAAAAGAGATAACAACACTACGAGTATCTAACATCCGAAACACAAGAAATATTAGATCATAAAACACAAAAAATAATAATTTTAGAAACACTAAAACATCTAAAGAACTTTTGACAGCAAAAATATAAACACCGACACTGTATTCTTTCAATAGCATCACTCATAATTACTATTTAACTTTGATGGCTAATGCTAGCTTTCGGTAAGTACTTTCGAAATGGTTATAACGATTCGGTTCAAGGCCATACTTATCTAAATATTTTTTTGTAACTATTCTTAGAAAAACTAAATAAACTAACAAGTATTCGTATAAGCTTTCACT